CCTCTGGGGTCTTTCAATAGGAGTCTGGATGAAACAAAACATTCTCTCCTTACCTCTCATGCTCGAGACCTTAATCAGGAATAGGAATGTGTGTGTGTGTGGGGGGGGGTGATGGTCTAGGGCTTACAGTCTAGACAGTCAGACTTAGAACCTTCGAGTTTGGGAACATAGGGTGTAAGATGTGTGTATGATATCTGTGTTTGTCTATACATGCATGTCCCGTGTCTTCATGCTTGTGTGACTCTGTAAGATTGGTCTGTGGTCCCGACATGCTGGTGGCTCTCTATAAGAATGTCGGCTTGTCTGTGGGTGACTGTGTGTAGCTGTCTGTGTGGCTCTGCACAGTAAAACAAGTTCATTTGGCTTCCATCACTTCATTTAGAGTGGCAATGACTCAGGAGAAACCATAAAGTCAACCAAGTCTCTCTCCAAAGCACTGTGGGACTTAGCTCTCCCATACTGCACCCACCATATCCATGGATGGTTCCAGAGTCCCAGTTTGTCAAAGATGAGAAGATCCCAGGAACCATCCAATCTTAGGGGTTCTTTTTTTTTAAAGGTCTTCCTTGATACCCTAAAGCATATATAATTCTCTCTCTCCATTCTTACTCTGGTAATCCTTTCAGACTTACACAATGCATTTGTCTAGAACAAGAGTTGGCAGACTATGGCCCTCCATTTGTTTTTTTGTAAATAAAGCTTTATTTGAACATAGCCAGCCATGCTTATTTATGTATCAGTTATGGATGCTGAACACCTATAGCCATAAAGCCGAAATCACTGTTGCTTGCTCCTTTTCAGAAAAAAAAAAAAACGAACAAAACAAAATAAAAGAAATGGTCTGTCTTTTGAGGGTCTAGGACCCAACAGATCTGGGATTTAGATTTGAGCCTTCATGGAAATGAAGGGAATATAAATACTTTTGATTGTGAGGACCTTGGGTCTTTTGTTCATCACTGTGGAAACGAGAAAGGTGACAGCCTCGTGTCCCTTCCACCTTTCCTCGGGACGGTCACAAGCCTCTGGTTTCATCGTGATTCTGCTTATCCTAGGGATCGCTGGTGCATTGATCCATGTGGGTAGAGGGAGCAGAAGGGGGGAACAGGGTTCAGACAGCTGTGGTACGATGGAGACAGCCCTCTGGGAGATGACTTCAGTGAATCAGATAACCTTTATTCCTACATAGGATTAGGAAAGCTGCAGACAAAGCTTCATCTGTGTTAAGTGGCGCATTCCCATCACCAGGCTCCTTCCGTGGCTGCAGGGTCCTATAGCTGAGTTCCTAGTACAAGTCTTAACTAAGCAGGGGAGGCTGCTAGCAGGAAACTGTGCCAAGGGTCACATTAGAGATGAATCAGGCGTCCAGGCTTAGAGACAGCTTTCAGATAAGGTCAGTCCTCCAGGCCCAGGGACAGTTTCCAGATAAGGGCAGGCAGAGAGCAGGAAATTTTGCTGGGAGTGGCAGAGGGAGTCTCCATGTCCTCCACCTTTGGCCAAAGCTACCAGGCCATGCACGATAGACTGCAACCTCTGACCAGTGAGCCTCCCAGCATCCCCCACCTTGATGTTTCTAGAAAGGTAGACACTGAGAAAGGGATGTCTGTTATTATTCCTGATGTGGGCTTGTCCTGGCCACAGAAAGGATGTGGAGAGTGTCCTCTTTATGGATTCATTATTGTAATGAACTAACAACAAATTTTATTCGCAGCTCTTGCATGAATTATAGGTTGAAAAAAATGAGGCAATAAATGCTTGATTTTATGCTTTATTTACAAATTGCTGTTATGTGTATGCATGCGTATCTTTGTGAGGGTATGTGCTGCTGGGTTCTGTTGCCCAAAGAGGCCGGAAGAGGACATCATAATCAGTCAGAGCTGGACCATATAAGCAATATAAGCAGCGGGAACCAAATCCAGGCTCTTTGCAAGAGCAGTGTGCAATCCATTCCTTTTTAACATTTCTTTATTTATGTTTATTTTATTGCATGGGTGTTTTCCATGGGTGTTGGATCCCCTGGACTGGAGCTACAGATAGTTGTGAGCTGCCATGTTGGTGCTGGGAATTGAACCCCAGTTTTCTGGAAGAGCAGCCAGTACACTTAACCACTGAGCCATCTCTCCAGCCCTGAGCTGTGTGCACTCTTAACAGATGAGCTATTGCTCTAGCCTCCCTCCTTTTGAAACACAGAGCCATGTAGCCGGCGGCGTTTCTTTTCCTGCCTGGCTCTACAGACATTAGCCCCAGATAAACACACAGAGATGCTCTATTAATTATAAAACTGTTGACTGATGGCTAGGGCTTCTTACTGGCTAACTCTGTCTTAATTATTAACCCATTTCTATTAATCTATGTATTCCCACGTGGTCTTGGCTTACCAGAGAATGCCCAGACCTGTTACTCCAATGTGGTCTACATGGTGTCTCTCCACAGTCTCTCTCTCTCTCTCTCTCTCTCTCTCTCTCTCTCTCTCTCTCTCTCTCTCTCTCTCTCTCTCTCCTTTCCCAGAATTCTCCTCATCTCCTAGTCCTGCCTAGCTTTCTTCTGCTATTGGCTATTGGCCAAACAGTGCTTTGTTCATCAGCCAATAAGAGAAAAATATACAGAAGAACAGCCCTCGTCAGGGCCATGTCTCCCAGCCTAGCTTGGAACTTACGATGAAGCCAAAGAGTGTCTTGAACTTCCAGATCCTGAGTGCTGGGACTTCAGCCTGTTTATGCACTGGAGATGGAACCCAAGGCTTTGGGTATGTCAGAGAAGCACTGTACCAACTGCGAGCAAATGTTTGGTTAAAAAACAAAAACCTCCCATATTTAACAATTCTATGAGTTAGTTTTCTAGCTTCTTCTGAAGGGAGTCTATAATTTTTTTCTTCCTAACAGATCCAGTAAATAAGATACCCCCAGCCCCTCCCTTTTCTCCTTGGCTAAAAGTCTGTGCGCCTGTGAGCCTGGGATTGTCATTATCAGTCATAGACTCATAGGAACAGCTGGTCTGAATAATAATAACACAGAAATAGAAATGGAGATGAGAGGCAGAGGGAGGGAAGCTGACGTGGTTTTCATTGTGTGCATTATGCGGATGCAGGCGTCTGAGGATGTCTCCACAGCTCTGCGGATGCAGGCGTCTGAGGATGTCTCTACAGCTCCGCGGTTTCTTCAGTTTGCTTATATAACCAGCCGACCTTCCTTCCTTCCTTCCTTCCTTCCTTCCTTCCTTCCTTCCTTCCTTCCTTCCTTCCTTCCTCCGACCCCTCCTTCCTCTCCTTTTTAAGGTTGTCTTGGATTTTCCCTTTTGTCACTTCCAACCAAGCGGCTAAGTCAAGCCAGTTGTCAAAGAGGGTATTTGTAAGGAGTCAGGCATTATGCTGCCCCCATCACCTGGCAGAACGCACTCAGGCAGTGCCCTGGTCAGCCCAGGGTTCCATGGTTCCGTAGTCTGCAACGCAAAGGACCCCTTTAAAAGACAGACCATCTCCCGCTTACAGCTCTTTCTGACTCCTCTCTTTGCTGCTCTGTCTCCCGCTGTTCCCCTTTAATCCCAGCACTCAGGAGGTAAGGCAGCGGCATCTCTGAGTTTGAGGCCAGCCTGGTCTACAGAGAGAGTTCTAGAATTGTCACAGTAGCCCTTTGTCTTGGAAGCAACAACCAAAGCCAATTTCAAATGGGCCCAAGGGATGGCTCAGCGGGTACCGGTGCTTGCTGACAAGTAAGCCTGACTATTAAGTTTAGTTCCTGGAATCCGCGTGGTGGAAGAAGAGGACCAGCTCCCACAAAGTATCCTCGGATCCCCACAGGTGTGTACGCACTCACACACACGAAATAAGTGTAATAATAACAACAATTTTAAAAGCACCTTAAACAGTTTCAAATGTACCAAACACTGCAAAGGTAAAATAAGCCCCATGATTTTGTGTGTATTTATGCCTGTATTTAGTAGCACAAATATCACCATATATTGACTATCAATAGGTGCCTATTTAATAAAAGAATAGAAGAAACATACAGGAATGAAGCCAGGCGTGATGGCACGGCCTCTAATAGTAGCACTTGGTAAATGCAGATGGGAGGATCAGGAGTTTAAGGTCACCCTCAGGTTAGTTTGAGGCTAGCCTGGTCTATCTGAGGTCCCACCTCAAATAAACAAACAAACAAAAAAGCATGGGAGAGATATAGATTACCTTACATAGTGTTTGCCTCTGGGTGACTGGGAGAGAGGGGGGAATAAACTGAGGGTAGATATGGATGGGGGATATATCTCAGTGGGACAGTGCTTGCCTAATGTGTGTGAAGCCCAGAGTTTGTCTGAATATTTTTAAAAGGAAATTTTTTAAACTAAAAAGAATTATAGAAGAAGAAAAGCAAAATAGTCTAGACAATGTCAGGCTATGTGTTTCCATTTGTAGTTTTATTTTTTCATTATGATTGAATTATCTTTAAATTAAAATTTTTAAGAGAGGGACAAGCCTGATGGCGCTTGCCTTTAATCACAGGATTTGCCAGGTAGAAGCAGGTGGATCTCTGTGAGTTCAAGGCCAGCCTGGTTCACATAGCAAATTCCAGGAGAGCCAAGGATACACAGTGAGAGCCTGTTTCAACAAACAAACAACAGCAAAGATACAAAAGAACCCAGACACCAAAGAATCACAAAAAGAGAAAATTATCCAAAAGCTTCTCATGAGCCAAGGATATTTATATAGCTGATCCAAATGTTCACACTTTCATTCCTTCCTATATTAAAGCAATGCCTTGCAAACTCGAGGGACAGAACTTTGGAAGCAAAACGTGTGTGTGTATGTGTCTGTCTGCGTGTGTTTGTGTGTATCTGTGCGTGTGTGTCTGCAAGTGTCTGTGTGTGTTCATGTGTCTCTCTGTCTGCATGTGTCTGTGTGTGTGCATGTGTCTCTGTATGTGTGTCTGCATGTGTCTGTGTCTCTGTATGTCTGTCTGCATGTATCTGTGTGTGTCTGCATGTGTCTGTGTGTATATTGGTGTGTGTGTGTCTGCATGTGTCCGTGTGTGTCTGCATGTGTCTGTGTGTATGTGTGTGTTTGTGTGTGTGTGTGTCTGTGTCTGCGTGTAAGTGTCTGTGGTGTACGTGTGTTGACATATGCTCTCGGCATGCAGCTCGGGTGTGACCTCAAAGTCACAGTCTTCTGCTTCAGCCTCCTGAGTGTTGGGTCCCAGGTGTCATTCACCACGGCTGGCTCTGTGTTCACATTTACACGCCTGATCGTTCAATGTCACTGAAAGCAAAGAAGTCCACGCTAGGGAAACCTTACAGCGATGCATGTGAATAACCAGAGTGTGATCTCTGACATAATGAACTCGGGGGGCGGGGTAGCTTACCCATCTAATGCCACACCCCTCCCTCTACCTGCGGGGCTGGAGAGGCTCCAAATGTCCCGGTTTTGGCTGAAATCAGGGCACATTTTGTTTGTCTGTCTTTGGAGACAGGGTTTCTTTGTATAGCTTTGGCTGTCCTCAGACTCACAGAGATCCGCCTGCCTCTGCCTCTCAAGTGCTGGGATTAAATGCGTGCACCACCACTGCCCGGCTACATTGGTACATTGTGTGTGTGTGTGTGTGTGTGTGTGTGTGGTGTGCCTGAGTGTACATATGCAGGAGCCCACAGAAGCCAGAAGAAAGCATTGAATCTCATGAAACTGAAGTTATAGACAGTTGCCTGTCATCATGTGGGTGCTGGGAATGGAACCCAGGTCCTCTGTAAGAGCAGTAAGTGCTCTTAACGGCTAAGGCATGTCTCCAGCCCCCCAGGGTGCATTTTTCATGGATCTCTTTCTTGGTGTCAGGCCAGGCTGGGAGGAATGAACCCCTAGAAGAAACCGAAGCCTAGGGCTGAACTGTTGATATGGGGGTAGGGGGATTTTCCTGAAGGCTAATTCCTGGGTCATTTGGATGCTCTGTTTTTAGTATTTTTGAGGAACCTCCATACTGCACTAGTTGTTGCTAGCAATTCCACTAATGGCTGTACTGGTTCACCCTCCCACCAACCGTATATAAAAGGGCCCATCCCATTGTCTGCTTAAAAAAATAAAATCTCATGATCTGCTGGTGTCTTCTCACTTACCTGTAGTGTCCTCCTGCCTTGGAAAATTAGAATGGCTGGTTCTGAGAGAGGGGCATGGAGGGGAGAGGGAGTGGGAGACAGGTGAGAGGCTATGAGTGGAACATGGAAGTATAGGGATATGAGGACTTGAGGGAGAGGGAGATGAGGCAGAGACAGGCTGGGGGAGGTAGGGCTGAGCACAGCAATTGATGACATTTAAATGGAGTCTCAGAAGAATGAATCGGGAAGGAAGTGGGGTGTGAGGCTTGCCAAGGAGTGTGCATCCATTTACCTCTTGGGGGGCTCTTCATGTGATGAACCTATAAAACATACCAGGAAGAAGAATTCATACATGTGTATGTTTATGTATACACTAGTACGTGCGTGCGTGCGTGCGTGCGTGCGTGCGTGCGTGTGTGTGTGTGTGTGTGTGTGTGTGTGTGTGTGACAGGGTGTCACCATTTATCTCTGGCTGACCTGGAATTGATTGTGTAGACCAGACTGGCCTTGAACTCACAGGGATCCGCCTGCCTCTGCCTCCCGAGTGCTGGGATTAAAGGAGTGCGCCACCACCGCCAGCCGCGCCCACATCTTATCAGAATCTTTCTCTCGCCTCTCCCTCCCAAGCATGGATGGCTCTTGACTCACCTTGCTGAGTGCATCTGTAGATGAAGTAGACGGAGACAAAGAGGAGAGAGATGCTGAGGCAGCTGAAGGTGGTAAGGAAGATGAGTTTGCTGTTGGATGGTCTGGGAGGATTTTCTCCGCCTCGTCCCGCTCCGTCTGTACATTGGAGACAGAAACAGCAGCCGTGTCACGTTGACACAGCCGAAGGGGGCCAGATGGAGCCCTCCACATGGGAAATTCCACGTGAGCATCTCACCCGCAGCCATGAATTTGATCATTTATTGAGAACCGAGCCCCAGAATCAGTTTGCCGCCCCCCAAACAGGTTAGAATGGTTAAGAGGCTCCAGGCACAAGGGGGTGTGGCGGCACACTCCGAGAACCCCAGCACTCCAGTCGGAGGTGGGAGGATTTTGAGTTCAATCCCAGTCTTGGCGATATAATAAGTTCTGGGCTAGCCTCAAGTGTGGAGTGAAATCCTGCCTGAAAATAAAAACAAAACAAAAGCAAGCTGCCAGAAAGCCTAGTTACCAAACTGCTGGCAGTCTTGGGTAGCTGTAGGACTTTTTGGACAAGGGATCTAGCCTGCTCAAGCAGGGCCATGAGTGGGGGCAGTTAGGATGTTGTCACCCAGTCCTACTTTCTGACTCAACATCTCTGCTTTCTGGTCCATCAAGGTGTGAATAATCCAGCCTCCTTGCTGGATGTGTTGGTATACATTTTTTAAAAATATTTAAGTAAAAAATTGTTTTCATTTTACACTCCAATCCCAGTTCTCTCTCCCTCCCCTTCTCCCACCTCCCCCCCATCGCACCCCCATCCACTCCTCAGAGGGGATAATGCCTCCCTAGGGGAGTCACCAAAGTCTGGGATACCAAGTTGAGGCAGGACCAAGCCCCTCCCCCCAATCAGGCTTGGCAAGGCATCCCACCACAGGGGATGGGCTCCAAAAAGCCAGTTTGTGCACCCTGGATAAGTTCTGGTCCCACTGCCAGGCTCCCCACCCCAAACAGACCAAGCCACATAACTATCACGAACATAGTCCAGAGTCCGTGAGCTACCACTAGCTCGGGTTGGCTGTCTCTGTGGCTTTTTTCATCACGGTCTTGACGTCCCTTCCTCATATGATCACTCGTCTCTCTCTTCAACCGAACTCCAGGAGCTTATCCTAGTGTTTGGTATCCATTTTTTTTTTTCTGAGGCAGGGTCTCTCCATGTACCCCTGGCTGGCCTGGAACTCACAAGCCATGCACCTGCCTTCCGAGCGATGACTAAAGGCAGGCATCACCACATTTTGAGTAACCAAGTTGGTAATTCTGTCTCTTTCTGTCTCTGTCTCTGTCTCTCTCCTCTCTCCCTATCCCCCTCCATCTCACTATTTATTACTTAATAAACTCACTCACTCAAAACAGAAAATATAGCTATCATAGATCATTCTGCAGAATGCACTGAACAAAAAGATGGGAAATTTTCTTCTATAATGTGATCAATCTGTGGGACTCTGATGTACACTGTGGGTGTTGAGGGATGTATTTAATTTGTAATAATCATTACATAATGTGCATCTTGAGTACACTCTTTGTCAATTAAGTGATTTTTTAAAATAAAAATGAAAGCATTCCACTATCTAAAATACAGTGTGTTAGGTTTTTATTACTGTAGAGAGACACCATGACCATGGTAACTCTTTTTTTTTGTTTTTCGAGACAGGGTTTCTCTGTATTGTTTTGGAGGCTGTCCTGGAACTTGCTCTGTAGACCAGGCTGGCCTCAAACTCACAGAGATCCGCCTGCCTCTGCCTCCCGAGTGCTGGGATTAAAGGCGTGCGCCACCAACGCCTGGCTTACCATGGCAACTCTTATGAAGGAAAACATTTAATTGAGGGGGCTCGCTTACAGTTTCAGAGGTTCAGTCCATTATCATCATCATGAAGGGGAGCATGGCGGCGTGCAGGCTGGAGTTGGGAGTGCTACATCTTGCAGGCAACAGGAAGTCAACTGACTGTCACACTGAGGGAAGCTTGAGCAAAAGAGATCTCAAAGTCTTAGGCCACAGTGACACCCTTCCTCAAACAAGGCCACTCCTCAAACTCCTATTACTGCCACTTCCTTTGGGGGTATTCTTTTCAAACCACCATATTTCACTCCCTGGCACCCAAAAGCTTGAAGCCATATCATAATGCAAAAAAAAAAATGGATTCTGTCTAACTTCAAGTCTCCATAGTCTATAACAGTCTCAAACTTGTTTCAAAGTCCAAAGTCTCTTCTAAGATGCATGGCAATCTCTTAACTGTAATCTCTTGCAAGAATAAAAATAGAAAAGATCACGTACTTCCAACATATAATGGTACAGAATATACACTACCATTCCAAAACGAAGCAAGGGGAGCATAGGGAGGAAATACTGGACCAAAGCAAGACTGAAAACTGGCTGGGAAAATTCCAAACTCTGCAGCTCCAAGTGTGATGTCAAAGCCCTCTTCAGATCTCCAACTCCATTCAGCTTTGTTGACTTCAATACACTTCTTTCTCTTGGGCTGGTTCCACTTCCTGTTAGCAGCTCTCCTCGGCAGGTATCCCATGACTCTGGCATCTCTAACATCTTGGATTCTCCAATGAAATCCTGGCTTCAACCTCACAGCTTCCTGCAACGGCCTCTCTACTAGGCCTCCATTCGAGGACGCCCTGGACACATGCCTGACTCTGTGGCTTTATTCCATAACTCCTTTCTTCTGTCCTTAAGCAAAGCTGCCAAATTCTGCCACTTACTTGGGCTAGAACATGGCCCCCTTGTTTAACGACTTCTTTACAAGCTTTCTGTTTTCCTCCGCTGTCTAAGCTTGACTGTCCTTGAACTCCAGACCACGCCGTCCTCAAACTCAGTGGTCTGCCAGCCTCTGCCTTCCCAGTGCTGGGATTAAAGGTGTGCCCCAACAACCAGCTCTTAGCTTTTCTTTAGTCCCTTTCCAAAAGTTGGAAACTTGTTGGGATCTTGTCCTGAGGCCACCACTTCCTTTCTTCCATTTCTTTTTTTTTTTTCTCTTCCATTTCTTAATCCATTTATTTCCTGGGACACAGGACTTAGCTCTGTTCTACTTCCTGGTGCTGTTTGTCCTCCAGGTTTGCGTTTTGTAATTTACCTTGCTCAGATTGCTCCTTTTCAGAGTCTATATTAGGCTGTTTTGAGATTTCTTCTGTCAGTGGAATTAATCTGAAACTCTTCATTTTAGCCTCAGGCAAAGTTTTCGGACAAGAGCAAAAGGCAGCCACTTTCTTCAACAAAATATCACAGGAATGGTTTCTAGGCAACATACTAAAATTCTTCTCCCCTGAAACCTGAAACCTCTTGACTGAGCTGCCCATCGTAGTTCAAGTAACTCTTACTACCATAGTCTCCCATGTCACTCCCGGCATGGCCTATTAAACAGTGCTTAAAGCATCCCACTGTTTTCTAAATCCGAAGTGCCAAAGTCCAAATTCCTCCAAACAAACACATGTGGTCTGGCCTGTCACAGTAATAACCCACTTCTGGCACTAGCTTCTGCCTTAGTTAGGGTTTTTGCTTACAGTTTCAGAGGTTCAGTGCCGGAACTGAGAGCGCTACATCTTGCCAGCAACAGGAAGTCGACTGCCACACTGAGGGAAGCTTGAGCAAAAGAGACCTCAAAGCCATGCCCACAGTGACACCCTTCCTCCAACAAGGCCACCCCCTTCGGGAGGCTGTTTTCTGTCAAACCACCACTTGCAGTAACTGATATCATCTTGTGTTGCACCCTTCCCCCATGGGGGTCTGCTGACCAGCTTCTGACTAGGAGCTTCTAGCAAAACACCTCTTGTCCCCTCCTCCCAGGTAAGCCTGAATACAGGTTCCTTTTTTCTGCCCATCCTTTGCTGAAGGGCCTTGGGAACGTGAGCTAGCTCCTGACCTTGGTAGTTTTCCACCTTGCCTGCTATTGGTATTTAATGCGCCCCTCTTGTTACAATAAATGCCATTCTCCTTGCAAGAAGGAGCTGCTGTCTTTGTCTTCATTTAAATTTTCAGCCCTTTGCCCGGATCACTGAGAAGTGTTGTAGCCACTCCCACCCCCCACCCCCCTACCATTTTGCTACAATCTTGCATCCTCCAAACCCACTTTCCAAAATCCTGAAACCCTTACAGCATATAAATAAATCACTTCGTTCTCCCATTGAAATGCTGCCAGTGGAGTCCTGTTTGGTTCTCCAGAATCCATGATCAGTTTAAACACATGTGATGGTTGGCCTTTTTTTTTTTTAAATAAGTTACTTATCTTTTATTTTGCTTGCATTGGTGTGAAGGTATCAGATTCCCTGGAACTGGAGCTACAGACAGTTGTGAACTGCCGTCTGGGTGCTGGGAATTGAACCTGGGTCCTCTGGAAGAACAGGCAGTGCTCTTAACCACTGAGCCATCTCTCCAGCCCCTGTGATGGCTTGTTTTAACTGACAATTTGACACACTCCAGAGCAACCTGTGAAGATGTTGGCCTGTGGGCATGGGGTGGTGGGTGGACTTGATTATGTTCACAGGTAAGGGATGACCCAGCCTAAAGTGGGTGGCACCGTTCTTTATGTTTGGGTCCTGAACTATGTAAGTGTTGAGAAAATGAGCCGCGCAGCAGGCTGGACTGTGTTTATTCTCTCTCTGCTCTTGACTGTGGTGAGTTCTTGGCTGTGGATGGGACTAGCAACCTCAAGCTCCTGTCTTGATTTCCTTCAACGATGGGTTGAAGCCTGGAGCTGTTAACAGGCTCTTTCTTTCTTCCCTAACTCGTTTCTTTTTTTTTTTTTCCTGTGGGGGGAGCACTCAGGGTATTTTTATCACAGCAACAGAAATGAAGCTAGGGTGGGACCCAAGCTCTACATACTGTCTCCTACCTCCTTATACTCTTACACTCTCCCTCTCCCTCTCCCTGTGTTCTCCTTGCTACTCCATTCCAGAAGCACACTTATTTTGATATTGGCTCTTCCCGTTCTCTCCCCACCAAGGGTCATCTCCAGATGTGTCAGTGTGACTGAGGATTTCCCATCCCCCAGAACTGTGGCGGACAGCCTCCAGGTAGCCTCACGAGTCTCGCCTCCTTCTGGTCTTCACGCTCCCGTGAACTCCTCTGTCCTTGAGTGCGGATACCTGGGCCTCACTTCTAGCTAGCAAATATGCAAACGCAGCAGAGCGCTTGAGTGTCATCCCCATGACAGGATGCTACTGTCTAAGAACCCCTCCTTGAACCAGTGCAAAAGGGAAGAGTCTTCTCCAGTGCAGCTTCCAGAAGAAAATTGCAGCCTTGAAAACTTGAATGTAGCCTTGTGAGACCCACAGCAGAAAACTCAACTAAGCCTACCTGTCCCCTGACCTACACACACTGTAAGACAAATATTTAATGGAGTTAAGTACACGGTTCGGTTGGTTGATTCACTGCCTACCATGCCCAAATGTCTGGGTTTGATCCCCTGGTACCATGTAAACTGGGTGAGGTGGTCCATGCCTGTGACCTCAGTCCTTGGGAGGTGGAGGCAAAGGATTAGAAGACCAAGGCTGTCCTTCACTATGTTAGGAGTTCAAGGCCAGCCTGGTCTACAGTTTTGAGCTTCCAAATGTGTGGTTATTTGCTATGCAGCTATAGACTACTCATCATGACCACTCACTATGCTTTTCTTCTTGAGATTTCATTTCTGACTGTCCTCTTCCTGAGTATTGTGTTCACGGATGCTCCAATCACGTGAGCACTGCCTTGAAGTCCATTACACATTATCGCCCTAATAGATTTTAATTCACAGTCATTTAGACTTCATGTACTCCCATTTAGCTTCGAAATCCCAGTGATAAGTTGCTGCTTCCAAGCTGTCTGACTCATCACATATTCATTTACCGACCTTACCGTACACCAGATTTTCTACTAATTCACTCTTCTGAGACATTCATCTCCGGCTACATCATTGATGCCTATTTGGAATCCCTAGCCAGACCCTCATCCCCCGTACTCAGCTCCCACTTCCCCAGTCCCCTCTGAGGTACTGCATCTTTATGGCTTCCTGGAGTCTCCAGCCAAGTCCCATTAGAAAAGAAGGCGCATGTCCATAAAGGAACTGATCTGACCATTTGGGAAGAGAGTGAGTGGTAGAGGAGCTTAGTGAGTGGTCAATAAAGCCAAGCAGTGATATATGTGAAGGAAGATGTCATTAAACCCATCACTTTGTATAAGAGATGAACAATAATACAAATTTAATTTAAAAACTGGAGCAAAGTGTGGTGGGCATCTATAATCCCAGCACTCAAGAGGCAGAGACAAGAGCGTCAGAAGTTCAAGGCCATCCTTGACTACTACACAGTGAGTTAAAAGACTGCCTGGGCCAAGGCCAACTTTGTCATTATCATCACCAGCAGTTATCAATATAATCAATTACATCTATTTATTGATTATTATAGCAATTGCTATAAAACTAAGAAAATAAAGATATAAATATGATTAGTTATATATACAAATTATACCAAGTACAGTAACTAATTATGTTCATAATTATTATAGCAGTATTATTTTAAAACCCAAGAAACAAGACTAGGGAAATGACTTAGTGGGTAAAGGACCAAGTATTAAGGACCTGAATTTAGATGACCAGAACCCACGTAAACTACTGTTGTCCCAGGAATCCCTCAGTGAGATGGGGTGGAGACAGGAAGCTCTCTGAAAGCCTGCCCTCTGATCTCCACATGTGTGTCACGGTACCCTTGGACCCACGCTCACACACATGCACACGTATATCATACGCACACACAAAATGAGTTTTAAAAATTCAAAGACCAGAGGGCTGGCTCCATTGGTGTTTGCTGTTAGGTGTACCGGCCTGAGTTTGGTCCCCATACCCACCGAGCGGAAGGAGAGAAGCATGTGTCACGACGTGTCCTCTGACCTCTTCACACAGGCTGTGTGGCATGTATGTGATATGAACACACGGTAAATAGATGGATGCAACATTAAATCATATGAAGAGAAGATCGGAGGCTGCCCCGCTCACCTGTGACCACCAGCTGTAAGTGCTGACTCTTTCCTGACCACCTGTGGGACGCTGCTGTCCTGTAGGCACAGAAATAGCCCCCAGCATCTTCAGGCTGCAGGTTAGTGAGGTGGAACTCAGCCTCCTTTCCCGCTGATCTCAGCTCTCGCTGGTACCCAGAGTTGTGCAACTTTCCCAGAGTGACTGTAACATTCTGGAAATGAGTCCAGCATCGGAGAGTGACGTTGCTCTTGCACTTGACCTCAGAGCTGGGCCAGGCACTGAGGGAAGGCCTGGGAAGTTCCTCTGCAAAGAATTCAGAGTTAATTGACTCTTCTGATGGGGAATGTCTTTCTGTATATATGTTTCTCTTATTGGTTGATGAATAAAACACTGATTGGCCGGTAGCCAGACAGGACATACAGGCATGTCTACCAGACTAGGAGAATTCTGGGGGGAGGAGGCAGAGAGGAGCCTCCAGGGAGACACTATGTAGCCACTGAAAGATAACAAGAGGTTCTGGGCATTCTCCAGTAAGCCAAGACTACATGGAGATATATAGTTTAATAGAAATGGATTAACAATTAAGAACCAGCTAGCTGGGGCTGGAGAGATGGCTCAGTGGTTAAGAGCACTGACTGTTCTTCCAAAGGACCCGAGTTCAATTCTCAGCACTCACATGGCAGCTCACAACTGTCTGTAACTCCAGTTCTAAGGAATCCAACACCCTCATACAGGCAAACCAATGTACATGAGATAAAATAAATTTAAAAGAGACAAAAATTCCAGATAAATTGACATTATAAAAAAATGAGCTAGCCAGTAAGAAGCCTGAGCCATTGACCAAACAGTTTATAATTAATATAAGCCTCTGCGTGTTTACTTGGAACCTAAGCAGCTTGGGGACCAGGCAGAACAGAAACTCCATCTACATTATCCTAGAACTCTAAGGATTAAAGGTGTGACATTTAATCTCAATTACAGCTTGATGAACTCTATAATCACCTGGGGGGGCAGGCTTTTTGTTTATGCTTGTGAGAGGTTATCTTGATTAGTTTGAGTGAGGTGGGATGACCCACCCACTGTGGGTGTCACCATTCCCTAGGTGGTGTTCCATTATAAAATGGACAAGGAGCCCGACAAGCTGGGTTTGATCCCTGAGACCCGCATTGTTGAAAGGAGAGAACTGACTCAAACTTTCTGACCTCCATACACACATTATGATGTGCTCACATCCCACAAAACCATAGACATAAGTAAATTCAAAATTCTTTTTTTTTAAGGGAGAAAGCGTTCTTAAATATCCATTCTTCAGACCGGTGGGATGGCTGTGTGGCTAAGAGCATTCTTGTCAGGAATCTCACAACTAGCTGTAACTCTAGCTCCAGAGCGTCTGACGTCTCTGGCTTCCAAAGGCACCTGCATTCATGGACACAGACACACATGCATATACATGACTAAAAATATTTTAGTTTGTTTTTAAATTGCTGGACTGGAGAGATGGACATGGCTAAACCCTGGGTGCTCTTGCAGAAAACCCAGGTTGGGTTCAGCATCCACAGTTCACATTTGCCTCTAACTCTGGTTTCAGGGGATCCAATGCCCTCTTCTGGCTTCTTTTGGTACTGTGCACACGTGATACATTCACATAAATGCAGGAAAACACTCATATACATAAAATAATATTTTTAAAATGTAAAATAAGATTTTATTGTGTGTGTGAGGGGGGTGCCTGTATATGTGGATGTCAGAGGACAACTTTTTCTTTTTAAAGATTTATTTATTATGCATGAAGCCTTTTGCCTGCATGAATGTCTGCACTGCACCCCGGAAGAAGAGGGCACTGGAATGCATTATAGACGGTTGTGAGCCACCCTGTGGTTGCTGGGAATTCAACTCAGGGCCTCTGGAAGAACAGCCAGTGCTCTTAACCTCTGAGCCATCTCTCCAGACCCCAGAGGGCAACTTTTAGCAGTTGTTTCTTTCCTTCTACTATGTAGGTTTCCAGGCTGTCGATCTTGGCAGGAGCTGCCTTTTACTTTTATTCGCCGAATCATCTCATCTGCCCACTCTTCTTGAATATGGATGCAATGTGACCAGTTGCCTCGAGCTCCTGCTGCTGTGATTTCCTCACCAGCAGGGGCTGCAACCTCAAACAGTAAGCCCCAACAAACCATTTCTCTGTTTTATATGTCTTATCGGGATTTATCACAGCAACGGGGAAAGTAGCTACTGTAGGGTAAAAAAGTCCAAGCTCACTTCCGGGTTTCAGAAACCCACCAATCCCTGAGCTCAGAACCCATCCAACACTGAGTTTGGAAAACCAATTCCTGAGCTCCATCCAGGTTCCAGGCTTGAAATCTCACAAATCCCCACTGTGGAAATCATCCTGGAAAAAATGCTCCCCGCCCCTCCACGTAAAGCTTTCGTGCTGCTCAATTCCTTGCCGTTTCTCACCCCAGCAAAGGCAATCACTCTCTTGTGCCCGTCCCAACAAATGACTCGTGTGAGGTGTGCTGTGTGCTGTGACTTTGTGGTATTCCTCGGCTCGCGACTGCCAGGATACTTTTCCCTTCAGAAGTGAAGGAGTAGCACTGGGGACGCTGTCCCCCTAGGAGCTGTAACACAGCTACAACAAACGGAGAGGGTCACGGTGTGCGGAACCCAGGGACACACAGAGGTCACAGGGAAACTCACCCTTCTCTTCCTCATCGCCGTTGCACAGGCACAGCCCTGGAAGAGAAACCTCAGTGAGAGACTGTTCAGCAGCTCTTTCCTCTGACTTGAAACCCTACCTCCTTTCCTGGCTGAGAGGGGAGTGTATAAAACTGTGGGGGTGAGTGAAACTCACCAGGCTCTGGGAGTAAACAACACCTGCAAAGCTCATGAGGCTCGCCCAGCTCAGGATGCTCACAGAGCCCCCGAGCGGCTCATAAAGGCAGTCGCCACCGCTGGGGAGAAGAGGCTCTCCAGCCTGCACACTTTGCAGTTAGCTCCGGGGGTGCTGCTTTTATGAGTTGTGACTTGTGCTGGGGTGTGGTCATCTTCCCGATGTGGCTGACTGTGTAAGCCCGGCTCCTAGAGCAATCCCGTATACTCCCAGCAAAACTCACTGGTTTACCAAGATAGACTTGGGTGGAACTGAGGTAGGAAAATGTAGGGCTAAGCTGCGCCACCCGGGATGCCACTTGGCTAGAGCGATATACACACTGCTCTCCTCACAACCTGCAATCCCCCACTGCAAGTATATACCCAGCTCCAAATAATGCGTTGTGTCATTCCTCCCTAAAAACTGCTCGGAGACGCCTCTTTTGTGAACCAAAACACCCTGAAACTAAGTGAAATGGGTCAATACAGGCTGAAGAGATTTGGGGTGCATGCGTAGTAAGTCAAAATATATCCTTTGGATAAGCATTTAGGGGAAATCACTCTTTACTGTATTATACCTATGCATGATTAAAATCAGATGCATCACGGGTAAAGACGTGCAGCAAACAAAGGCTTGCATATCTAAGTCTATCAATCAAATCCAAAAGGCCGCCTGTATTCTGCCCCTAGAAGCCAGTCCGTCTTTCTAGGCCCGCAAAGGGAAGCCCCATGCAGTGGCCAGGAGCTCTGGAACCCTCTAGCTCAGATAGCCTGCTGTGATCTTATAGTCTATCTGACCTGCGTTTTCTCTTTGATTCGGAATAAAACCCCTTGCTACTTAACCATTTGTGTATGCCTTCAGTTGTTTGAACAAAACACCAAAAAAACCCTACAAAACAAAACCAACCAACCGACAAAAAACTCTGGAAATACCTGGTCAGGACTGAGACCACCAGTAACAGAGTAATTTCTTTGGTGTGTTGTCGGTGTCCTATCTGGAGTGACAGATATTTGTCTGAGCCCTAATCTGTCCTGGTTTCATTCTGTTGCCGTGATGAAAACACTGTGATCAGAAGCAGCTTTTGACGGAAAGGGTTTGTTTAGTTTGCATATCCAGGTAGCAATCCATCCTTGAGAGAAATATGGGCGGGAACTGGAGGGCAGAAACCATGGAGGGACTGCTTGCTGGCTCACTCATCCAGGTCACATTTATCTGGCTTTTGTTTTTTAAACAAATTTTTATTATGTATGCATATAGTGTTCTATGCTTGGACACCAGAAGAGGGCACCAGATTATGGATGGTTGTGAGCCATCATGTGGTTGCTGGGAATTGAACTCAGGACCTCTGGAAGAGCAGGCAGTGCTCTTAACCGCTGAGCCATCTCTCCAGCCCCTTAGCTGGCTTTTTTTATACAGCCCATGCCCACCTGCCTAGGTATGGTGCTACCTACACCTATAGTGGGCTGTTTAGGTGGAGTTTTTGTTAGGACTGCTGATTCCAAAATAAACACACAGAGACTTAATATTAATTATAAATGCTTGGCCAATAGCTCAGGCTTGTTACTAGCTAACTCTTACAACTTAAACTAACACATTTATATTAACCCACTTTCTGCTACGTATCATTCATCTTGGACCTCCTGTGTCCTCTCTGTGTCTGGCTGGCAACTTTTGTTTTTTACTCCGCCCCTTCTTCTTCCTAGTGTCCTTTGTCTGGTTCTCCTGCCTAACCTTACCTTGTTCAGCTATTGGCCAGTCAGTTTCTTTATCAATCCAACCACAGTGACATATATTCACACAGTTTAAGGGAATATTCCACAAGGCTGGGCCCTCGTGCATACGTTAGTGATCAAGAAATTAATACAATTTCTCACAGACATATCCAATTTGATGTAGGCAATTCCTTAGTGGAGTCTTTTCCTGTTAGATGATCCTAGGCCGTGTCTAGGCTGTGTCAAATGGACAATTAAATCTAACTAGGAGAGAGCTTGAGGGTGGGTAGAGGTGGTGGTAGCCATTAGAATTGTCATGACTAGTAAGTGTCATCCTCTTCTTTTTTGTCATTATTATTATTACTATTATTATTATTTTCTAATTGAGACAGGGTTTCTTCTTATAACAGCTCTGGCTGTCCTGGAACTCACTCTGTAGACCAGGCTGACCTCAAACTCACAGAGATCTGCCTGCTTCTGCCTCTGGAGTGCTAGGATTAAAGGTGTGCGCCATCACTGTTTGATGGTGTCTTAATTATTATTATTATTATTATTATTATTATTATTATTATTATTTTGGTTTTTCAAGACAGGGTTTCTCTGTATTGTTTTGGAAGTTGTCCTGGAACTCGCTCTGTAGATCAGGCTGGTCTCGAACTCACAGAGATCCGCCTGCCTCTGCCTCCCAAGTGCTGGGATTAAAGGTGTGTGCCACCACTGTCTGGCAACCATGCTGGAATCCTAACTGGCTTGATCCTGTGCTGACCATTGCTGTGGATTGGTATACATCTCCATGAAAGAGAATAAAATTACCCAAGGCACACTGATTTGCTTTTGAATTTACTGAGGTAAAAGTCACAGAACGTAAAACCAGCTACGTGGGAGTCTACAGAGCAGAGGCAGTTGGTATATTCACAGGGTTGTGCAGCCAGCACCTCTATCTTGTTCTAGAATATTGCCATCACTCCCACAGAAACACTAACTCATTAAGTCCCCCACATCTCCTGCTCTTGGCATCTACTGATGAGCTCTCTGTCTGTCTGGATTTGCATATTCTAGAGAGGGTCTGAAACACAAGAACACAATGTGTGGTCCTTGGGCCCTCACTGTTAGTATGTTTTCTTTCATTCCATCCTGCCTCCACCTTCTAAGTCATCCTCCTGCCTCCTCACCCAAGAGCAGAAATTAAAGGCAGAGGCTGGTAGGTCTCTGAGTCTGAGGCCAGCCCGGTCTACAGAGTGAGTTCTGGGATAGCCAGGACCACTCAGAAAAACCCTGTTTGGGGGTTGGGGGAGGGAATTACAGCTCTGAGGTTCCACTCTGAAAAGCTAATTGCTGCTAAGGGAAGGAGAGCCACTTTGTTTTAAGGGTGTTAACCACAGGTAGGTTGCCCATGGCCTACTGGATGACCTCATGCTGTTGTGCCCAGACTCTGAACCCTCAAAACCACCAAGAGGCCAGATCCGATGCAAAAGCAAAGAGTCTTTATAATTTTTTTTTTTTTTTGGTTTTTCGAGACAGGGTTTCTCTGTGGCTTTGGAGGCTGTCCTGGAACTCGCTTGGTAGTCCAGGCTGGTCTCGAACTCACAGAGATCCGCCTGCCTCTGCCTCCCGAGTGCTGGGATTAAAGGCATGCACCACCAACGCCCGGCTACAAAGAGTCTTTATAATTAACAAGTTAACTGGAGTTAACTCTGTCCATCCGACACAGCGGGAGGAGCAGGAGGGGCCCCAAGCAGCAGTGGGGCAGGGAATATATTAGGGTAGAGCAAGGGGCGTGTCTGGGGGCCCACTAGTTGCATAGCAACAGTCTCAGGATTGGTGCCCCTCCCAGCTTGGGCAACCTGTCCTGTGTCAATTGGTCAGCTGCAGCTGCAGAAAGGTTGCTATGCCCAGAGGCCCTCCCAAGGCAGTTGCTAAGCTCTGCATTCCGGAGCCCACCAGCTAACCTCTGATTGGTTCCTTGCCACATGGAGGGTGTCTGACTTCCTAGTGATTAGGGAAAGGTTGGGCAAGATTGGGAGCTCAGCGCATGTTGCTGCTGAGGCAGGGGCCTATGTCTTGCTGGGTCTTCTCCGCAGCCTGTCATGATGGCTGCAAAGCAGAGGGTTGGACGAGGTCTGAGCCCTTCAATACTTATAGGCATACGGTCAACACTAATTGAACTCAATGAGTTAGGAAGGAAGGAAGGAAGGAAGGAAGGAAGGAAGGAAGGAAGGAAGGAAGGAAGGAAGGAAGGAAGGAAGAAGGGATAGATCTGGGAGGGAGATGTTATGTGAAATCCTTGAAGGAATTAAGAGGGAGAGTGGGGGTGAATGATTAAGATACATTGTATGTATATATGAAATTTTCAAAGAATAAATAGTTATATAAAATATATATATATGGGGAGGAGAAACAGCACACATTAAGAGCACTGGCTCCTTATAGAGGACCAGGACTCTTCTACTCCCAATACCCACATGATGGCTCCTTGCCGTGACTCCCATTCAGAAATGTATCTCCTCCAACAAGGACAAATAGTCCCGCCAGCTAGAGACTAAGTATTCAATATGGGGCATTCTCCTTCAAACCACCACAGTGAGTGCACTTTCAAGGCTACAGAACCATAGCAGCTCCCGGCCCTGCTTTTACTCCCATTGCCAGTAGTATTGAAGGACCCAGCCCCACGCCCAGCCCCCTGCTTTGGCAGCTATGACAGGATGCAGAAAAGACGCAGCAGGATGTAGGCCTCTGACTCAGCAACATGTGCTGAGCTCCCGACCTTGCCTAATTACTAGGAAGCCAGATACCCTTCAGGTTGCAAGGACCCAATCAGGAGTTTGCTGGGGAGCTCTGGATGTGCTTTACTGATAGCAGTGGGATGCAGAGCATAGCAACCGCCCAGGGAGGGCCTCTAAGCATAGCAACCTTGCTGCAGCTGCAGCTGACCAATCAACACAGGACAGGTTGCCCAAGCCAGGAGGGGCACCAATCCTGAGACTGTTGCTATGCAACTAGCAGACCCCCCAGACACTCCCCTTGCTCTACCCCAATATATTCCCTGCCCCACTGCCGATCAGGGTCCCTCCTGCTTCACCCGCTGTGTTGACTGGAACCTGAGTTAACTCATAAAATTAAAGACTCTTTGCTTTTACATCAGATCCAGTCTCTTGGTGATTCTGCCAACAGACCAAAGGCAAAATGGTCCGGTAACAGTCAAGGCTGGCCCAGGCTGCTCCAGAGGCCAGACCCGCAATTGCCCTCTATGAGGGCCCTTGTGTGTTGACGCAGCTCATCAGTTTTTGGCTTCGTCTTACTTGTGGTGAACTCCTGATTTTGAAATCCGTATACACGTGTGTATTCACGTTACTACAGTGTTCACATGATGCATGTGTGCTCTTGTGAGAGTTTGCAAGTGCATACATGCCATGGAGATGAGGCTTCAGCATTTGGTTCTCCTCCATTGTTGGAATAACATCCGAGGACTAAACTCTGTAGTCAGTGAAGGGCTCCAACAGGGCCAAACATGGCAAACATGGTGCCCATAGGTCCTCTGTCCTCTACCCTTCTTTCTTTCGTCTCCCTTATCCAGCCATTCCCTTATTCCTGAGACTGACTGTCAAGGCTAAACCTCTAGATTCCCAAGCTAGAATTCCACTTTTTTCTTCTCAAAAGCCATTCCTGCAGAGCTGCTTGGGCTGCTGTTTCTGTCTGATTCAGCCACCCTGTTGGCTTTGTCTTGCTTACTAAAGGATCACTTTACGTTGGAAATTAGTGTTTGGGTGTGGTCTGTGCCTAACCCTGGGTCCAGAAGGGAGCACCCTATGGTGGCACACACCCTGGGTCCAGAAGGGAGCACCCTATGGTGGCGCACACCTTTTGTACCAGTACTCAGGAAGGAGAGGCAGGCGGATCTCTGTAGGTTCCAGGCCAGCCCTGGCGACTTAGTGAAACCCTGCGTGGTAGTTTGCATGAAAATGATCCCCTACAGGCTCATAGGGAGAGGCATTACTTGAGAGAGTTAGGACACATGGCCTTGTTGGAGTTAAGTATGGCCTTGCTGGGAGAAGTGTCTCAGTGGGCATAAGCTTTGAGGTTTCAAATGCTGCCTGCCGCTCCAGATGTGGAACTCTCAGCCTCCTCTCCAGCCCCATGACTGCCTGCACGCTGCCACGCTCCCTGCCCTGATGATAACGGACTGAATCTCTGAACCCATAAGACAGTCCAATTAAATGTTTTCCTTTATAAGCATTGTGTGACCGGATAAGGGGGAGCTCTTGAATCCCAGACTGATGGCTGAGAGGCCAACAGGAGACTGATCCAGACTCCATGAATGTAGTGCCAGGGAGGAGGCCACAGAAATCACTGGGGCCTTGGGTAGTAGATCAGTGTTTACCATGGTTTATGAATGAGCTTTGGAAGCCTGTTCCAAATACAGGGTTGGTCTCTCAGCCTGGACACATGGGAAAGGGCCTAGGTCCTGCCCTGGATTAAATGACAGACTTTAGAGATTCCCCCCTCCAAGGAGGGATTGGGTGGGGGGTTGGGGGACTGGTGGAGGGACAAGGGAGGAGGGGTGGGAGAGGGAGCTGGGACTGACATGTGAAACATTCACGTTTCTAATTTAAATAAAAACATATATTGAGAAAAATAAATAAATAAAATAAAATAAAAACTCAGAAAAAAGAAAGAGTTGTGCTGGCCAGTGTCTTTTCACAGCAATAGAAACCCTAATATATAACTTGAAAAATGTAAAGCCGTAAAAACGATGAACAGTGCCCCCAAACACATCGCCAGCTGCCACCAGAAGTGACAAGCTACAAGAGAGGCATGGAACAGGATCCCCCTTCCTTCCTTCCGAAGGAACCCATGTTGTCCACACCTTGATCGTGGCAACTCACATAACCAAGAGCATTATTATTTTCCTTTGTTTTAAACCAACAGGTTGGTGGCACTTGGGTACGGCAGCCCCAGGACATTTCTTGGAGGAAACTGTTCACGTTAGCCTGTGGCTGGAGACTCTCTAAAGGCCGCACTCACAGAGAGAGAAAAGGCTGTTAGCAGGAAAAGAGGAGGGAACGGGGCAGATGTGGTATACAGGGCAACCAAGCCAACAACCCCGTCTTCCTCTTCATGCACGGAGGCCGGTTCATGTGGGTAGGCTCAAACCGAGATGTTCAAAGCAGCCCGAGGATGGGGATGGCTGGAGGAATCTGCATCTTACCCACAGCTCTACACTTGGCAGTTCCGACCCCTTGCTAACCTGGTAGAATGACCCGGCAAGGTTGTGGGGACCAGAAACCCCCATGTTCTTCTTGAAGTGATCAGGGTCTTTTAGAGGTGGCACCGGTACTGACCACTTGAGACCCCAGCCCCGGCCTCTCGCACTCACACACAGAGTCCCTCATTTCTGCATTTCCGTAGTCACCATCTTGACCTCCCCCTGGCCTGTGAGTTTTTCCCCACCCAGACAAGCACTTGTCACAGTCCTGGAGACTCACCCAGGCAAAGCAGGTATACGAAATCTACGTCCATAGCGCCCCTTCTCCTTAAACCAAGATCCAGTGTTGGGCTCTCAGGAAAGAGAGGGCAGGGCAGGAGGTGACCACTGTTCTCTCCTGGCCCCACTCTGTCCCTGGAACCTGCAGGCTGAGGCTCTGCTCTGACATTTGACTTGCCTGCATAGCTGTTTGCACAGTTTCCTTCCTGAACAGACACAGGAAGCAAGAAGCCTAGGATGATGACATCTTCTCTGCCACCATGGGCGCAGCTCTGCCCACCCTGGGACCTGAAATCTTACCTAAGACGCCTGACATTCTAATATGCTCATTTTTGACCATCTCAAGCTTGTATATCACGTCCTGTGGTCATATTCAGTCCCCTCCTACTCCTACCAGCCCGCTCCTTCCAAATTAGCTCCCCCACCCACACTCCTCCCCGCCGTCTCTCCTACTTTGTTTGCTTCTTCCTTCCTTTCTTTCTTTCTTTCTTTCTTTCTTTCTTTCTTTCTTTCTTTCTTCCTTCCTTCCTTCCTTCCTTCCTTCCTTTCTCTCTTTCTCTCTCCCTGTGTTATATTTTGATTATTATTCTCCTGTGGTTATTAAGTCTATGCTGTAACTATATCTTTAAGCAAATTATTTTATATCCTTTTGTTTTGTTTTGCTTTGTTTTTGTTTGTTTGTTTTTTGAGACAGGGTTTCTCTGTATTGTTTTGGAGGCTGTCCTGGAGCTCGCTCTGTAGACCAGGCTGGTCTCGAGCTCACAGACATCCACCTGCCTCTGCCTCCCGAGTGCTGGGATTAAAGGCGTGCGCCACCAACGCCTTTATATCCTTCTGAAGTTAGCTTTTCTTTAAAAGTGTCATGAGTGTATACAGTGTATCTCCACCACACCTTCTCAACTCTCCCCAGCACCTCCATCACATCTCCCTCTTAACTTCATGTCTCCCATTAAAATGTATTCATATTAAGGGCTGGAGAGATGGCTCAGTGGCTAAGAACACATGCCTTTCTTCCAGAGGACCTGAGTTCAAGTCCCGGCACCCATGTCGGGGGAACTAACACATCTGCCCTCCAGCACCTGCCCACACACAGACATACATACATACATATATTTAAAAAGCAAAAATAAGCCAGGTGGCGTTGGTGGCGCACGCCTTTAATCCCAGCACTCAGGAGGCAGAGGCAGGCGGAACTCTGTGAGTTCGAGGCTGGGCTAGACTGACAGCTTCCAAAACAATACAGAGAAACCCTGTCTCGGAAAAACCAAAACCAAAACAAACAAAAAAAGCAAAAATAACTCTTACTCTCTATTTTGCTCCTTCCTGCTGTCCTTTGCCCTGTATGTCGCTCTCTCCTTTTCCTTCTCTCTCTCTTTGCCCCCCCTTTAATAAACTCTATGGTTAATGGGGAAAAAAGCAAACATAAAATATTATTTGTTTATTTTAGGCTAACACACAAAGTGATGCATTTCATAGACATTTTCACACATACATATCCTTGTGCTTTTGATCTTTCAAAAATATATATTTATTTTATGTTTATGGGTGCTCTATGCCTTTAGGCCAGAAGAGGGCATCAGATCCCACTATAGATGTTTGTGAGCCACCGCGTGGCTCCAGGGAACTGAACTCAGGACCTCTGGAAGAGCAGCCAGCGCTCTTAACCACCGAGCCATCTGTCTGGCCTCATGCCTGCTTTTCCTTCCTCATCCGTCTCCTTTGTCTTCGCCCTCTCGCATCTTCTCCAGCCCTTTACCCCAGCCGATCGCCTTCCCTTCCGCTGTCATCAGAAACAACCCAACTAAACGAGGACCTCGTCACATTAAGTGAAATACGCCAGGGCACCAAGAAGCTGCCACACGCAATCTTTCATACATGGGACCAAAAAAAACGACACGGAGGAGGGACAGTTAGCGATGCCGTATTCCTTACCTTCCTAACTGCTGTGACAAAAATACCCACTCAAAGGGGAAAATTGTTACTGTGCTCATCAGTTTCGGTCCATCATGGCCTGGCGGAGGGCATGGGAGGGAGAGCACCTGCCGGAGGCTTTTCCCATCACTCAGGGAGCTTGGGACCGTACAAGAAGCAGGCTGTCTTAAGTTCCATTCCGCATAGGGATGTGATGAAAACACCCCGACAAAGACCGGAAGTGGTGGTTCACACCTGTAACCCTAGCATGGCCGAGCTTCTCACAGATGGATCTCTGTGAGCTTGAGGCCAGCTTAGCCTATACAGTGAGTTCCAGCACAGCCAGGGCTACATCGTGGGACCCCAATTCAAAACAAAAGCAAAACCAAGCCAGACGCAATTTGAAAGGCTTTATTTGATCACAACTCTAGGAAAATGTTTAGCACCGATGGGACATTAAGGCAGCAGAAACTTGAAGTAGCTAAGTCGCATTGCTTCCATGGCCAAGAGCAGAAAGTAATGAATTAATGCATATGTGCTAATACCCAGCTCCTTCGCTCTCAGAACATTTCGGTGACCCAAGAAGTAGTGCAGGTCTTCCCACCATAATTAAAGCCAATTAAGAAAATCCCCACAGGAGGTCTTACCCTCTCCCTTGAGCAGCTGGGAGGAAGGGAAAAGTAGAGGGAGTGGGAGGAGCGGAGGGAGGGGAACTGGGATTGGATTGTAAAAAATAAATTAATAAAAAAGGAAATAATGAGGTTGATGACTACCTTATACACCATCCTAGAGCCTTCATCCAGTTACTGATGGAAGCAGAGGCAGACACCCACAGCTAAACACTGAGCTCCTAGAACCCAGTTGCAGAGAGGGAGGAGTGATGAGCAAAGGAGTTAAGACTGGGCTGGTGAAACCCAGAGAAACAGCTGACCTGAACAAGGGGGGAGATCTTGGACCCCAGACTGATGGCTGAGAGGCCAGCATGGGACTGATCCAGACCCCCTGAATGTGGGTGTGTCAGTGAGGAGACTCAGGCAATCTATGAGGCCTGAGGTAGTAGATTAGTATTTATCCCTAGCATACAAATGGACTTTGGGTGCCCATTCCACATGGAGAGATGCTGTCTCCGCCTGGACACATGGGTAAGGGCCTAGGCCCTGCCATGGACGATATGACAGACTTTGAAGATCCCCCATGGAGGGCCTCACCATCCCTGGGGAGCAGAGGGGGGATGGATGAGGGGGTTTGGGGAGTGATGGGAGTGGGGGTGAGGGAGGAGGGGAGGGAGAAGGAGCTAGGATTGACATGTGAAGCAAGCTTGTTTCTAATTTAAATTTAAAAAAATATAATAGGAAAAAAATAAGAAACCCCCTCAGACATGGCCACAGGCTAGCTTAATGTAGACAGTGCCTCATTAAGACACCCCAGGTGATTCTAGATTGTGTCAGACTGACAATCAAGACCAATCATGACACAACTATAAGCCTCGATGTCTAAGACCCCCCCTATGCAGCCACGCTGTCTGTCTCAAAGAGTCCAAGTGGCCAGGCGCATGAGCCTGGGGAGGGGATCCATCTCACATTCAAATCATTAAAGGAGAACAGAGCAAGACTTGGGATGAGAGGGTAGTGAGTATGACCAAAGTTCATCACGTGCCTATATGGAGCAGTCATAATAAACTCTCTTACTAGAAACTGTTATTTGCCTGTGATAATTTTAAAAAGAATGGACACAGTATTCACTGAGGATACATTTGGGGACCCAGCGATGGCTCAGCAGTTAGGAGAACTTACTGCTGCTGGAGAGGATCTTGTTTCATTTTCCAGCACTCCCATGCTGGCTGACAACCGTCAAAACACTCATGCACATGAAAATTAATAAATCTTTAAAAAGGATATAAACATATATGTCAGAAACATATAATAAACAGTGTATGTAGAAGTAAATATGCGATTTACATATTCTAGATAAGCAGCAGTGCCAGCAAAGATGCTCAATACGTTCTTATTTTGTTTTGCTTTTCAAGACAGGGTTTCTCTATGCAGCCCTGGCTGTTCTGGAACTCACTCTGTAGACCAGGTTGACCTCGAACTCAGAGATCTGCCTGCCTCTGCCTCCAAGTGCTGGGATTAATGCATGTGTCACCACAACCTGGCAACATGCATGCGGACTGGGGCTGGGGATGGTGGCACATGCCTTTAATCCCAGAACTGGCAGGAAGAGGCAGATGGATGTCTGTGAGTTCAAAGCCATCCCATCCTGGTCACATGGCAAGTTCTAGGACAGCCGGGGCTACATAGTAGAGAGACCCTGTCTCAAAAATCGCCAAAGAGGAAAAAAAGCGTTAGAAAGAAACACACACATACACACACGTGTAAGACAAGCACTTGTGTGTTTCAGAATATCTCTTTACACTGTGTGAAGAAGTGTCACTATGATCGCTTTAACGAAGAGCTGAAGGTCCAACCACTAGGCAGGAAGAGGTTGGGTGGGACTTCTAGGGACAAAGAGTCTCAGGGAAGAAGAAAGCGAGGTGGCCAGCTGGATGTAGTGGAAGCAGGATGGATAGTACAAAGTAAAGGTGACCAAGACAAGTAAAAGAACACAGATTTTAAAATATGGGTTAATTTCAGCTCTAAGAACTAGCTAGGAACAAGCCTAAGCTATGGTCAAGCTTTCATAACTAATAAGAAGTCTCCATGTGGTTATTTGGGAGCTGGCAGGTGGGACAGAGAAAGACTCATTACATCTGTGCCCAGGCTTGGCCTCCATCCTATGTGCAGAGTCGAAATGAGTCAGCCATCATCCTGTCCCTGGATTAATCCCCAAAAGCTGGCATCATGGTCACACAGAAATTCACAGGGATAATTTGGTCCAATTACACCAAGGATTCACTGGTCCCCTGGGGCATTGTGCAGCCTGTGGGTAAAGAAGGACAGAGTTGAATTGAGGGGAATGCAATCTCTAAATTTGGGGGGGTCCCCACCCACACCCACCCTTCCCATATGGTCCTTCCCAAATGCTTCGTTTGTGGGGGAGTGTTGAGACAGGTTCTTATGGTTGGGCTGTCCTCAGACTTGCTATGTAGCCAAGGATGACTTTGAACTTCTGAACCTCCTGCATCCCAAATGCTGGGATTACAGATGTGCACCCCGATGCCCTGTCTATACAGTGCTGAGAGTCAAGTACTGGAATTCATGACTGACATCTGTAACTCCAGTCCCGGGGAATCCATGGCCCTCTTGTCACCTCCTTGGGTACTTCATGCACAAGGTGCACAGACAAAAACGCAGGCAAAATGCCCATACACATAAAATAACTTAAAAAAAATTTACTTATGTATGAGTGCTGTACACATGTATGCCAGAAGAGGGCATCAGATCACACTATAAATGCTCCGGAGCCGCCATGTGGTTGCTGGGAATCGTCAGGATCTCTGGAAGAGCAGCCAGTGCTCTTAACCACTGAACCACCTCTCCAGCCCACATAAAATAACTTTTAGAGAGCAGATGATGGGCAGGCACCATCAACTGAGCTACACCCAGAGATCACTTTTTTCATTATCTACATTTATTATTTTACTTTATGTGTATGAGTTTTTGCCTGCGTGTATACTATGTGCACTATTTGTGTGCCTGGTGCCTTCAGAGCCAGAAGAGGGCATTGGATACCCTGGAACTGGAGTTACAGGCAGTTGTTGCCACGGTGTGGGTGCCGCGAACAAAACCCCATCCTCTGTGAGATCTACAAGCTCTCTTAGCCACTGAACCATCTCTCTGGCCCCTGCTTCTAATCCCTACCCTGTGGTGAAAAGAATTTTCCTGTGTGCCTCTGTGGAGAAACTTGAGACACCACTGGGTGGGACCTGGCTTTTAGATGAATTCGTATTGATGTAGGGCATGTCATTGTAACTATAAGTAACATGGCTGAATTGGACAATTAAATAAATTTGCGACAAAATAACCTTGAATTGGTAGGTAGGTTTAATAGCTGCTTGGTAGAGGCCATTTCATAACTGGTGAATTTTCTTATTCAGTACACAATTGATTACTAACTTATTTTTTTCTCCTAGGGCGATTGGAGTATAATTGACAGGTGAAAATAAATATGCTGGGGGCTGGAGAGATGAGCCAGTGATTCAAAGGGCCGAGTGCTCTTGCAGAGGATCTCGGTTCAATTCCCAGCACCGTATGGTGGCTCACAACCATTCGTGCTCTGGAGGAGGAGCCAGACACCTTTTCTGGCCTATGCAAGCATCCAGCATGCACATGGTACACACATACACCCCGCACACGGTAACACATTCATGCAAAACACACCTACACATTACTTTTTTAAATTAAATAAGTCAAGTTCTTGCTCTATACGTAGTAAATATAATCCAACTTGTATCTGTCAATCATACCTCTGTCAACCTAGGATGAAGAAAACCCTCATAATTATACAAAAGCCCATTAAAAATAAAAGGAATATTCAGTTATATTACCAAGGTCTATTTGGAGACAGCCTCTGGCTATGCCAGGCTTCAACCAGGAAGCCTCCCAATATTAGCACAATTACAGCAGCCACTCCAATCCTGATGAGGTTACCCATGACGTAACCTGTCACATTATCTGGAGGACCATAGTCTTCTGTCACGGCATCTGGTGGGTTTGAAAGGGAGAAGATGATCATACTGGTCACAGAGGGCATCCCTCCTTCACAGACAGATAGAGTGAATCTGACTCCAGTATGTCCCTTTGCATCATGGACTCCAATCTCTAAAGATTTAATGTTAGATGGGTTTTTAAATTTAAGTGGAAATGGGCATTCCTTTACCTTCTTCTGTTTGTGTTCACTCTGCCTCAATTATTTTCCTCTTTGCTTGGCTTTATCTTATTTCTACCTCTGGTCACTTCCATTTCTTTATATCCCTTGATGGATTAGGGGTTAATCTTAGGTGCAATGCTTATAACAAAGGAGAGAGATCCACACATGGATCTACAGAACACAGAATTCAGTGGCAGGTCAGCATGCCACCTTAGACCACAAAATTTCATATGGGCAGTGAGCTTCAGAAAATTTGAACCTAGCAGAAGAAAGACTAGTTCACTGTATATCTGTTTTTTTATTATTTTAATTTTAAATAGCTTGTTTTACATGGCAATCCCAGTTATCTCTCCTTCCCCTCCTCCTGCACCCTCCCACCATCCCCCCAACCCCAGCCTTCCATCCTATCGCCATTTCCTTCCACATAGGGGATATCTAGAGTCTGTCATTTCACTCAGGGCAGGGTCCAGGCACTCCCCCAAGAGTCCAGGCTGAGAGAGCATCCCTCTTTGTGCTATGGACACACAATGTCTGTATGCCAGGGATAAACACTGATCCACTGCCCAGGGCCCCATAGGTTTCCCAGGCCTCCTCACTGACTCTCACACTCAGGGGGTCTGGATCAGTCCCATGCTGGCCTCCCAGCTGTTGGTCTGGTGTCCAAGAGCTCTCCCCTATTCAGATCAGCTGTCTCTGCTGGTTTTGCCAGCCCATTCTTTGCCAATTTGCTCATCACTCCTCTCTCTATGTTGCTGGATTCCTTGGGTTCAGTTAAGTGTTTAACTGTGGGTGTTTGCCTCTGCTTCCATCAGTCACTGGATGAAGGCTCCAGGATGGTTACAGACATCAAGTTCATTATCAGGAATGGGCACTCGAGGTGGTCTCTCCACTATTGCTTAGCTTGCCAGTTGGTGTCATCCCTTTAGATCACTACACACTGGGGCCTGATCTGTCTTCTAACCTATGATTCCCTCTTCCCCCTATTTTACCCCCCACTCAACCTTCCTGTTCCCCCATGACCTACTCTCTCTATCTGTTGATGAAAGTTTCTGCCCCACCAGCCTGGTCCCACAATGGCTTCAGCCCCAAATAAACACACAGACACTATGTTAGTTATAAATCTGTTGGCCAATGACTAGAGCTTCTTATTGGCCAGCTAGCACTGTCTTAATTATTAACCCATAACTACTAACATATATATTTTCACATGGTCTTGGCTTGCTGGAAAATGACAGACTTGCAACTCCTTTGCCTGCTACATGGCAACGGACTCTGGCAGCTCTCCTGCCTACCTTTCCCAGAATTCTCCTCCTCTCCTAGTCCTGCCTCTCTTCCTGCCTCATTGGCTATTGGCCAAATAGCGTTTCATTCATCAGCCAATAAGGGAAACATATACAAAAGGACAACTCCATCATGGGTCTCCCTTTCCTTCAAGAGGAGATGTTGAATGGTAAGGAGTAAGGGAAACGGCTAAGTGGCCAAAGTGCCTGAACTCCAGAACCCACATCCAACTGGGTACAGCAGTGTGTATCTAAAACCCACATGCACTGTAGTGAGACAGGAGGAGAATCCACACAGAAGCCCGAGGGCCAGCTAGCCTGGCATCTGCAGCAGGGGACTGCAAGAGACCCTGCCTCACACGGGGCAAAAAGCAAGGACGACAGCAGCCAGCACTGTCTTCTGAACCCCACACATGCACCTTGGCGTGTGAGTGCCTGCACTTAAACACACGAGCACACACGAGCACACACGCACGCAGCAAAAATGGAAGTTGGAGGAGCTGATGTGATGCTTGGCATTGATCTGTCCTTGACACAGCACGTGAATCAGCTCATCCCGAAGACGGCAACTTCACAACTCAACACACCAACAGCAAGGTTAACCTGCCAGCAGGACCCACACGGAAAAGCAGGTAACATCATTGCCAGCAGGACCCACACGGAAAAGCAGGTAGCATCATCGCCACATAAGAGCATCACTCTTCACCTGTCATTACTGACCACACAGACCTTCATACCTAGCAGTGATCACACCCTGCTGAAAAAAATCTCAAAGTCAAAAAGGAGAACTCACAACCAAGGTGTGTAGCATTTGCCGGGGCAACATTCTGGCAGGAAACTTTGGATAGTATTTGAAGATGTCAAACAGTAATGGAGCGACATCAGGGGAAAACCCACTTATACTTGTTTAACTATATCTATAGGTATGTAAATATGGGAGGCAAAACCCTCCACAGCAAAAACTTCCACACGCTAAAGAAAGAAAGAAACGGAAGAACACACTAGAACATGCATAGACGCCCCCCATGCTCAGGGATGGTCAGAATTAATAGTGTAAAAGGGGTCATATTACCAAAAGCAATCCTCAGATTTGGCATGATCTTACTCAAAACCTTAACGACATTTTTCATTGTACTAGGAGAAACAATGCTAAAATTCTTATGGAAGCGCACATGGCATCAAATAGCAAAGCGATCCTTAGCCGAAAAGCTATGTTGAGAGAGAGAGAGCACGATGACACCCAATCTTAAATCATATTACAGAGCCATAGCAAAACAACAAAGCCAGGACAAGCAGAACGACACTGGCGTAAACACGAGCATGTGACAGTCAAATAGAATGGATGAGACCTAGATATCAGCCCATATTGCGTGATTCGCCTTTTTCTGACAAAGTGGTCAAAAACATACATCACGGTCAGACATGACGGTGCACACATTTAATTCCAGTGCTCTGGGGGGGGAGGCAGAGCTTTGTGAGTTCCAGGCCAGACAGGGCTATATAGTGAGAACTTGTCTCAAAACAAACAAACAACAGATTATAGAAAAGACATCCTCTTCAACAAATGATGCTGGAACACCCATGCCAACTTGTTTTTTTTGTTGTTGTTGTTGTTTTTTGGTTTTTCGAGACAGGGTTTCTCTGTATTGTTTTGGAGGCTATCGGTCCAGCCCAGCCTCGAACTCACAGAGATCCGCCTGCCTCTGCCTCCCGAGTGCTGGGATTAAAGGCGTGCGCCACCAACGCCCGGCTCGATGCCAACTTGTTAAACAATGACAGTGGATCCATATGTCTCACTGTACACACACACACACAAATCAATTCTAGGTAGAACAAAGATCTTAAACTGGAAACTTTAACACTGCTAGAGGGGAAACACTTGAAGATCCATACACAGGCAAGCATTTGTTAAAATCCTCCTTGATAGCACAGGAAATGATCCAAGGAACTAGCAAATGGGATTGCATGAAATTAAAAGGCTTCTGTACGACAAAGGAAACACTCGACGGTGTGAGGAGCTGTCGGGTAGAATGGGGAAAAAATCCCGTGCACCAGAGGATTATTACACAGATGTATAAAGAACTCTGAAAATTAAACAACAAAAATCATCCAAACAATATATGAGCTAAAGGACTGAATAGGTAGTTCTCAGAACCAGAAACACAAACGGCCACCAAACAGTTGAAGAAGGTGTTCAATAGTCTTAGCCACTGGGAGAAATGCTAATTAAAACTGCTATGAAGATCTATCTTATCACAATTCAAATGTCTGAACAAGTAACAACAGATGCTGGTGCTGATGTTGGGAGAGAGGCATCCTTAGCACTGCTCCTTGGGAGTGTAAACCTGTGGGTCCTCTATAGAAATCAGTATGGAGGGTTCTCCAAAAAACAGAAAGACTACCAAACAACCCAGCTGTGTCATATCTTGGTTCACACCTGGAAGACTCTAAGTTAACACACCACAGAGGTGCCTTCTCATCCATATTTATCAGGACTTATTCACAGGGACCAGGGATCTAAACCTGTCTAGATGGCCATCAATGGAACAATGGAGCAAATGTGATGTGTGTACATAACAGAATTTTATACAGACACCGAGAAAAATAAGATCGTGGTGTCGGCTGAAGACCATTGTTAAGTAACATAAACTAGATTCAGAACGATGAGCATCATGCTTTCTTTCAAACGTAGAAACTAGACTAAACATTATATGTGTATGTGTGAAGGTACGTGCTTTTCTATAAGAGGGGAGTCACGATGGAATGAGAGCAAGCGTCCCTGTCGCTTGCACAGAGTCACCCTGATCAAAGCCATTACTTTGTGTGCTAACTGTGTTAGCGATCAGACGCCTCACTAAGGCAACCGAAGGAAGGGTTTACTCTGACCATGGTGGGAAGACACCGCAGCAAGGGTTGAGGCAGCCGGCCACGCGATGCAACCGAAGCCAGGAAGCAGAGAGAGTTAAGCCCCAGAGCTCAGCGCATTTTTTTTTTTTTTTTTGGTTTTTACGAGACAGGGTTTCTCTGTATTGTTTTGGAGGCTGTCGGTCCAGCCCGGCCTCGAACTCACAGAGATCCGCCTGTCTCTGCCTCCCGAGTGCTGGGATTAAAGGCGTGCGCCACCACTGCCCGGCTGCTCAGCGCATTTTAGCCTTTTTATTCAGTCTGGGATCTAAGCCCATCGATGGCACCACTGGGATATAGGACGAGCCTTCCTACCTCAGTTAAACTAATCTAGGTGATCCCTCGTGGACAAGCCCAGGGATTTGTTTTCTTGATGATTCTCTATCCCGCTGAGATTAACTTTTTTTTAATTTTGTTTATTTAGTATGTATACAATATTTTGTGTACACGTATCTCTGCACGCCAGAAGAGGGCACCAAATCTCATTACAGATGGTTGTGAGCCACCATGTGGTTGCTGGGACTTGAACTCAGGACCTTTGGGGCAACAGCCAGCACTCTTAACTTCTGAGCCATCTCTCCAACCCGGAGATTAACTTTATATTAACCCGAAAGACTAAATTGAAATAACGGGACGCCAGAGTAGCAATGCGCCCCTTCAGTCCTAGCATTAGGAGGCAAAGGCGGGCAGACCTCTGTGCATTTGAGGCTATCCTGGTCTACACAGTGAGGCCTGGTCTCAGAAGCAATATTAATAATGATGATAAGAGTAAGGCAGAGAAGGAAGAGAAGTGATCGAGACATCAACATTGTGTAACTAAATAAAACTCGTCTGCAAACTACCTCGCCTCATGCACAGGTGTTGACACAGTTCCACAAACCCTTACCTGTCACAGAGACCTCAAGGGGGTTGCTGGGGACTGAGGTCCGAAAGGGGGGCCTTGCCTGGAAGTACACACAGGTGTATTTCCCTGAGTCTCTGGCTGTCACTTTCTCGAGAGAGAAGTCCAGCACCGTTGCGGTCGAGCTGCTCATCTGCAAAGGGGATGAGTGTCCCTCCTTCAGCAACGCAAACTTGATGGGTCTGAGCATACTGTCTGTCCTCAGGCACTGCAACGTCACCTTGCTTCCTGCAACCACTGGGCCCCACTGGTGGGCTTGGAGGGAAGGCCTAGGCAAGTACCCTGGACAAGAAAGAGGTTTGAACTCACGGGAAGAAGCTGTAGGCACCGCCAGTACTCCTGTCCTTTGTTGGTGGAGTCCTTCTTTATTCCCTTCTTTCCTTCTCTTTCTCTCCCTCTTTCCTTCTTTTTCTCTCTTTCTTTCCTTTTTTCTCTCTTTCTTTCCTTCTTTATTTCCCTCCCTCTCCTCTCTCTCTCTCTCTCTCTCTCTCTCTCTCTCTCTCTCTCTCTCTCTCTCTCTCTCTCTCTCTCTCTCTCTCTTTCTCTATTTTTGGTTTTCCAAGACAAGGTTCCTCTGTGTAGGCCTTGTCCTGGAACTTTCTCTATAGACCAGGCTGGCCTTAAACTCACAGAGATCTGCCTGCCTCTGCCCCCCTCACCCCTCACCCCCAGTGCTGGAATTAAAGGTGTGCCCCACCACAGCCTGGAGAAATGTTTGCTTGTTTGTTTGTTATCGTTCTTGTTGCTTGGTAACGATCTCATGAGTCACATACCACTCACTGTCTACTGTGACTGCCGGACAGAGATTTCCCCCTCCAACGAACCATGGGTGGGGCCACATTCCTGTTCCTCTATCCCTTGCTCTCTCTGGAGATCCCATCCCGTTTCATCCTCCCTTCATGCAACCCCTGTCGACCCCCGTCTGAAGATTCCATCTATCCCATAGATCACTCTAAGACAGACCCTCCTCACCTGTGACCAGTAGGAGAAGGGGGTCACTGGGCTGTGTCCTTGTGTCATTGGGCCATTTGCTTTGGGGTTCACAGGTGTAGCGCCCTCCATAACCCTGTTGCAGCTCGGTGATGTAAAACTCGGCCGTATCCTCTGTCAAATCATATGGCTTCCTGATATCGAAAACATGACCTTCCTTCTTGAGGATGAAGTATTCGCTTGGGGTGGGGCTCTTACATCGAATTGTCACATTGCTCTTGGTGGGAAGCACCGAGCTGGGCCAGGCGCTGAGGCTGGCCTTGAGAGGGAGCCCTGGAAGCAAATGGAGCCCAGGGCTGCATCTGACTTACTTACCTGCTCCCAGAGCCCCCCCCCCTTCTTCTACGTAGAGGAGAAAGCACTGCAGAGGTCGCTCAGTTAGCAAAGGGACTGTTAGGCAAGCCTGAGCACCTAAGTTGGACTCCTGGAGTCCACATAGAAATCAAGATGTGGTAGAGTATGCTTGCAATCCCACCGCTGGGAAGGGGACACAGCTGGACCCATGGGACTTCCTGGTCAGCTGGTCCACACTAATTGGCATGCCTCAGGTCAAATGAAAGAACTTGTTTCAAAATAAGAAAGAAAGAAGAAAGGAAGGAAGAAAAGGAAAGGGAAGGAAGGAAGGAAGGAAGGAAGGAAGGAAGGAAGGAAGGAAAAAAGATTTCCAGAAATCCCTATAATAAAATGAAATAAAATAAAAAGTATGGAGGACTCCTGGTAAATTACACCTGCTGGTGATAATGTCAGTGGAGCCGGTGGCATCTCAAGTTCAAGGTGTCAGTCCACGAAGAGGCAAATTCCTGATGGGTGAATCTAAGATAGGCAAGGCCCCAAGACCACAGACTCCAGAATGTCTTTTGCTTCTGCTGTGCCTTTACATGTTTGGTGCTGCCATCTTTTTTGTTTTGTTTTGTTTTGTTTTGTTTTACGAGATAGGGTTTCTCTGTATTGTTTTGGAGGCTGTCAGTCCAGCCCGGCCTCGAACTCACAGAGATCCGCCTGCCTCTGCCTCCCGAGTGCTGGGATTAAAGGCGTGCGCCACCACCGCCCGGCTGGTGCTGCCATCTTTATCTGGTGTCTGGCATGGTGTAAACGGGTGTGGGGAGATCTTCACTGCCTGTAATGTAGTGTGTTTGTCTTGCGGAAACATCCTGTTCTACTGGGCATTGTTACCTGTGGATTATTATGAAGACGGTTTCTTCTTAATCTGTACTGCCTGGTTCATAATGATAGTTAAAAAGTAGAATTTTGACGATTAAAATAAATGCAGGGTAGTGTCACACAGCAGCTAGGACCCATGAGTCTCCCCATAAGGGCTATGTAGATCACAGTGCAGATTGATGATTAAGGACAGCAATTGGGTCCCAGGAGCCAGGCTGGCTTGAATGATCTGAATCTTAATGCTGAAAGATACGTTCACAGGTTTCAGTGTGCATCATAGCCGAAACAAAGCCTTAAAATAACTTCAGGTTAGATTAGATTCTTTGATAGGAAAAACCCTAGGAAACAACCTAAAGTTCACAAGGACACATAGCTGAGTTCTAGATTCGTTAGGTTAGTGTCAAAAATACAAAGCAGCCCAGTTGTGGCTGGCTGATGTACTTTCCTTGCTAGGATTGGTTGATGATCAAAGGTGATGGTTAGTTCCTTGTACCTATTTTTTGCCTTCAATCTCCTGATATAAGAAACTATTAATGAGTAGGTATGTACCCTAAAAATTTAAAGACGAGCTGACTGGTTGTTTTTCATGTATAAAAGTTTAGGTTTGTGATTCCTTGAAGATTCATTGTAAGACTACCTTTCTTTTTTTATTTTTAAATTTTATTTTATTTTATTTTTTATATTTTATTTTCCAGTTTAAATTTAGATAAGAAACTAGGTTGCTTCACAAGTCAGTTCCAGGTCCCTCTCCCTTTCCCTCCCCTCCTCCCGTGCCCTCCCCCCCACCTCCCCACCCCTATTATCCCCTCATTCCCCCAGGGAGTAAGACTACCTTTCAAGATAAATAATAAAGTGATTGACTCTTTCTTTGTAATCCCAATATGCAGCCTGCCAGTAGAAGATGGCTGAGAAAAATAGCCCTTGCCTGCTCACACTCTGTTAATCTGTAGCAAGTTACTTAGATGAAAATGTATGTGGGTTCTTGGGGTGACTTTGTTTTAATCATGTAAAAGATTAAAAAAAAACCCTGCCAGGTGGTCGGTGGCACACACCTTTAACCCCAGCACTCAGAAGGAAGAGGCAGGTGGATCTCTGTGAGTTTGAGGCCAACCTAGTTCTACAGAGTGAGCTCCAAGACAGCCAAGACTGTTTCACAGAGATACCTTGTCTAGAGAAACAAAAAAAAAATGAGAGGTAAAAAACACGGTTTTACCTGTATTCCTTTGAATCGTTCACTTGAAAAATAGAATGTAACCACATTGTAACTCCTATGTTGCCTGAAAAGCTTTGTTGAGGTATACAAAGCTGTCAAAAAGAGAATGCAGTGGTAGAATAAAGATGAAAACCATCAAGAGAGTAAGTTAGTGCCTTTTCTCTTACACCCTGAGATAATAAAATAGTCACAGCATGCCAACTCCATGGGTTTCTCTTTAAGATGGGCACAGGCAGCATAGAACAACAGAGTTGTTGACCTCTGGTGTGTACATGAATGCACACACGCACATGCGTACTCAGATATGCATATGGACACACACGTAAGGTATAAAAGGAGGAGGGAAAACAGGGAGAGTTTGTCTGGAGACCCACTTACCACTGTCAGGGATGTGGGTTTGTCCAACACAGAGCCCTGGGGGAAAAAATCATAAGTGAGGCACGAGTTCCTGCTTGGAGTCACCTAGTCACCCTCTCTGGTCCAGAGGGGCACTGTAAGAGCACTGACATCTTATCACTTGGTGTCTCCCTCTCAGGAGCTGGGTGATCCTTCACCTGGGCTGTGACTTCAGATTGTATCTGAGGTTGGCATTGCCATCTTGATGATCTCACTCCAAGGGTCCCGTCTTAGTTCTACAAACTGCCACCAACCCTTCCAATCCTTATCCTGAAGCTTCATACAATCACCTCTGTATGAAGCTTCAGGATATTGGAGCACGGGTCATCTCCTCTCCTCTGGGGAAGGGGCACCAGCATTGTAGGTCACTAGGGAGATAAGAGATTAGCCTATTCCTACTGGTATCAAGGACCTACGGAGGAAGCTAGGTGTGGGGGCACATGCCTTTAACCACAGCATTCAAGAGTCAGAGGCAGGAGGAGCCTAGTGAGTTTGAGGCCAGCCTGGTCTTCATGGTAAGTTTCAGGACAGCCAGGATTGCATAGAGAGACCCTGTCTCAAAACAGAGAAAAAAGATCCTGCAGAAGGAGGCTCGGGAGAGGGTTCGGTCAATCTGATACCCACAGTGAAAAAGATCACTGTGATGGCATGTGATTGTCATCCCGTGCTGGGGAGGTGGAGACAGGAGGACCCCTTGAGCTCAGTGACCAGTCAGTCTAGCCCAAATGGTGAGCCTCAGACCGAAAAGAGACCTTGTATAAAGAAACAACGTGAATAGCACGTGAGAAATGGCACCAGAGGTTGGATTTCTTGTCTCCACACATGCATGCACCTGTGAACACACACACACACACACACACACACGCTAACATGCAACTTATTTACAATGTATACAAACAAATGTAATAAAAATAAATCTATAATAAGACCCATCATGCCTCCACTTGTTGTGACCCATAGATGAAGAGCCATGGGCACATATTCATAGGATTAAAGGTAAATAGACTAAGTAGGTTGTATATATGTGCTCACACACACACACACACACACACACACACACACACACTAAATTAAAGGAAACTCATGTATTGGGGAAGGATGCTCTGAGCCCAGTAGAAGAAGCTGTGTGCCCTGTGCGCATGACTGTTTTCTTTTTTCTCTTTTTGTTGCTTGCAGTTTCTGTGTGTAGCCCTGGCTGTCCTGGAACTCACTCTGTAGACCAGACAGACATCCACCTGTCTCCTGCTCTCAGTACTGGGATTAAAAATGCCCCACTAAACCTGGTTTACTATTATTTTTTGATATGGAGGCCCAAGGAACCCAGGCAGGCTCAAATCCCCTATGTAAGTGGATGGCTTTGAACTTCTTTTTTAAAAATAATTTACTTTTTTATTTTATATGCAGTGGTGCTTTGGCTGCAGGTACGTCTATATTAAGGCATCAGATCCCCTGGAACAGGAGTTACAGACAACTATGGGCTGTCATGTGGGTACTGGGTCTTCTGGAAGAGCACTCAGTGCTCTTAACCACCAAGTCATCTCTCCAGCCCCGGCTCTGAACTCCTAAAGCTCCTGCTTCCACCTCTCCAGAGCTGGGGTTACAGGTGTGTGCCACCACAACCTGATCAGGAGTCATTTAATACCATTCATCACCTATTGTGCCTACTATCATATCAAAAAGAGCTAGGCGAGGTTGCACAATCTGTCATCTCATCACTTGCGAGTCTAGAGAGGAAGATCTCTGCGAGTTCAAGGCCAGCCCAGTCTAGGTTCTGAGTTCCAGATAATCCAGGGCTGCACAGTAGAAGCCTGACTCGAAACAATTTAAATATAACGAACGAGAAATTATTTCTGAGGCTGGTCTCTGTTGTATCTCAGTTACAACAAGTTGGCATCACAGAAATGCTGTGACCCAACTTTGGCTAGCAACAGCATATAGAGCTTGCCAGTTTTCATTTGTTTGTGTTATATCTATGTTCTATTTACTCACGTGTGAGTGTGTGTGTGTGTGTGTGTGTGTGTGTGAAGTAGTTCAGGCTGACCTTGAGGTCTCAAGTAGTTCAGGCTGACCTTGAATGCACCACTTACCTGAGGTGTCCTTCAGTTTGTGAAATGCCTGTCTCCCCCATCCACACACTGGATGATAGATTTGTGTCACCACAATTGGCTTAGAGCATTGTGGATGGAGCCCAGGACGTCATGCTCGCTGGGCAAGCAAGCAGCCTGCCCACACAGCCCCAGCCCCTGTTTTTCCCCATCTACGTCGACTCCATAGCGAGTATTGGTTTTACTCTAACCTGTACAAAGAGGCTTCCCCTTCATCCCAGGCACTCAGCACACTGATCTGGTGGTATGCGTTCCGGCTTCAATGCCCATCCAAGTATCTCACCACTTTATGACTTCCTGGAGACCAAGAGGATGACCCTGAGCGACTTACGGAGGTAGAGAAGGGGAAGGAGCCTAGGGATCATGGCGGCTCAGCAGCCGGTCCAAGGGTCTTCTTCGAGTCTCTTATCAGTAGGGGAACAGGACCAGGGTGTTGCAGTCTCTCCAGCCTCGGTGTGTAGGCAGGACTGGCTTTGAGCTGTTTCTCCCACATCCTTCCTCCCACACCCACTTTCAGGAAGTGAAGATGGCCTCTATTGCAACACGTCCCTGTGACCCCTTCAGAGACTTGACTCACTTGGCTCTCTTGCCACTAGGTCCACTTTCAGGCCAGACATAGGCAACTTCCTGTAGGACTAACACTGGGTTTGCTGGGTTCCTTCTGAGATGATGTAAGCATGTCGATGCTGAGATTTATGTAAAGTGAGGGGCAGAAACCGTGCTCACTAAGCATTGGCCAGTACACCTTTCCTAATAGGGGTGACCAGCCTGTTGTTACCGTCATTAAAATGTCTCAGTAACAAGACACAAACCGTGACTCAACAGTCCCACGAGGAGTTTTATTGGTGGACAGGGAAGGAAAGCGGGGTGAGGGGTAACCAACCTGTGCAGAGCTGAGAGAGAGAGAGAGAGAGAGAGAGAGAGAGAGAGAGAGAGAGAGAGATAAGAGACCTTTCTGTTACTGAGGAAGATTTGCAGAACACAGACAGCTCCTTTTCTTTTTAGACATTTGTTTTATTTTGCTTTGCATTTGAGACAGGATCTGGTGCAGCCCACCAGCCTCAAAGTCACCATGTAACCGAAGGAAGGTTGAGAACCACTTTGCTCACGGAGAACCATTGCGCTTGCAAAGCTTAACAGAGCCATGGGAGAGGGGCTGCGGGCAGGACCACGAGGGACCTTAAAGTAGCCAGACTGTGAGGTCTTCATCGGGCATGGGCATGATGATGACTTCCTGACATGTGCCCCCTTAATTGTCCTTCCCAACCGGTCTTCTTCTAGAAGCCACTAAAGCCACACACAACGAGGACAGAATTGCACAATGAGTCGTTTGTGGAAGTGACTGAGGCGGGAGGGTGCCAGTCACCAAGCCCAACTGTGCTGATCTTTTTTGTTGAACACATGAAGATGGTGACAGTTCAGCGCAAAGGATAATCCTTTGCCACACACACTTAAAATAAAAATCTGACAGGCCCTGGAGATCCACCATGGAGGGCCTCACCCTCCCTGGGGATCGGAGTGGAGACTGGGTGGGAGACTGGGGGGTCTGGTGGGGAGGAATGGGGAGGGGAGGGAGAGGGAGCTGTGGTTGACTTGTGAAATAAGTTTGTTTCTAACAAATAAAAAAAAAGGAAGAAAAAAATAAAAACAAAACCAAAAAACTCTTGAACATTAGATGAGTAAAAAAAGTAAAGTAAAAAGAAAAGAAAACTAGGTAAGTAAATGAATAATTTTTTTCCAAAAGCTTTAAGAGATTTATTTATTTACTATGTACATAGTGTTCTGCCTGCATGTGTGCCTGTAACAACAGCAGAGGACACCAGATCTCAGTATAGATGGCTGTGAGCCACCATGTGGTTGCCGGGAATTGAACTCGGGACCCACTAGAAGAGCAGCCAGGGCTCTTAACCGCTGAGTCATCTCTCCAGCCCAGAAATAAAAGTTTTTGGGTTTTGTTTTGTTTTTGTTTTCTACAAGAAGGAAATAAATCTTCGCTGGAGATTTCAAGAAAGGGAACCCGAATGTGGGTTCGGGGACACCCCTGTTTCACCATCTGATGCCTTCCCTCAGACTCCAGCTCTTCCTCTGCTTCTTCAGAACTGAGCAGGCGCAAGAGTCGTGAGGCTGGCTGGTCTGATGGAACGCTTCTCGGCTCATAGGTCTGGCGTCCTACTCTCCATAAGCCACTCCACAGGCTCCTTCAGCTCTGGAGGCCTGGAGTTCTTTACCCTGAAGGCTAGCAAGGAGCAGCGTCAAACCCTGGGAGGAGGATTTGCGTGTGGGTACTGTGGACGCATGGCAGCGCCTGAACTGGGCATCGAGATGTGCGTAGGCAACGTCAAAGAGCGGAGAGGATGGGTGGAAGGAGAGCTGTCAGACGCTGCATTCCAGACGAGGCGCGGCTGTGACATCCACACAACGCATTGCAGCATCTGTGGATACTGCGCAGGATCAAGCCACTCGCGATCTCTGGCTTGGGCGGACGCGCCTACACGCATGTCTGCGCATCGTGCACGCATGTCCGCGCCTCGTGCACGCATGTCCGCGCCTCGTGCACGCATGTCCGCGCCTCGTGCACGCATGTCCGCGCCTCGTGCACGCATGTCCGCGCATCGTGTGTGTGCCTGGTACTGGCGGCTATCAGAAGAGGATGTGAGATCTCCTGGAACTGGAGTTGTGGATGGTTCTGAGACAGCGTGTGGGTACCAGGAACTGGACCTGGGTCCTCTGAAAGAGCAATAAGTGCTCTGACAGATGAACACATGCCCAGCCCCTGCATGTGCTTTCCTGCTAGGCTAGACTGAGAGCCCTCTGTTGAAGGCCATGGTTTCTCTGATAGGATACAAAATTTGGGGTTGCTCTTATTTTTACATGTTTTTATTTAGTGTGTGTCCACCCACACTTTTTTTTTTTCATTTTGGTTTTGTTTTGTTTTTCCGAGACAGGGTTTCTCCGTATTGTTTTGGAGGTTGTCCTGGAACTCGCTCTGTAGACCAGGCTGACCTTGAACTCACAGAGATCTGCCTGCCTCTGCCTCCTGAGTGCTGGGACTAAAGGCGTGCGCCACAGACGCCTGGCTCACGCACACATGTAATAGGGGTGTGGAGAGGAGACAGAACAACTTGCAAGAGACAGTTGTCTCTTTCCAGGCATGAAACGGAAATCACTGGACTCGGTGGTACGTGGCTTTACCTGGCTAACCCTGGCACCAGCCTCCAAAAGTGTAGACATTAAAGGAAGGACTTTTTGATCATCGTCTCTTACCAAAGTCCAAATTTTTTAGTATTAAAGGGACACCATGGACCCCGCCCCAGTGCCGTTATGGCTGCGCACGAAAAGGAGACCCACACACATTCCCAGGAGACTATTATGGAGAGCAAATAACTGGTGTTTTATGAGGGGGGGTTCATGCGAGGTGATGAGTGGCAGATCTGAAGAGGAGAAGGCAGTGAGGAGTGGGCCGAGGTGGGTGGTTTGCTTGCCATCTGGGGCCGTGGTGGCGTCCAGCCCTGCCTGCAGCAAAGGCCCTCGTCAGGGTCCGTGTCTCTGATGCAGCTGCAGTCTGTGCTGCTGTTTATGCCCCTGGCTCCTGAGACCACCGAAGGCGGAGAGGATGAGTTGCATAGGCTGCTTGGATAAGTGGGTCCTGCTCCTCGAAGGCTGCAGCACTCGGGATAGCATGCCCTGTACTTCTCCCAGATAGCACAGTCGAGCTGAGTCTGTTGCCTGTATCACAGGTGAGCTGTCCCTGAGAACGTGTGTGTGTGTGTGTGTGTGTGTGTGTGTGTGTGTGTGTGTGTGTGTGTGTGTGTGAGATATCTGGCCCCAACACCATCTGCCATAAGGTGGCTGTAACGTGTAGTTTTCCCCGAAAGCTGCCTGGGTGCTGACGAGCTGTCTAAACCCCCAAATAACACACAAGACACTATATTAATTATGAAGCTGTTGGCCGTTTGTTTTTGGTTTCTAATCGGCTAGCTCTGACTTAATAATTGGCCCATAATTACTAATATATATTTTATAAGGACTTATCTTTACAAGGATGGCATCCTGGCCCATCCTTGCTTCTCCGGGATCACACGGCGAACAGACTCTTCACTACATTTCCCAGAATCCTCCTAGACTCCTAGTCCCACCTATCTTGATTCCCTATTGGCCTACAGTGCTTTATTCAACAACCAATAAGAGAGACAGATTTACAGAATGGCATGTCCCATTAGTTGGCACGGGTGAAGAAGAGATGTGGGCTCCCTTCACCCTCAGAACTCACCACTGTGGCCCGCTAGGGAGCTGACCTTCCCCCTAAACAGCCTCAGTACGTGGGAAAGCAGGTCGCGCGCCTCGCCTGTGCAGTCCAGCAGAGCTGACCCTGGAGACAGGGATGTGGATGAGCTGGCCCCAGCAAAGCGAGCACGGGTGATGTCGCCCAGCCACAAGGGGGCATGGGCACAGGAGAGATGCTTCCCCACCTCTCACCTCCGTTTGCATTTGGAAGAGCTGGCCCTAAAGTCATGAGAGGTGGTGAGCTTGTCCCTGCCCCTCACCAGCTGCAGCACTCAGGAGAGTGGCCCCTGTCTCTGCTCTGGGTAACAAGTAGAGTTGTCCCTGGTGGAGTGGTCATGGGAGAGCTGTCCCTGAAGGTGTGAAGGCAGGAGAACCTGTCCCGCCCCTTGCTCCATGCTGTACAGTGTGAACCAGTTGGGGCAAAGCTGGAGGGCTCGCCCTGGTGGTGAGGATGGGGGATAGCTGGTGGGGTGACCACCGCTGCAACCACCTAGCCCAAGAAACAGGGAAATGAGCTGGTCCACCTCAACATCCACCCTCTACGCTTGCTGGAGGACATGAAGGGGCCAGTCCTACAGATCCAAAGCTGCAGGATCTCCGTGACACAAGGCAGCAACAGGATATCCAAGAGGCGTCCCAGTGAGGGTCCTGTATCAATAGCGTAGCAGAAACCGTAGGCTTCAAACCAGACCGGTGACTTTCCAATGAACACTTGCAAGACGAGCTATGTGGACAGTAGAAGGTATACCGTGTGATTCACTGTGTCCCACTGCGGCTTCCAAGATGAGATCTTTCTTCTGTCTCTGTCTCTGTGTCTCTCTCTAAGCTTTGTTTATTTCATCGTAGGGGATGGGTTGCAAGGACAGAGGGCATATATAAAAGGATGGGGAGATGAACGGGATTGAGATACATGAATGTGAAGGCCACAAAGATTAAATAAAAGGTAAAAAGGTAAATGAATAAATCTCCAAAAAGAAGGAAAAGACAGCATAAAGAAGGCAATCTTCATGGTATTACACCTCCATTAAAAAAAAGGTAAATAAAATGACTAAAAACTGGGAATCCAGCATGGGACTGATCAAGACCCCCTGAATGTGGGTGTCAGTGAGGAGGCCTAGGTAATCTACTGAGCCTTGGGCAGTAGATCAGTACTCATCCCGAGTATACACATGGACTTTGGACTCCCATCCAACAATGTGAGATGCACTCTCACCCTGAACTCTTGGGGGAGGGTCTAGGCCCTGCCCTGTATGAAATGACAGACTATGGACACCCCCATGGACGGCCTCACCCTCCCTGGGGAAATGAGGGGATAATAGGGGGGGTGGGGGAGGGCATGGGAGGAGGGGAGGGAAAGGGAGAGGGACCTGGAACTGACTTGTGAAGCAACCTTGTTTCTAATCTAAATTTAAACTTAAAAATAAATTTTAAAAAATGACTAAAAAAGGGTTACTAGGGAGATGACAGAGCCCGTGAAGTGCTCGCTGAACAAGCATGAGGACCTGGGTTCTTATCTATCTATCTATCTATCTATCTATCTATCTATCTATCTATCTATCATTCTCTCATAGAATACAGCTATATCTCCAGAGAAGTTAGGAAACAAGGAGGACCCTAGGAGAGACACACATGGTCTCCCAGAGAAGGGACAAGAGCTGCTGAACAAATTGGGAGCATGGGGGAGGGGGAGGGAGGTAGGAGAAATAGAAGGGGAGAAGAGGAGGGGGATGAGAGCAGGGGGGAGCAGGAAGGTTGAGTCCGGGATGAGCAGAGGACAGCAAGAAAAGAGACACCCTAATCAAAGGAGCCATTATAGTTTAAAGGGAAACCTGGCACTAGGGAAATGTGCAGGGATCCACAAGGATGACCCCAACTAAGAATCTAAGCAATCGTGGAGAGGCTGCCTTAAATGCACTTCCCCTATAATGAGATTGCTGACTACCTTAAATGCCGCCATAGAGTCTTCATCCGGTAGCTGATAGAAGCAGAGGCAGAGATTCATAGCTAAGCACTGAGCCAAACTCCTGGAGTCCAGTTGCAGAGAGGGAAGAGGGGTGAGCAAAGGGGTCAAGACCATGCTGTGGAAACCCACAGAAACAACTGACCTGAGCAAGGGAGAGGTCACAGACCCCAGACTTAAATCTCAGAAACCAGCATAGGACAGAACCAGGCTCCCTGAACGTGGGTGTCAGTTAGGAGGCCTGGGCAGTCTATGGGGCCTCTGGTAGTCGAATCAGTATTTATCCCTAGTGCACCAACTTTGAGAGGCCATTTTCTATGGACAGATCCTCTCTCAGCCTAGATACACAGGGGAGGGCCTAGGCCCAGCCCCAAATGACTTGATAGAATTTGATGATCCCTCATGGAAGGCCTCACCCTCCCTGGGGAGTGGATGGAGGATTGGTGGGGGGCATGGGAGGATGGGAGGGAAAGGGAAATGATATGCAAAGTAATATTGTTTCTAATTTAAATAAAATTTATAAAAATTATTAATCTGGCCGGGCAGTGGTGGCGCACGCCTTTAATCCCAGCACTCGGGAGGCAGAGGCAGGCAGATCTCTGTAAGTTCGAGGCCGGGCTGGTCCAACAGCCTCCAAAACAATACAGAGAAACCCTGCTCGTAAAAACCAAAAAAAAAAAAATTATTAACCTGAAAAAAAACATGATGGATAGTTGTTGGGGAAGTCCTGTGTATATGTCAATAAAGCACTGTTGGCCAATAGGAAACAAAGATAGGTGGGACTAGGAGTCGAGGAGGAGAAACACAGGAAGTCAAGATGTAACGCCATGGGATAGGAAGCCCAAAAACCTCTCCGGTAAGAGAAATACTTAGATTAACAATTATGGGGTAATTACTTAAGTCAGAGCTAGCCAGTAAGAAACAAGCAAGGCCAACAGCTTCATAATTAATATAGCCTCCTGTGTGTTCATTTGGGACTGATGCGGCTCTGGAACCAGGCTGGCAGGAAGGGTTTCCCTTTACAGAGAGTAATAATGGAAAGACAGATGATTCTGGCCTAACACACACACACACACATACACACACATGCACATGCACACGCGTGCACACACACATGCACACATACAAAGTAAACAAAGCATCAACCCAATACCTTATTGGAAGCATTAAAATTCATTGCATGTTACATGCATGTAGTATGTACTGCTTGAAGGTACATATATATAATTTGCATGTAACATATATCGAAACAAGGATGCCTGAGAAGGTACACAAAATACATTCAAAAGAAATGATCAAGCCATATAGATCATGTACTAGGATAATCGCATACACAGAAACAGATCCACAGTACATGGCTTTGGTTTATGGTCCAGGATGCTTGATCTGTCCATAGGGAGAAATACAACCGCAGTTTCAGTGTAGTAACTGTAAATCAGTGTAGCATCCCATGAGCATCTGTGCCCAGTTCTGTCCTCTGTGCCGTGGAAGGAATGAAGGGACGCAGCTGCCATCCATCCCTGGATAGCTCTCAGAGAGTTGGCAGTGCAGGCTTCATAGCTTCAGAGAAAGCTAAGGAGATGCTTGTCCAGGTTGGCCAAGGTTTCATAGTGTCCCTAGGGTGCTTCGGGGCCTGTGGTGGAAAGATTAGACCTAAATTTAGTTGAGAAATACTCATTCTTTGGTTATATTTGATTTAGTGTGTGTGTGTGTGTGTGTGTGTGTGTGCGCGCGCACTTGCACGTGTGTGGCCAGCTTATATGTGAAGGTCAGGGGCTAACTTGTGGGAGTGGTTCTCTCCTTGTACCACGTGGATTCTGGGTATCAAACACAAGTTTCCGGTTTGGCAACGAGTGCCTTTACCCACTAAGTCATGCCAACTGCTCGAAAAAGATCGACTTTGTAGGGTTTCCAAACATGGGCTCTACCCTGGGTGTCCCCATCCCAACTTCCCATCCTTTCCGAGTTGAGATATTTGAAAGCTACAGTAGGTAGACAGGGCTTTTAAAAAGTCAGGCTGTACTTTTTTTTAATTGTGTGTGGGGGGGAGTAGGTGGGCACATGTTAGCGGGGGCTGCAGAGGCCAAAAGAGAGCATTAGATCCCCTGGGGCTGGAGATACGGGTGGAGGTGAGTCTCCCTTTGTGGACGCTGGGAGCCAAACTCCGCTCCTCTCCACGAGCATCCTTAACTACCCAGGCGTCTCTCCAGCGCCACGAGAAATGCTGTGTTTCACCAGCTTGAGGCCTCGCCTGCCATTTAACTGGAAAAGGGCGTCGTACGGCATAATGATCTGGATTAAACGTAGCTATACCTAAACAAACAGAATGATGCAACATGGTAAAAGAAAAATCTATTCCCCACGAAAGGACATCTATCCCTAGGTGGATACCATGAGCAGTCTTCACAGTACAGTCTGATGTTTAGGTAACTTCCCATAACGATCAAAAATACAGTGTGGTGACTGTAAATGATGACTGAAACTTTCTAAAACAAGTAAAATTTTCACAAGGAGTTCATGAGCTGTTCTGTGGTAACCATTTAAATATCAGTGTAGCTACTTACTATGTAACTGAATACTTAATTTCTCCCATGTTGATTAATGTATAATTAATGAACCTTTATTTTTTTCACTTTTTATTTAGATTAAAAACAATCTTATTTTACATGCCAATCCCATTTCCCTCTCCCTGTCTTCCTTCCACTCCCCCCACCCTCTCCTCACCCTACACCCCCATCCACTCCTCAGAGAGGGTGAGGCCTCCCATTGGGAATCATCAAAGTCTGTCGCATGATTTGGGGCAGAACTGAACCTCGCCCCCCTTGAGCAAGGTGTCCCTCCATAGGGAATTGGTTCCAAAAAGCCAGTTCATTAACTAGGGATAAATACTAGTTCTACTGCCAGAGGCCCCATAGACTGCCCAAGCCCCCCAACTGACACCCACATTCAGGGGGCCTGGTTCAGTCTTATGCAGGTTCCCCAGCTGTCAGTCAGGAGTTTGTGAGCTCAAGCCCTAATTATTTCAGAACATGGTTTGTTCTTTCCTTTTTTATTGTTTTTGTTATTTTATTTCTTTTTGCTGTTTTTTGGATTTTGATGGCAGGGTCTCACAATGTAACCTTGACTGGTCTGGAATTCACTGTGTATGCCCAGCTGACCCCAACTCATACAGATCCATTTGCTTCTGCCTGGCCAGTTTTATTTCTCAGTTATAGCTCCATTAATCTGGTGGTCAATAACTCCTCATAACCACCCAACAGTCATAAAATAGGGAAAATCTCTGTTATTTTACCTGGGTCTGCTGGGTGACACCCTCTGGCTGTACCAGGCTTCAGCCAGGAAGACTGCCATCAACATCACAAACATGGCGGACATTCCCAGCCTGATGAGATTAATCTTGGTGTAACATTCTGCTAAGGCCCTTGGGGTAACTGAAAGACAGAAAATGATTAACACTGTTTGTAAGGAGCATCCTTTATCACCAGAAGAGTCAACTAGATCTAATTGTCTTCTATCCACTCTAACATAGGCAGGTGGGCAGCTGTCTATTCTTTGTTAACCCCAGAACACAAAACGTATGGTTTTATGAGCTTTCGAATGAATGGAGTCTTTTTTTAAAAAACCTTATTTTCTGGGTACACATTTTGTGCATTCTACTTTGTTTTCTATGAAATGATAAAAAAACATTCTGATCAAAAGCAGCTTTAGGGAAAAAAGGGTTTATCTCATCACAGAGCTTGCAATCCATTGTGAAGGGATGTCAGAGCAGATGTTGGAAGTAGAAACCACAGAGAAGGGCTGGAGAGATGGCTCAGTGGTTAAGAATATTCATTGGCTGCTCTTTCAGATGGCCAGGGCTACTCCCAAAACCATATTTAATTCATAACCACCCATAACTAAAGTTTCAAGGGCTCTAACACCCTCTTCTCTCGCCCTTGGGCACCTAGAAAGAATGTGGCATACAGACATGTATCTGAATAAAACACTCATATGCATGAAATAATTAAATCTTTAAAAAGAGAAAAGAAACCCTGCATCCAAGTTTATTCTCCCTCTTGCTTAACTGCTTTTTACACAGCTCAGGACCACCTGCCTACCAGTGATGACACTCAAAGTGAACTAGGGCCTCGTACATCAATTAATAATCAGGCCAATATCTCACACCCCAATCTGACCTAGGCATTTCTGCAACTGAGACCTCTTATTTCTGATAAACTCTAAGCTGGGTCAAGTTGACAACCAAGGGTAACCAGGATTCTGCCTGTCTTGTTTAGGGTTTCAATTGTTATGGTAAGAAACCATGACCAAGGCAACTCATACAACAGAGCATCAGTTCGGTGCTCAGTGTATGTCAGGGTTAGAGTTCATGGCCATCGTGGTGGGGAGCATGACCATAGGCAGTCATGGTGCTGGAACGGTAGCTGTGAGCTCGCATCTCAACCCACAAGCACGAGGCACTGACTGGGAATGGCATGGGCCTCAAAGTCCACGTCCAGTGACACATATTCTCCAACAAACTCACACCTTCCGATCCTTCCCAAGCAGTTCAACCAGTTGAAGAGCAAGCACTCCACAGAATGAGCTCATGGGGGCCATTCCCATTCAAACCACACTGCCTTAGCTCTTCTCCATTGTTTATTTTATAATTATCTGTAAAGAGAAGCTTTTTCTTTGCTAGCCTCTTTGGTTTATCGCCTGGGCTCTGCCATGTTGTAGTCCCCTAATAACACACAAGATGCTGTATTAATTATGAAGCTGTTGGCCTTGCATGTCTCTTACTGGCTAGCTCTGCTTTAAGTAATTACCCCATAATTGTTAATCTAAGTATGTCTCTTACCGGAGAATAGTTCCGGGCTTCCTACCCCATGGCGGTTACATCTCGAATCTCCTCGTGTTTCTCTTTCCCAGAATCCTCCTGGACTCCTAGTCCCACCTATCTAGATTCCTATTGGCTCAACAGTGCTTTATTGACAAAAGACTTCCCCAACAATTATCTCTCTCCTGTTTTGCATTTTCAAGACAGGGTCTCTCTGTGTAGCCTTGGCCATCCTGGATCTTGCTCTGTACACCAGGCAGGTCTTGAACTCAGTAATCTCCCTGCCTCTGAGTCCTGAGGATGGGAACAAAGGTGTGTGCTACCAACATCTGGCTTCTTTGTCTCCTTTTTATAATGTCACTTTACTTCCTTTTCCTCCTATTTTTTGATACTTTAAGGGTTACTCTTATGAGCAAAACATAGGCCAAAGGAGCACAATAGACGCAGAAATCCGGGGCAGGCCAGCATCTCCTCCAGACCACAAAATGACATGTGGTCTTTGAGCATAGCAGAACTTCCCCTGGCATCCGAGTTGCTGGACCACTGTGAGTCTCAGCTGCACTCAGGAAGGGCTATTGTACTATGATTGTAGCACAAAACGGACACACAGATCAACGGAGCACAACAGAAACCCCAGACAGAAACTCACACAGCTACAGACACTTTTCAACAAAGCTGCCAAAAGTTCACATTGAAGAAACGATGGCTTCTTTGACAAACACTGGAAACTTGGACTCCCGCACACAAAATGAAACTACTGCTCACCCCGTAAAAAAAATCAACACCAAATGAATCAAAGACCATGAAGCAAAAACAGAAATTGAAAATATTAGAAGAAAACATTTGAATATATAGGCATGGGAAAAGATCTGATTTCAGCTCCCAGTAACCACTCAGGTAATTCACAAACACCTGTGACTTCAGATCCAGGAGAAACAACGCCCTCTTCTGGCCCACATGTGCATGTCACTGGTGTGCATATGCTAACACACACACAGAGAGAGAGAGAGAGAGAGAGAGAGAGAGAGAGAGAGAGAGAGAGAGAGAGAGAGAAGGGAGAGAGAGAGAACTTTCAAAAATACAATAGGTCTTTTTTAAAGGAGGAGAGAAAAAGGACAAGTAATAAAGCAATAGAACTATGCAATCAACTATGTCTTATCTGCAAAAAAAAACATCCTACACTCATAACGTTCTTACTTGCCACTGAGACATCAAGATGATCACTTGGATGGGAGGCCCTGAAAGGGGCTTCTGCCTGGAGGTAGACACAGCTGTACCTTCCTGCATCCTGGACGGTCACATCCTGAAGGGTGAATTCTACCTTGTCACTTTCTGACTTCAGAAGCTGTACGGGGGACGAAGTCCCCTCCTTCAGCAGAGCGAACATCTTGTACTGTGTTGAGTTGTGTGGCCTCTGACACTGCAGGATCACCTTCCCTCCTGCGGACACGTGACCCCAGTGCTGGACTTGGAGGGAAGGCTGAGACAAGTGTCCTGTAGAGAAACGAGATCCAAGGGGAGGGGTCAATCCTGGAGTCCTGTATCCATCCTTCCTGTCCTGCAAGGGTCCTGAAGATACTGAAACTTTCCCACAGTCTATGCTGACTCTCAACAGACATGTTTTCATTTATTAAATTTCTTTGCAGATAATTTTGCACATGTACACAGTATATACTGACCATTTTCACCCCACCTCCCTAACATCTTCCTCATCTCCACGTATCTCTGTGGTCTTATTTCTATTCATTTTGTCTGGGGACCCACTGGGGCTAACCAGGGCCATTTGTGTGACCATTTGTTTGGAGCTCTCTTAGTGTCGAGTAGGATCAGCAGAGGGTACAAAATGAAAGACGGTGATACTTTTCTCCTAGAGTCCACGTATAGCCGATACTTCACTCGTAGAGAGTAGGGTCCTGTAAGCCCTTTCCCTCCCTTGACTTACTGTTGATAGGGTATTCTCTTGTGGGACTGTTGCAGAAGAGAGATTTTTTTGGCATGACTTTTTTATTTTAAAACAATCTATTCTCATTTTTCATACCAACCCTACTCGATCCCCGCCCCTTGCTCTCTTCGCCTTCCCCCATCCAACCCCCCATCCTCTCCTCAGAGAGCATAAGGCTTCCCACGGGGAGCCAACAAAGACTCACACAACACTTTGAGGCAGGACCAAGCCCTCACCTCTACATCTGGGCTGAGCCAGGTATCCCTCCAAAGAGAATTCACCCCGAAAAGTCAGTTCAAGCACTAGGGATAAGTCCTGGTCCCACTGGAATGGCCTTACAGACACCCCCAAGCCACAAAACTGTCACCCACATTCAGAGGACCCAGTTAAGTCCCATGCAGTTTTCTCAGCTGCAGTCTGGAGTCAGTGAGCTCCCACTAGCTCAGGTTAGCTTTGTCGGTGGGTATCTCCAAATGGTCTTGACCCCTTTGCTCATATTATCACTCCTTCATCTCCAGAAGGGAGAATTTTAGTTCAGTCCTCAGATCTGAGGAAGGCTGAGATATTCAATTTTGTACTTGTCACCTCCTGCCCTTATTTATGGGGTGGTGTACATGCCATGTCACAAATGTGTCTGAGAACAACTTGTGGGTGTCTCTAGGTCCACAATGTGGGTCTCTGGGATCATGCTTGGGTTGGCAGCTGAAGTTTCTGTCAACTGAATCATCTCACCAGCCCCAGATGAAGTCCGTTTTGTCCTGCCCTCATTCCCTTAGACCCATGCTCACCCATGTTTGAAAATCACTGTAGTTTGTTCTGAGGGAGCCCCCTCCTCACCTGTCACCAACAGGAAGAGGACATCACTGGAAAATGAGATTCTGTTCGGGGACTCCTTCAAATGGTATCTGCAAGTATAATATCCAGCATGACTCTGCTGAAGGTTAGTCAGGTGAAACTCAGCTGTCCCCTCTGTCAAGTGATGTGGAAGCCTCGAATCCAAAACAGTATCTCCCTTTCTGAGAACAAGTCGTGTGTCCGGTGTGGGGCTCACGCATCTTAGTATCACGTTGCTATTCTCTGAGGCCACTGAGTTTGGCCAAGCACTGAGGCTGGGTTTGGGAAGGAAATCTGGAGGGAAACAAAAACAAGTCTGGATCTGACACAACCACCTGCTCCCAGGAAACCCCGGGAGGAACTAGAGAACACGTGTGTTGAAAGCTCGGGTCGGGTGTGGTTGATTCATCTATCTCTCTTTTTGCTCGACCGTCATTCAGATCTGCAAAAGAGACAAGAATGATGTACAAGTGCCTACTGAGAGCCACCCATTCTTGGTCCTGAGGACCAGCCCAGATGTTCCAGCTGAGCTCAGACCCCGAGTTCACACATTCAGGGTACTAACGTTTGAGTTGGGCATAGTGACTCATAACTTCATTCCCAGCACTCAGGAGGCAAATGCAGGAAGCCAGTGAGTTCAAGGCCAGCCTAGACTACATAGAAAAATCCTAAACTATATAACAAGATGCTCTCTCAAAAGCAAGTAAGCAAAAAAGAAAAAAAAGCAAGAAACCCTGGTAACAAGCTGTGTGATCATGTAATAAGAGGACCTATATCAAATATTAAAAAGTTAGGCATAAATTTACATAAAAGTTCTATGTTTGTGACTGGTGAGATGGTTCAGTGTTTAGGAGCACTGGTTGTTCCTCCAGAGGACCTGTGTTCAATTCCCAACACCTACATGGCAGATTACAAATATCTGTAACTCCACGTTCCAGTGATCTGACCCCCTCATATTCACATACATATAGGAAAGCACTAATGCACATAAAACTAAAAGAAAATTATAAAAACCAGACAGATGTGCTATATATTTTGAATGCTGATGCACCTGTTTTCAAAAAACTAATACTTGTTGCTGGAGTTTCTTTCCAGCCTGGTCCCACAGCCAATTAGCCCCAAATAAACACACAAGGACATATTAATTTATAATCTGCTGACCAATAGGGCTTCTTACTGGCTAACTCACTCTCAATTACTAACACATAACTAGGAATCTACATGGGCTATCTTACCAGAGAACGCCTGATGCATCCTATCCTCCTGGTTTCTACATGGCGTCTCTTCCTGGTGGCCTCTCTCCGCCTTGTTTCCCCAGCATTCTCCTTGTCTCATACCTCACCTATACTTCCTGTCTAGCCTTTGGCCAATCAGTGATTGACTCATCAACCAATAAGAGAAACACATATACAGAAGAACATCCCCCTCACATCCTAGTGGGCATAGACAGACAGACAAGTCCAGACGCAAGCATCTTGGTGACTTCAATATACCACTGTTATCTACAGATACCTCATCAGACAAAGCATCAAGAGGAAAACTCAGAGTTCAACTGCACCACAAATGAATGGACCTAACACACATTTAAGTGATATTCAGTCCAACAGCAGTGAAGAACATATTCGTAACACTTTCTTCCAAAACAGAGCCCATTTGGGCTATTGCTGTAGTTTCATCCAAACTGAAACATTCCCCCAGAAGGAGGACAAGGCTGGTGGGGGAGGGAAGACTCTCACAGGCACCTCCTCAGCGTGTAAAAAGGGTCAGTGACTACTGGTCAGGGAGACTCTGAGCAGAGACAAGAGAATTCTTTGTTTTCCAGCAGCTTGCAAGCTATGCAAAGAGTTCCAGGGCTGCAGTGGTCATGAGTCATCAGCCATGCTGGAGTGGGCTTTCTGCTGACGCTGCGGAGTCCTCCCGACTCTGTGTGAGCAGCCCACATCTATGCTCTGGTTAGTAACCCCAATAATAACACGTAAGTTCACCAATGTGAACGTTTACTACAACTGTTTGTTTGCCCTGGGCACCCTTGGTGGGGTGAGAAGGTTTGTGTCTTGTGTGTGCATGCGCGCGCGCGCGTGTGTGTGTGTGTGTGTGTGTGTGTGTGTGTGTGTGTGTGTGTGTGTGTATGTTAGAGAGAGAGACAGGGAGAGAGACAGAGAGAGGGTCCATGTCTCTATATTACTGTGTGCCTGTCCATGGGAATGGGCATGAGTGTAGATGCCCAAAGAGGCCAGGAGACAGGGTCAGATCCCATGCAGAGCTGGGGTCACAGTAATTATACAAATACTATTAAGGAGAATATTGAAAGCTTACCTGACACCAAGATCTCAAGGTGATCACTGGGATGAGAGGCCCAGAAAGGGGCTCCTATCTGGTGGTAGACACAGCTGTAGTTTCCTGTGTCCCTGTCTGTTATATCTTGGAGTGAGAAGTCTGCTCTGTTCCTTTCTGATCTCAGAATCTGTACAGGGGATGAATCTCCTTCCTTCAGTAGCATGAACATCTTGTACTCAGTCATATTATCTGGCTTCTCACACCGCAGAGTCACATTCCTTCCTGCTGTCACATTGCTCCCTGGGTGAGCTTGGAGGGAAGGTTTAGGTAAATGTCCTGAGAGACAAGAATCCTGTGGTCATAGTGAGGAAAGCCTGGGCTACACTCCTCACCCTTTTCTCACGATGCCTGATCTCTCCCATTCTGGATCTGATCTTAATGAGTATCCCTGGCTGTCCTGGAACTCACTGTGAAGACCAGGCTGGCCTTGAACTCACAGATCCATCTGTCTCTGGGATCAAGGTGTGAACAAGATCAAACCTGGCTGAAAATGGAGATTTCTTTCCTTCCGTCAACTCTCAGACATAACTAAGGTATTAAGGTCGATGAGATGGCTCTGCAAGTAGAGTACTTGCTGTCCAAAAGAACTCTCCCAGGAAGGAGAAAAAGCCAAGACCCTGAGCTGAGCTCAAGGTTCCAGGAAGTCAGCAATTTGGGGACTGCAGAAGAAAAGCAGCCGACCCCCTCTCCCGCACACGGGGTGCTTGTAGGAAGTACAAAGGCCCTGGGGCTGAAAACCGGCCCTATCTAAGGAAGCGGCTAACCTCACATGTGTGCGTGCATGTGGGATCTGTAGGGTGATGTTCAGACTCATCCTGAATTGCTCCTCCCCCTTGTTCACCAAGGCGGGACCTCACAGCCAAGTCACAGTTTGTGGGTGTGGTTACTCTCCTTAGCCACCCTGCCCTGGTGATCCTGTCTCTCTTTGGACTGACATTACTGGTGGGTCACCACACTCCCCCAGCAACCACATGACTGCCCTAAGGATTCAATCTTCCTCTTCCCTACCCCTAGCTACCAAACCCCAGCATAAAGCATGTCATCCATGTTCTCTCTCTCTCTCTCTCTCTCTCTCTCTCTCTCTCTCTCTCTCTCTCTCTCTCTCTCTCTCTCGGGTTTCTCTGTGGCTTTAGAGGTGGTCCTGGAACTCACTCTTGTAGACCAGGCTGGTGTCGAACTCACAGAGATCCGCCTGCCTCTGCCTCTGAGTGCTGGGATTAAAGGCGTGTGCCACCAACGCCCGGCTTATCCATGTTCTCTTGAACTCTGGTCATTGTGTGACTGTTCTTTGACCTGATCATGCCATGGTCAGAACTAGAGACCACACCCCTCTGGCATTACATGAAGCCTGCACTAGCTGTTTGGGGTCATGTAAATTCTCATCTCTCCTTTCTTCCTACAGTCTTAATTCCTCCTTATCTTCATACAACTCAGGCGTGAGGCCCAGTGTTTGGATCCCACAATCCACAGAACATATGTGTGATTGGCCTGACTCTAACCCCGACTTCAGAAGGTCAAGACAGGGGATCCCCTAGAGCAAGCTAGCTACCAAAACATGGTAAGTGGGAGCTATGGTTCCATTGTGATACCCTGCCTTGGTGGCCAAGGTGAAAGACAAATTGATGACTTTCCCACTCCATATGAACGCACACATATGTGTGTTCGCACCCGCACCATGGGTGCCCACATACATGCAAACATGCATTCATACGCATACACAACACACACATGCAAAAATGAAAGCAGTAACTGAAAGTATCCGTTCCTGTTGCTACCAACACCCCTCCCCAACTTCTCTGAAGATGATAGCCCTTTCTCCTTGGTTCTTGGTTTCCTTCCTCTTGTAGATTGGCACATGTCATCCTCGGGAAGTCTCTGCTCACCTGTGACCAGTAGTAGAATTGCGTCACTGGACAGGACATCGGTGCCCTCATTTTCGGAGCATTCGCAGGTGTAGTATCCAGCATCACTCAGCTGCAGCTCTGTGAGTTGGTATTCACCTGTACCCGGCAATCCCATGCCGTTATGTAATATAGATGCCCATGTTGTCAAAACAAGTGTTGTCCTGTTATCCAAATCAGTACCTCCCCTTTTAAAAACACACCTTGCCTCTCTCATGAAAGTGGTACACATCAGGGTTACATTGCCCATGGTGGGAGCCACCGAGCTGGGCCAGATGTGGAGCACGGGCTTGAAAAGGGACCCTGGAAGAGAGCAAAACTCAGAGTTGCATGTGGCGTGTTGTCCGGCCACCTGGGAACCATCTAAAGAAGATGGATAGAGAGGCACTTACCGTCCCCACTGACGTCTGTTTGCCCAGCACACAGCCCTGCAAGAGAACGACCCGTGAGACACAGTGCCTGCCTGCGGCTCCCTCATCGCCCTCCCTGGTCTCAAGAACCCACTGCTAGCTCAGACTCTGCCTTCACTTATCCAGGCACGTCTCTGCCTCCCACACTGGACTCTGTCTGGCACGCGTCTTGCTCACCAACGGCCCAGCTCTTCCCCGAGAACACATTCGTCACCAGTATCAGCCTGAACGTCCATTTCCTAGGCATGCTGTGACAAAATAATACGTGCTGCACGATTTATGATGCCAGGAGTTCACTCTCTGGCCATCTGCTGGTCAGTTCTCTTGCCTGCAACTCATGCGTGCAGTGCCCACAGAGTCCAGAAGAAGGCAGAAACATGCCTCGCAGTGGGTGAACTCAAGACATCTGGGCTGAAGGCAACATCTATTGTATTACTTAGAAGACCCTAAAGATTCTATCAGAGGAATCCTTACATCTGTTAGCCGGCAGTGGGTCCAGAGACATGGCTCACGGAATAAAGGGACTTTGCTGCCAAGTCTGATGACCTGAGTACAATCCTTTGACCCACATGATGGAAGGAGAGAACCTCTTCCTGAAAGTTATCCTCTGCCTCCACAGATGTGCTGTGGGGTGTGTGTATGTGTGTGTGTGTGTGTGTGTGTCTGTCTGTCTGTCTGTCTGTCTGTGCTAGCACGCACTCAACTCAGATAAAAACCAATGGAATGCAATATACAACTCATAAATATATAGCTGTAGTCATCCGGTTGACAGGGCTGGATCCGCTTGAAGACATACACAATGATGTCTCAACCTCAATAGTTTTGACATCTGGGCCAGGTGACTTCACTGTGGTGTCTGCCTGTGCATTCTAGGGCAGCCAGCAACAGTCCTGACCTTTGCCCTCTACATGTCACCAGCATGCTCCCTTGGGTAGAGCCAGCAAAGTTGAAGCCATGACCAATCCTGGGTTGAGAACCACTGGTTTATTGAATGTGTTCACCCAGAAGGGAAGAAAAGGAGCCAGATGTGCATAGTCAGTGCCCAGCAAGTGTGTCTATAAGTAGTGGGTACCAGGCAGGCACTGTACAAGCACATGATAGTGATTAACTCAGGCTTGACATTATGACTCAGGTGTGAAGTCACTTGCTAGGTAACCAGAGTTATATCCCTAGAAAACATGCGCTCACGCGCATGCGTACACACACACACACACACACACACACTATTTTTCTTTCTGAGTCTGGCATATTTTAGTTTTTAGTGCAATGGTTAACATTTGCATTTATTTTCCTGCAAATATCATGATTTCATTTTCTAATGAAAAGGGGCTTACATAAAATTCCATTGTGAATGTGTATCTCATTTTCTTTATTTATTCATCTTACTTTGGATATCTAGGCTGTTTCTATTAAAGACTTTTAGCAGGATCTTGGTGTACGGGGAGAGAAAGACATTTTCTTCACTGATGTAGCTACTGGCCCAGTGGGTAAGCATGATTCCTGTGAAAGCAAGGGGACCTGAGTTCAAATCTCCAGCACACACTTAAGTAGGACATGGCTGTGAATGCTTGTAACTCCAGCACTGGAGAGCAGAGACAGGCAGATCTAGGGAGCTTGCTAGCCAGGCAGCCTTCTGAAAGAGGAAGCTTGAGCCTCACTGAGAAATCTCAAAAACTAGAGGGTGAACAAGGAAAGATACTTAATGCTCTCCTTGGCTTGCCCCATTTGTGCTTGGAGGCACATGCGTGCACACACACACACACAAACACACACACACACACACACACCAAATGCAAAAGAAAGAGTGTAATGTCATGTTCATGTGTCTGACAGCTATTGAGAAGTTCAGAACCTACTGAGTTGGAGGGAACAGGAAAATGTGTGTAAAGCGCCCAGCACATTCCTCACATAAGATATGTGTTCACAAAATGAAATTTATTCACGTATCCTACAGCCTCCCTAGCTACCCCACTGGCCTCACGGACTGCAGCTGCTTCCACAACCCACTTGCCAACTACACACAGCCCTGCCACCCTCAGACTTACCAAGATAGAGCAAGAGCAAGAAACTGGAGTCCATGATGCCGCACAGGAACTGGTTTTTCCAAGAATGCCTCTTCAGCTCGGCACTCCTGCTGCATGAGTTTACTTCTGGGACCAGCAGTAATGGCTTCCTTCAGGTTTTCATCTGCTGAGCTAGCACACAGCTTCATCTTCATGGTGATAATCATGAGGTGTTATCTCGCCAAAGTCATGCCACTTCCTACTGGCTTGGCTCACGTGGGCCTCTCACCGCAAGGAAAGGATTCAGACTGCTTACTTCTACGCTTACTTGCGCATTCTGACCGAGTTTATGAGAAAATGGGAACCAAATAGCAATTACCGTTAAACCCCGCCCTTTTGTTCCTTGATTGGGAATCCAAGTAACTCCTTAAGGACTTTGCTTTCAATGTGGCAAGGTTAGGCCCCTTGGGCAAGAAACTGCTCTTGCCTTGACTGCTGTACGGACTGGAGCAGCAGGACACAGGGAGAAGACCATCAAATTTTGCCAAGGCAAGGAAGGACAATTTCCTGCTTCACTGAAAAGTACTCCAGATATTCTAAGCTGTAGGCTGAAGATGGATGTCCCAACATTGCTGAGGAACTTTGGGTGACTGTCCAGGCAGCCAGATGTCCCTGTTGTTAGGTAACAATACATTCTTCTGGGCTCTTTGATGGACTTCAGGACTACATAGTTACATTCACAGTTTTCCTTAGTTATGGTAGAAGGTAAATTATATATAAAACTTTGGATTCACTAAGATAGGATAGATAACGGAATATTTTCTTTGAATTTGACAGACACAAATGGACTGGACACTGTGAATACAATCCTTACTTGATAATCGTTCTTATTGTTAGAAAATCTGACTGTGTTTAAGGTAAAGCACCTTCTTTTTCATTTAGACCAAACGGGGAAATGCTGCGGAAAAAAATTTTAACTCTGTAAAAGCATGTTACGTTTGCTTCTGCCGCCTACGCTATTGATGCAATGGTATGTCACATTTGTTTGACTGAATAAAATTAACCCGGGGTCGGGAAGCTGAGTCATCAGGTAGCTGACAGGAAGTAGAAGTCGGGAACCAAGGGTATCGAGAGTTCTTGGGGGGATGCTGAGCAGGAGTAGGGCCCCTTTTTGGGGAGACACAAGCAAGGAGAAATGCTTAGCTATTTGTTTTTCAGCCTCTCTGAGCTAGCAGTATTTCGCCTCAGCTGTGGGCTGGGTTTCTCTGTGTCTCTGCAGCCACTTCCCTAATAACCACTCGGGAGGCTTAATATTAATTGTAAATGCTCACCTGCTAGTTCAGACTTACTTCTGACTTGCTCTTGCATCTTCAGGTGACCCATTTTTATTCATCTAAGTGCTGCCCTTCAGGTTATGACTTTCCCCTCTCCTGCAAGTCCTGCTTCCTCTACGTATGACTGGCGCCTCACCTGATGCCACCCTCCTTCTTCCCAGCATTCTCTCTGCCTCCAAATGCTTCCTACATATTACCCAACCAACTTTTTATTAGCAACCAGAGCAAAACATTTTACACAGTTGTACAGAAGGATTATTCTACAGCATTTACCCCTTTTGTTGAAATAAAAAGGGAAGGTATTTTAACATTAACATAATAAGATTATAGGCAATAAAACTAGTTATCAAGTAAGAATTACAGTTTACAATATCCAGTCTATTTGTATTTGGCAAATTTAGAGAAAATACTCTATTATTTATCTTTGTGAGTTTAAAGCTTTATACTTAATTTGCTTTTTTTCATAACTAAGGAAAACTTTAGGTATAATTATGTAGTGTTCAACTCCATCAAAGATCCCAGAAGCATCAAATGTTACCTAATGACAGGGACATCTGGCTGCCTGGACAGTCACCCAAAGTTCTTCTGTAACGTTGGGACAGCCAATTCTGGCCTACAAGTCTAGATTATCTGGCAGACTTTTCTGTGAAGCGGAAATTTTAAAGGACTGTCCTGCCTTGTCTTGGCAAACCTCAGAAGTCACTTCTTTTTGTGTCCCGCTTGTCCACTTTGGACAGCAGACTGGCAGCAGCTGCCACGGGGAGTTTCTTGCACAGTGACTATCTTTTGCCACAAAGAAGGCAAAGTCCATGTAGAGTTTCTTTATTGCCCATCCCCTACTCTGACGTAGATTGTGCTGCCAGGAACAGACATGCCTCATTGTCATAATAAAACTTATGTTATTAAAACATCCTAAATGCTATATTCTATAGACCTGTAAAGTGTTTAAAGACCACCTGTGTATCTAGCATTGACCTTGAAAATATATATAACATGACTACAAGTTTGATGGTAACAGCTGACTAACTAGTAGCCTCCATTTCTTTATTATCTTAAATATGAGATCATTGGCAGCAGAATAGTCCCTTAATTTTGTTTCTGTTTTTTTCTATCCCCTATCAGGTGGCTCTTCTGACATGAGACAGGGAATTTGTATTTTCCTTAACAAGCATGCTTGGGTTTAAAAAATGAGAGATCCTCACTCCAACTCCAACACCAGCTCTAAGAGCTAATTGAACTAGGACTACAAGAAGACCATTTGTATTATACGTCTGTAGAGAACATCAGAAATAAACATTTGATAATATTTATGAAATCACAGTCAGGGCCATTTGCAGGTGGAATTTCTCTGTGTGTTGGGATTCTTTCTGCCCCCCAAATGCTGTCTAGCTTTTGGTCAATCGGCTTTTGATTAACAAGAGAGCAGCACATTTTCAGTGTACAAAAATGACTATCCCACAACACTCAAACTTTGAATCCCAAGTTCTATAAAAGGATGGAAATTTAAATAAAGTTTCCTTTAGTGACCTTGATAGGAGCCAGTGTCCGAGGAAACAGAATTCCCACCTGGCTGCAGCCTGTGCGGTCGAACTGCTGCTGATAGCTGTGGACTTGTCATTTCCAGTTGGAACCACAATTGCTAAAGGTTCAGCCACTGTACTGAATGACAAACACTTCTCTGGAGCAACCAGATCAACACTTGTCACATTCAGAACCCCATCTCGTGTTCTTGCAACGGATGACCAAAACTTTGTGATGGTTTTTCAGCCATGAACTGACAACCAGAGGTATCTTGATAATGATGAGAAGTCTCCATTATGAAAGTGAGAAGCAGGGGCTGAAATGACGGCTCTCCAGGTAAGATCACTGGTTCCTGTTCCAGAGGACCCAGATTCTGCTGCCAGCACCCACAGCTGTCAGCCGTCCACAGATCTAGTTCCAGGGGAATCTGATGCCCTCTTCTGACCTTGGGCACAAGGAACACGTGTGATGCACATATATACAGCAGGCAAAACTTAAACTAAAACAAGTCTAAAATGTGAGAAACCAATAAACAAATTCCAAATGGTTGAGGGAAAAGGGAGTGTCACACAAAGGCTTGGGCATTGTGCTCATGAACTTGCAGCAGATTTGGTGACCTGCGGTAGATCAAAGCTATGGGACTATTAACAGCTCATAGCTATTGTGGAAAAGAGGGATCATCCTTCTTTTTATAATTTGTATGATTTGTTTAGCTGGGTGGTGGTGGCACACACCTTTAATCCCAGCACTCGGGAGGCAGAGGCAAGCTGATCTCTTGAGTTTGAGGTCACCCTGGTCTACAGAGTGAGTTTCAGGACAGCCTCCAAAACAATACAGAGAAACCCTGTCTTGAAAAACCAAAAACAAACAAACAAACAAAAGAACACAAAACAGATTTATTAACTGTTTGTTTTTATTTATAAGTGTTTTACCTGAATACACACACACACACACACACACATATATATGTTCACTATGTGTGTGCCCAATACGCAAGGGGGTCAGAAGAGGGCTTTTGGATCCCCTACAACTGGAGGTCTAGATAGATGGTTGTGGGGATGGAACCTGGATTCTAGGCAACCACAACACCTGCTCTTAACCACTAAGCCATCCCTCCAGCACTGGAAAATCATTCTCTTTAGGGGTATGGACATTGCTGGATTGTCCATGTTCCTTTGAATGACCACACACCCATGTTCATAGTAGTACTAATTTGACATAGTGGGCGTGGTGATTTGAATAAGAACAACCTTAGCTTAGTCAGTGTTCTATTGCTGAGAAGAGACATCAGGACCACAATAACTCTTACAAAAGAAAGAATGTAACTGATGACTCCATTACAGGTTTGGAAGCTTAGCCCGTTATCATCATGGCACTAGCTTGGCAGTAAGCATGATAGACATGATTCCAGAGAAGCAGTTGAGCGCTGTATCCTGATCTGAGGACAGGAAGTAGAGAGAGTGGTGCTGGCTTTAGCATTTTGAAAACTCAGCGCCCACCCCACCACCCAGTAACACACTTCCTCCTGCAAGGCCACACCTTCCCCAATAAGGCCATACCTCTGAATCCTTACCAGGAAGCACCACTCTTTGATGACTAAGCATTCAGTATTTGAGCCTATGGCAGCCATTGTTATTCAAACCACGACAGGCCTCATAGACTCAAGTATTTGAATGCTAAGTCACTTAGGAGTGGAACACTTTGAAATGATTAGAAGGGCTAGGAGGTGTGGTTTTGTTGAAGGAAGTGTGTCACAGGAGATGGGTTTGAGATTTCAGAAGCCCACAGCAGGCCTAGTCTCTCTCTCTATCTCCATCCTAAAGATCAGTGAGTAGCCCTCAACTATTTTCCAATATCATGTCTGCTATGCTTGCCAAACTTCTCCTTACCGTGATGAATAGGGACTGATCCCTCTAACACTGTAATGGTGCCCTATTTGAAGGTCTTTGTTTTTCATTTCATTTTATTTTTTTGTTCTTTCTTTTTCGTGACGGAATTTCTCTGTTTGATTCTAGATGTCCTAGAACTCCCTCGATAAAGCAGGCTGGCCTCGGAACTGCAAGAACTGAACATTCAAACACAGATGAAGCAGAAGAATGTTACCCTACAAATAAGTTTATGAAGATGATTGAGGCCCTTAAGGAGGAAGTGAAAAACTCCCTTGAAGAAATGGAGGAAAAGAAAAACAAGAAATTGGATGAATTCAACAACTCTCTTAGAGAAAACCAAGAAAAATCAAACAAACAGGTGAAGGAAATGGTTCAAGGCTTAAAACCTGAAATAGAGGAAATGTAGTAAACAGAAGCCAAGGATATTCTAGAAATGGAAAATCTGTATAAATGGTCAATAACAAGAGATGCAAGCAAAACCAACAGAATACAAGAGAAGGGAGAGAGAGAATCTCAGGCATTGAAGATACTATAGAGGAAATAGATTCATCAATCAAAGAAAAATGTTAAATTCAACAAAATTGTAACAGGAAATATCTAGGAAATCTGGGACACCACTAAAAGACTGAACCTAAGAATAATAGGGATAGAAAAAAATAAGGATTCCAACTCAAAGGCACAGTAAATGTATTCAACAAAAATCATAGAAGGAAACTTTCCCAGCCTAAAGAAGGACATGGCTATGAAAGTACAAGAAGCTTACAGAACCCAAATAGATTAAACCAGAGAGAGAGAGAGAGAGAGAGAGAGAGAGAGAGAGAGAGAGAGAGAACCCTCACCACAGAAGAATCAAAACACTAAACATACAGAATACAGAAAGGCCTGCAAAGGAAAAAGGCCAAGTAACATATAAAGGCAGACCTATCAGAATTACACCCAACTTCTCAATGGAAAGGTCATGGACAGACATTATGCAGACAAAAAGATATCACAGATGCCAGCCCAGACTACTATACCCAGCAAACGTTTCAATCAGTATAGACAGAGAAAACAAGATATTCATGACAAAACCGGATGTAAAAATACCTATCCACAAATCCAGCCCTACATGTGGAAAAACAAAAAACCTGGGTTGACTACAACAATCCTGTACAATAAAGGAACTTCAGGAGTCATCACCATCCCTGACTTCAAGCTCTATTGTAGAGACATAGTAATGGAAACAGCTTGGTATTGGCATAAAAATAGACAGGTAGACCAATGAAATCAAATTGAGACCCTGATATTAATCTACACATCTATTAACACCTGATTTTTTTTACAAAGAAGCTAAAATTATACAATGGAAAGAAAAGAAAGAATCTTCACAAAATGGTACTGCCATAACTGGATGATGGGATGTAGAAGAATGCAGATAGATCCAACCTACCACCACGCACGAAACTTAAGTCCACACGGATCAAAACTTCAACATAAATCCATCCACACTGAACCTCTTAGAAGAGAAAGTGGGAAATAACCTGGAACGCATCGGCACAGGAAACCGCTTCCTGAACATAACGCCAGTAGCAGAGACACTGAGATAAACAATTGATAAATGGGACCTCCTGAAACTGAGCAGCTTCTGTAAGGCAAGGAAACAGTCAGCAAGGCAAAAAAGCAGCCCACAGAATGGGAAAACATTCTCCAACCACACATCTGACAGAGGGCTGAATTCCAAAATATAAAAAGAACATGAGGAACTCTGCGACCCCCGGGAAGGGACCCCCGACCCGCGGGGGTGAGGTGATGAGGGTCGCTACTAATTTAGTGGGCCTTCACGAGCAGATCCGATCTGGAAAGTGAACTTCAAGAGGTTAATGGAAACAGGCTCAAGACAACGTTCGCTGATCAAGAGCCTTTATTTTTTGGGGCGCGCTGGAACTTATAGAGGAAGGACCTCAGGGGGTGGTACAAGCATGTCAATCAAGTCTCAATTCAAATATACACCAAATACGGTAAAGACAAAGCTGTAATTTTCCATCAGTCATCAGTTGCATTCCACAAATGCTTGTCAGCGTAAGTCAGGTGCAGGAATTAGGGAGGGGTAGGAAGTATACAACAGAACACTATAATCTTGTTAACAAAGACAATTACTCTGTAAGGGTACTTCCCTCTGGCTAGGCGGGTGGGCTGCCCTGTGTAAATTTAACTTTAATGGTTAGCCTTTTCCTTTGTCTCAAGGGCATGTGTGCTCGCAGTCACGTAGTCAGAAGGCCAAGAAACGGTTGACAGACTCCATTTTGTTCAAGGTTCTAGCAGTCCCCAACAGAACTCTACTTCAAAAGGCCAAATAATCATTTTAAAATGGGGTACAGATCTAAGCAGAGGGTTCTCAAACGAAGAAACTCAAATGATTGAAAGACATTTAAGGAATTATTAACATCCTTAGCCATCAGGGACATGCAAATCAAAACAACTCTGAGATACCATCCTACACCTGTGAGAATGGCTAAGATCAAAAACACTGATGACGCTTTATGCTGGAGAGGGTGTGGAGACAGGGGAACACTCCTCCATTGCTGGTGGGAGTGCAAACGTGTACAGTCACTGTGGAAATCAGCATGCCAATTTCTCAGAAAACTAGGAATCAATCTACCTCAAGACCCAGCAATACCACTATTGGGCATACACAAAGATTCACACTCATACCACAAGGGCATTTGCTCAACTGTGTTCATAGCAGCATTATTCCTTATAGCCAGAACCTGGAAACAACCTAGATGCCCCTCAATTGAAGAATGGATAAAGAAAATGTGGAACCTTTACACAGTGAAGTACTACTAAGCAGAAAAAAAGGACATCTTGAAATTTGCAGGCACATGGATAGAATTAGAAAAAAACATACTGAGTGAGGTAATCCAGACCCAGAAAGACAAACATGTTAAGTACTCCCTCAGAAGCAGATATCAGAAATAAAGCAACTGATAACCAGACTGTACCTCACAACCACAGAGAACCCAGGAAACAAGGAGGACCATAAAAGAGATATACATGCATCCACCCAGGAAAGGGAACTTGAAAAGACATCCTGAGTAAATGGGGCACATGGCAGGGATGGGAGAGGGCTGGAGGGGAGAGGGGAGGGAGGAAGGAGAGTGGGAAGCAGAATATGGAAGACCTGGATGGTGGAGTTGGGAGAAGGACAGAGAGGGAGAGCAAGAAAAGAAATATCTTGATAGAAGGAGCCATTACGGGATTAGCAAGAAACTGGGCACTAGAGAATTTCCCAGGAACACACAAGGATGACCCCGGGTAAAACTCTAAGCCATAGTGGAGAGGGTGCCTAAACCGGCCTTCCTCCGTAGTCAGATTGAGGACTATCACAATTGTCATCACAGGCCCCTCATCCAGTAACTGAGGAAGCAGATGCAGAGATCCACAACTAACCACTGGGCAGACCTTCCTGAGTCCAGTCGAAGCGAGGGAGGAGCAATAATATGAGCAAAGGGGTCATGACCGTGATGGGGAAACCCACAGAAACAGCTCACCCCAGCTAGTGGGAGTTCACCGACGGCTGGGGAGCCTGCATAAGACCGAACTAGGCCCCCTGAATTCTGGTGACAGCTGGTGGCTTGGGCAGTTTGTGGAGCCACTGGCAGTGGCACCAGGATCTATCCCTAGCGCATGAACTGGCTTTTTGGAGTCCATTTCCTATGGAGGGATACCTTGTCCAGCCTAGGCACAAGGGCAGGGCCTTGGTCCTGTCTCAGTGTGGTGATGGCATAGACTTCGTTGACTCCCCAAGAGAGGCCTTACCCTGTCTGATGAGCAGATGGGAGTGGGGTGAGGAGAAGGTGGGGGGATCGGGAGGAGGGGAGGGAGGGAGAACTGGAATTAGTCTGCAAAAATAAATGAATAAAAAAAATTCAAAAAAAAAGGAGAAAGAAATCAGACCCCAAGGCAGTTTTGCAATGCAATTCACGAATGGAAACAGACCCAGCTATGCAGCCTTCAGGATGGAGGGACATGGGTGAGCTCAGTTTATTCTGAAGTTATGAAGGTGATAATTACAGGGCTAGCAGTGTCTGTGAAGTGCTAACCTGACATGCTCAACAAACACCCCAGATTCCATACCCAGCACCTCATAAAAGCAGCCCTGGTGGCTCGCGTCTGTAAGCCCAGCACTTGGCAGGTAGAGGCAGGAGGATCGGGAGGTCAGGGTTATCTTTCGCTAGAGAGAGGGTTAGCGCACAGGCTGGAAAACACAAGCCCCCATCAAAACAAAAGCAATCAAACAACAACAACAACGAAACTGATACATCTTATGGAGAAACTCTCCCTTTCCGGCTCATCCCTTTATCTCAAAATCAGTACATGGCTATCTTTATCACATGACTATTTTTGAAAACAATCTAAGCACCACAGGCAGCATCGCACCAGGAGAATTCACAAGGCTTCCTGGAAACCAGCCAAGAGCCAGTCAGCACTCAGATTTGTTTGGTTGCCATTTAAATATCATTTCATCGTTTTCTTACATGCAGATCCAAAGCTGGGTATATTGTTAGCAAATTACTTGCCTTACATGCACTAGGGTCTGAGTTCAATCCGCAGCAACATATCAGCCGGGCATGGTGGTGCACATCTGTGATCCTCGACCCAGAACTCAGGACATGGAGCTAAGGTTAACAGGAGTTCAAGGTTATCCCCAGAATGCAGAGAGTTCCATTCGATTCTGAGCCACGGGATACCCTGTCTCCAAAGAAGAGGAGAAGGAGGAGGAGGGAAAGGAGGAGGAAGAGCAGCATGGGGCAAGAGAAGCAGGAGGGATAAGGGGAGGGGAACAGCCACCCAGCTCCCACCACAGGCAGCTAAAATTGCCTGTAACTGCAGTCCCAGGGGCTTTGCCTCCCTCTTTTGGCTTCCATGGGTACATGCATGCATGCCACGATCTCTCTGTCTTTCTGTCTGTCTGTGTTTCTGTCTCTGTCTGTCTCTGTCTCTGTCTGTCTTTGTCTCTCTCTGTCTCTGTCTCTGTCTGTCTCTCTCTCTCACACACACACACACACTCATCATTCACTCACAAATACACTAAAATAAATCTTTTAAAATGGTAAACTATAAAGGAAAGATGCCTGATACTGGCCTCCACATGCACACACGCATGAACAATCACACACACCCTTGTGAGCCCACACAAAATGAACACAGCTTCACTTTAATAACTTATCAGAAGCATAAAATTCAATGTACTTGAGATACGTGTAAAAAATACTATATAACGGTCCATAAACATAATTAGTATAATACATACAGAGACCTGAAAGGGTCTACAAAGTGTATTCTACAGAATTATAAAGGAAAGCTTTATACATCATACTAACTTAATTATGAACACTGAAACAGATCCACAGTGCAAGGTTTTGGTTTACATTCCAGGCAGCTGGCCCTATCCATAGGGAGAAATACGACTGTAGACTCAGTGTAGTAACTGTAAATCTGTGAAGCATCCCACGAGCATCTGTGACCAGTTTTGCCCTCTGTGCCGTGGAAGGAATGAAGGGACACAGCTGCCATCCATCCCTGGATAGCTCTCAGAGAGCTGGCAGTGCAGGCTTCACAGAAAACTGAAGAGCTGCTTGTCCACCGTGACCAAGGATTCATGGTGACCCTGGGGTGCTTCAGGGCCTGTGAGGAAAGAAGATCAGACCTGCATTGATTGAGAATAGTAAGTCTTCTTACATTTTACGTATTTCATGGCATGTGTGCGTGTATGCATATGGCCGGACATACATGTAGAGGGAGGTCAGAGGATAACATGTGGTGTTGGTTCTTTCCTCTGCTATGAGGATTCTGGGGATCAAACTCGGGTTGTCAGGGTCAGTAGCAAATACCTTTGTCTGCTATACCCTGTCAGCTTCCCCAAATTTTTAATTTTGTAGGGTCTCCATACATAGATTCTACTCTGGGCACCCCACCACCATCCTCTCCACTTGAGTTATTTAAAAGCTGCAGTAGGTAGAAGATGCTTAGCCAAAAAGATAGGTTTAATTTTTTAAATTGTGTGTGTGAGTGTGGAGAGGGTACGTGCATGTTAGGGTTGAGGGCTGCAGAGGCCACGGGAAGGCGTTAGATCCCTGAAGCTGGAGTTAGAGGTGGTTGTGATGAACTCAGCTCCTCGGGAAGAACAGTGAGTTCTTAACCGCTGAGCCATCTTCCCACCCCCACGGGTAATTCTTTCTTTCGCAAATTTGAGGCCTCCGCTGAAATTTTTAATATTTTTATTTTATTGAGCATGTTTTCACTTATTTCTCATACTGACCACGGTTTCTACTCCCTCCTCTCCTTCCATTCACTTCCATTCACCCCACTCCCATCTACCCCCTCCACACCCGCTCCTCCTCTGTCTCCACTCAGAACAGGGCAGGCCTCCCATGGGCTTGAACAAAGCATGGCACATTATGTTGAGGCAGGACCTAGCTCCTCCTTCTGCATAAAGGCTGGGTGTGGTAATCCAGCATGGGGAACAGGTTCCCACAAGCCTGCTAAGCACCAGGGACAGGTCCTGGTCTCATTGCTAGGAGCCTGGCAGACAGACCAAGCTACACAACTGTCACACACATGCAGAGGGCCTAGGTCATTCTGTTGCTCCAGAGTCTGCGAGTTCCCATGAGCTCAGATCACTGAGCTGACATTTAAGGGGAAAAGACGTTGTACTGCTTAGTTATATGTTAAATGCAGCTATGCCTAAACAAACTGGACAACGCAACATGGCTAAAAAAACAAAACAAAACTCTACTGCACATAAAACCACATCAGTGTCCATTTGGAAAACCATGAGAAGCCTCCATGCCAAAGTCAGATGTTTAAACGGTTCCCCACAATGATAATAATTGTGTTGCACTAACTGTAATGGATAATGGAAATTTTCTACAGAAAGTAAACATTTCATATGTATGTTCATTAGCTCCTGCGCTGTTGGCATTTAATTATTAGTGTAACTATTTAATACGAACTTAATTCATTATTTTCCCATGTCGATTAATGTATAATTAACAAAACCTAAATGTACCATAACATCATTTGTTATTTCCTTTTATTGTTTTTTATTACTGTTTTTTGATGACACGGTCCCCAAGTATGCACTTGACCTCTCTATGTAGGCCAGGCTGACCTGGAAATCTTAGAGATCCACCTGTGTGTCCCCTAAATGCTGGGAATAAGGGTGCACATCATCACTCTTGGCCATTTTTATTTCTCAGTTATAGCTCCCCCAATCCGGTGGTCAAACATCCGTCATAACCACCCAAGAGTCATGAAATAGGGAAAATCTTTGTTATTTTACCTGGGTCTGCTGGGTGACACCCTCTGGCTATACCAGGCTTCAGCCAGGAAGACTGCCATCAACACCACAAACATGGCAGACATTCCCAGCCTGATGAGATTAATCTTGGCATAGCATTCTGCTAAGGCACTTGGGGTAACTGGAAGAGAGAAGATGATTAGCCCTGTTTGTAAGGAGCATCCTTCATCCCCAAAATGAGCAACCAGACCGGACTTTCTTCCATTCACTCCGACATTGGCCAGTGGGCAGCTGCCCAGTCTTTGCAGTTTAAACCTTTGAACCCACAACGTGGGCTTCAATGAGAGCTGAAATGGAGTTTTGATCTGTTTTTTTTAAACCTTATTTCTGTGTATTCATTCTGTCCTATATACTTTGCTCTCTGTGCCATGATGAAAATATCCTGACCAAAAGCTGATGAAGGGAGGAAAGGTTTATATCACATCCTAGACACTACCATCCATTGTCTAGGGAAGTCAGGACAGGGACTGAATGTAGAAGCCAGCGAGAACGGCTGGAGAAATGGCTCAGTGGTTAAGAGCATTGGCTGATACTCCAGAGGACGGGAGGTGGATCCTCAGCATGCAATACAACTCACACCATCCATAACTCCAGTTACACGGGGCTCCGACACACTCTCCTGACCTCCTGCCTTCCAGACACACATGTAGCACACATATATGTATTTATGGGTATGAATCAAACAGTCATCCACATAAGAGAAATCTTTAAAATGAAAAAATAAAACATTGGATTCCAGCTTGCTCTCTGGTTCACTCGGCCTCATGTTTAGTTGCTTTTTTAATACATCTCTGAACCAAATGCATGAGGAGCGGTGTCACCCAAAGTGTGGCAACAAGACCTTCCTACATCAATTAGTAACAGGACAATCTGACACAGAGGTACCAACATACCAATCTGACCTAGAAAATCCCTCAATTGAGGCCTCTTTCTTCTAGTGAATCAAGGCTGAGTCAAATTGTCATTCAAAGATAACTAGGCTTCTGCCTGTGGTCCTTAGGATTTCTATTGTAATGATAAGAACACATGGCAAAGGCAACTCATTAAAAAATGATTAATATGGGGCTCACCAGCAGTAGCTGAGAGTTCACTTCTTGATTGACAAGTATGAGACAAAGAGAGCCAACTGGGAATGGCATGAGCTTTTTAAACCGCAAAGCCCACTTCCTGTGACAAACCACCTCCAGCAAAGACACACCTCCTGATCCTTCCCAAATAGTTCCACTCACTGGAGACCAAGCACCTTAATGTATGAGCACACAGGGACCATTCTCATTCAAATGACCACACTGCCTTACCTCTTCTCCTTGTGTATTTTCTCTTCATCACACAGTTTGTTTTTGTTCTTGCTTTTGTTTTGAGATAGGATTATTTTACATAACTTGGCTGCCCTAGAAACTAGATCCCTGTGCGTCACCCTGCACATGATCAACTCCAAATGAATCAAATAACTTACCGCAAGTACAGAAACTTAAAATATTACGGGGAAACATTTATGGACAGGCATTGACACAGATTTGACATCAGTTCCTAGCATCCACATCAGGCAACTCACGACCACCTCTAACTCCAACTCCAGGGGATCTGATGCCCTCACCTGGCCTCAGCATGCACCTCACTGGTATGCATATAAGCACACAGAGACACAGGCATACACACAATTTTCAAAAATAAAATAGATCTTTTCAGAAGGAGGTAAGAGCACAAGTAAGGAAGGAATAAAATTAAGGAATGAACTATGTCTTATTGGGTAAAATAAAACCACCCTCATAAAATACTTACTTGCCACTGAGACATCAAGATGATCACTTGGATGGGAGGCCCAGAAAGGGGCTTCTGCCTGGAGATAGACACAGCTGTACCTTCCTGCGTCCTGGACGGTCACATCCTGAAGGGTGAATTCCACCTCGTCACTTTCTGACTTCAGAAGCTGTACGGGGGACGAAGTCCCCTCCTTCAGCAGAGCGAACGTCTTGTACTGTGTTGAGTTGTGTGGCCTCTGACACTGCAGGATCACCTTCCCTCCTGCGGACACGTGACCCCAGTGCTGGACTTGGAGGGAAGGCTGAGACAAATGTCCTGTAGAGAAACGAGATCCAAGGGGAGGGGTCAAGCCTGGAGTCCTGTATCCATCCTTCCTGTCCTGCAAGGGTCCTGAAGATACTGAAACTTCCCCACGGTCTATGCTGACTCTCAACAGACATGTTTTTATTTATTAACATTGTTTGCAGATAATTTTGCACATGTACACAGTATATACTGACCATTTTCACCCCACCTCCCTAACACCTTCCTCAGCTCCACTTATCTCTGTGGGTCTCTGGAATCATGCTTGGGTTGGCAGCTGAACCTTCTGTCAACTGAGTCATCTCACCAGCCCCAGATGAAGTCCCTTTTGTCCTGCCCTCATTCCCTTGGATCCATGCTCACCCATGTTTGAAAATCACTGTAGTTTGTTGTGAGGGAGCCCCTCCTCACCTGTCACCAACAGGAAGAGGGCATCACTGGAAAATGAGATTCTGTTCGGGGACTCCTTCAAATGGTATCCGCAAGTATAATATCCAGCATGACTCTGCTGAAGGTTAGTCAGGTGAAACTCAGCTGTCCCCTCTGTCAAGTGATGTGGAAGCCTCGAATCCAAAACAGTATCTCCCTTTCTGAGAACAAGTCGTGTGTCCGGTGTGGGACTCACGCATCTTAGTGTCACGTTGCTATTCTCTGAGGCCACTGAATTTGGCCAAGCACTGAGGCTGGGTTTGGGAAGGAAATCTGGAGGGAAACAAAAACAAGTCTGGATCTGACACAACCACCTGCTCCCAGGAAGCCCAGGGAGGATCTAGAGAACACGTGTGTTGAAAGCTCAGGTCGGGTGTGGCTGATTCACCCATCATCTCTTTTTGCTCGACCGTCATTCAGATCTGCAAAAGAGACAAGAATGATGTACAAGTGCCTACTGAGAGCCACTCATTCTTGGTCCTGAGGACCAGCCCAGATGTTCCAGCTGAGCTCAGACCCCGAGTTCACACATTCAGGGTTCTAACATTTGAGTTGGGCATAGTGACTCATAACTTTATTCCCAGCACTCAGGAGGCAAATGCAGGAAGCCAATGAGTTCAAGGCCAGGCTAGGCTACATTAAAAAATTGCCTAAATTATAGAACAAGATGCTGTCTCAAAAACCTTACAGAAAGTCTGGTGACAAACTGTGAGATAATGAAATAAAAGGAGCTACATCAAATATAAAAAAGATAGACATGGATTTACATAAAAGCTCTGCCTTTGGGGCTGGAGAGATGGCTCAGTGGTTAAGAGCACCTGTTGCTCTTCTAAAGGACCTGGGTTCAATTCCCCACACCCAAGTGGCAGATCACAAATATCTGTAACTCCATTTGTAGGTGATCTGACACCCTCATATACACGTACATATATAGCAAAACACCAATGTACATGAAATAAAACTAACAAGTATTAAAAACAGATAGAAAGGCTGTATATTTTTAATGCTGGTGCACCTGTTTTCATAAAAACTAATACTACTGGACATAAACAGACAAGTCCAGATACAAGAATTATGGGAGACTTGAATACACCACTGTTAAGTACAGATACCTCATCCAGACAAAGTATCAAAGGGACACCTCAGAGTTCAACTGTACCCCAATAATAGCACGTAAGTTCACCAATGTGAACATTTACTACAACTGTTTGTTTGCCCTGGGCGCCCTTGGTGGGGTGAGTAGGTTTGTGTCTTGTGCGTGTGTGCGTGTGTGCGTGCACGTGTGTGTGTGTGTGCGCGTGTGTGTGTGTGTGTGTGTGTGTGTGTGTGTTAGAGAGAGAGACAGGGAGAGAATTAGAGAGAGGGTCCATGTCTCTATGTTACTGTGTGCCTGTCCATGGGAATGGTCATGAGTGTACATGCCCAAAGAGGCCAGAAGACAGCGTCAGATCCTATGCAGAGCTGGGGTCACAGTAATTATACAAATACTATTAAGGAGAATATTGAAAGCTTACCTGACACCAAGATCTCAAGGGGATCACTAGGATGTGAGGTCCAGAAAGGGGCTCCTATCTGGTGGTAGACACAGCTGTAGTTTCCTGTGTCCGTGTCTGTTATATCTTGGAGTGAGAAGTCTGCTCTGTTCCTTTCTGATCTCAGCATTTGTACAGGTGATGAATCTCCTTCCTTCAGTAGCATGAACATCTCATACTCAGTCATATTATCTGGCTTCTCACACCGCAGAGTCACATTCCCTCCTGCTGCCACATTGCTCCCTGGGTGAGCTTGGAGGGAAGGTTTAGGTAAATGTCCTGAGAGACAAGAATCCTGTGGTCATGGTGAGGAAAGCCTGGGTTACTCTCCTCCCCCTTGTTCTCACGATGCCTGATCTCTCCCACTCTGGATCTGACCTTAATGAGTATCCCTGACTGTCCTGGAACTCAGTATGTAGACCAGGTTGGCCTTGAACTCACACATCCATCTGTCTCTGCTTCCTGAGTACTAGGATCAAAGGTGTGAGCCAGATCAAACCCAGCTGAAAATGGAGACAATTTTCCTTCCATCAACTTTCAGATAAAACTAAAGCATTTAGGTTGAGGAGAAAGCTCAGCAGGTAGAGTACTTGCTGTCCAAAAGAACTCTCCCAGGAAGAAGAAAAAGCCAAGACACTGAGCTGAACTCAAGGTTCCAAGAAGGCAGCAAGTTGGGGACTACAGAAGAAAAGCAGCCAACCCCCTCTCCCACACACGGGGTGCTTGTAGGAAGTACCAAGACCCTGGGGCTGCAAACCAGCCCTATCTAAGGAAGCGGCTAACCTCACATGTGTGCATGCATGTGGGATCTGTAGGGCGATGTTCAGACTCATCCTCAATTGCTCCTCCCCCTTGTTCACCAAGACGGACCTCACAGCCAAGTCACAGTTCCTGGGTGCGGTTACTCTCCTTAGCCACCCTGCCCTGGTGAACCAGTCTCTCTTCTGAAACTGGAGTACAGGTGGGTCACCACACTCACCCAGGAATCACATGACTGCCCTAAGGATTCTATCTTCCCCTTCCCTACCCCTAGCCACCAAACCCCAGCTTAATGCATGTCATCCATGTTCTCTTGAACTCTGGCCGTTGAGTGACTGAGACCATTGTCAGTACTAGAGACCACACCCTCTTGCATTAAACAAATCCTGCGTGAGTTCATGTAAATTGTCTTCTTTGTCCTCCAGTCTTAATTCTTTCTTATCCTTAAACAATCCAGGCATGAGAACCAGAGTTTGGTTCCCCGTTAGCCGTGCAATTACTGAGAGGTCTGCCTATAACCCCAGCTTCAGGAGGCCAACACAGGGGATCCCCCAGAGCAAGATGGCTACCCAAACTAACCATATCCAGGATCTAGGATTTTATTGAGAGAACTTGCTTTGATGATTAAGATTGAAGAACAATTGTTGACTTTCACACTCCATGCGCATATACACATGTGAACACACCCCACACATGAGTAATATGCACACACATATCCACAGTACACACATATACAAATGAAAGCATTATCTAAAAGTGTTCATTTCTGGCTATATACATCAAACCAACAGGCAACATCAAACTGAATGGAGAGAAACGCAAGGCAATTCCTCTAAAATCAGGAATAAGACAAGGCTGTCCACTCTCTCCATACCTCTTCAATATTGTACTTGAAATTCTAGCTGGAACAATAAGACAACAAAAGGAGATCAATGGGATACAAATAGGAAAGGAAGAGGTCAAACTTTCACTATTTGCAGATGATATGATAGTGACCTGAAAAATTCTACCAGGGAACACTTACAGCTGATAAACACTTTCAGAAAACTGGCAGGATACAACATCAACTCAAGAAAATCAGTAGCCCTACTATATACAGATGATAAGAGGGCTGAGAAAGAAATCAGAGAAACGTCACCCTTTATAATTGCCACAAACAACATAAAATACTTTGGGGTAACGCTAACCAAACAAGCGAAAGAGCTGTATAGCAAGAACTTTGAGTCTTTAAAGAAAGAAATTAAAGAAGACACCAGGAAATGGAAAGATCTCCCATATTCTTGAATAGGTAGAAGCAATGTAATAAAAATGGCACTCCTACCAAAAGCAATCTACAGACTCAATGCAATCCCCATCAAAATTCCAGCACAATTCTTCACAGACCTTGAAAGAACAATTCTCAACTTTATATGGAAAAATAAAATATCCAGGATAGCCAAGACAGCCCTGTTCAACAAAGCAACGTCTGGAGTCATCACCATCCCTGACTTCAAGCTATAGTCCTGAAAACAGCTTGGTATTGGCACAATAATAGACAGGTAGACCAATGGAATCTAATAGAACACCCCAATATTAACCCATACACTTACAAACACCTGATTTTCGACAAAGAAGCTAAAATTATACAATGGAAAAAATAGCATCTTCAACAAATGGTGCTGGCATAACTGGATGCTGGCATGTAGAAGACTGCAGATAAATCCATGTCTATCGCGATGCACAAAACTTAAGTCCAAATGGATCAAAGACCTCAATATAAATCCAGCCACACTGAACCTCTTAGAAGAGAAAGTGGGAGGTACCCTTGAACGAATTGGTACAGGAGACAGCTTCCTGAACATAACACCACTAGCACAAACAGTGAGATCCAAAATTAATAGATGGGAACTCCTGAAACTGAGAAGCTTCTGTAAGGCAAAGGACACAGTCAACAAGACAAAAAGGCAGCTGACAGAATGGGAAAAGATACTCACTAACCCCACATCTGACAGAGGGCTGATCTCCAAAATTTACAAAGAACTCAAGTGTAAAGGGCAGCTTTTCCTTGCTAGCCGCTTTGGTTTATGCCCCCCCCCCCGCCAGCCGCCTGGGCTCTGCCTCATTGTAGTCCCCAAATAAACACGCAGGAGACTATATTAATTATGAAGCTGTTGGCCTTGCTTGTCTCTTACTGGCTAGCTCTGCCTTAAGTAATTACCCCATAATTGTTAATCTAAGTATGTCTCTTACCGGAGAATAGTTCCGGGCTCCTACCCCATGGCGTTACATGTCGACTCTCTTGTGTTTCTCCTTCCCAGAATCCTCCTGGACTCCTAATCCCACCTATCTAGATTCCTATTGGCCAGACAGTGCTTTATTAACATAAGACTTCCCCAACATCTCCTCTTTTCTGTTTAAACAAAAAGAAAGGTCTTAACTTTAACAGTCAAATTGTATCTCCTCTTTTCTGTTTAAACAAAAGAAAGGTCTTAACTTTAACACAGTCAAATTGTATATAACAGAACAGTTATCAAGTAAGAACATAGTTACAATATTTTATCAAGATTTAAAGAAAATATCATCCATCCCATCCTTGTGAGTCCAAAGTTCTATATGTAGCTTATCTTTTATCATAACTAAGGAAAACTATAATTATAACTATCTGTCTTCAACTCCATCAAAGACCACAGAAGGATAATATATAAACACTAGGATTGACAGAGACATCTTGCTATCTGGACAGTCACCCGAAGTTCCTCTGTATTGTCGGGGCATCCATCTTCAGCCCATAGGGCACAATGTGTCTGGAACACTTCTCAGCAAAGCAGGAAATTTCAAACTGTCCATCTGCATCAGCAGTCTGTCAGTCATTTTTCTGTGTCCTGCAGAAAGTCCCGTAGACTCTTCCATGAAGCAGGAACCCTGTAAGACTGAGTTCAGCAGTCACTTTCCTGTGGGTCCTGCATGTCCAGATTATACAACAACAGTCAAACAGTCTAGGCAAGAGCAGTTTCTTGCCCAAATGGCTAATCTTGCCATGTTGAAAGCAAACTCCATAACGAGTTTCTTCGATGCCCATCTTCCTCTCAGACATAATTGGTGCTGCCAGGAGTAGACATTTCTCATTGTCAAGAAAAACCCTAAACCATTTTAAATGCCATTTTCTAAAGGTCTTTGAAAGGTTTGAAGACTGTTTATCTATCTCAAATATATTTCTGTATATCTAGAAAACCTAACTTACCTAACTATAAATTCTATTATCAATAACTATAGTCTGTATTCAATTATGCATTACGTTTTAAAAGATCAGTATAAGCACAATACTTAATCAAGAGGAGAAATATATACATCACAGAATTGACCTTGAATTTGTATCAATAAATGAAAAACAATACCTATACCATAATTCCGTTTTTTACCATTAAAAAAATATTGGCTGTGATCATTAGCCAATTATAAACAACCCCATTTAAATGAAAACAAACATTTATAAATAAGATGGGAATTGGGACATCGCTCATTCCAAACTGCTTCCTGCTGGAAGGGGGCGCCGTTCATACTATGGGGCACACAACTGAAGAGTACTGCTCAGCAGAAAAAAAACAATGAAATCTTGAAATTTGCAGGTAAATGGATGACACTAGAAGAAATCATCCTGAGTGAGGTAACCCAGTCACAAAAAGACAAACATGGTATGTACTCACTCATATATGGATTTTAGACATGGATCAGAGGAGTGCCAGTCTGCAATCTCTTTGCCAGTGAGTCTGGGATACAGGGAGGTTCTCAAGAGAGATATGCATGATACCCCAGAGATGTGGAATGAGGCAAGATCTCCTGAGCAGATTGGGAGCATGGGGGGAGGGGAAAAAGAAAGGGGGAGAAGAGGAAGGGAGAGGAAGTCATGGGGAGCAGGAAGGTTGAGTTGGGATAAGAATAGAGGAGAGCAGGATGAGAGATAGCATAATAGAGGGAGTCATTATATGCTTGAGGAAAGATCTGACACTAGTGAGATCTCCAGAGATCTACAAGGATAACACCAACTGTCAAACTAAACAATAGTGGAGAGGCTACCTTAATTGCTCCTCCCTGATAATGAGATTTACGACTACTTTATATGCCATCCTAGAACCTTCATCCAGTGACTGATGGAAGCAGAGACAGATACCCACAGCTAAACAAACACTGAACTGAACTTCTGGAACCCAGTGACAGAGAAGGAGGAGTGATGAGCAAAGGGGTCAAGACTGTGCTGGTGGAAACCACAGAAACAACTGACCTGACAAGGGGGAGCTCTTGGACCCCAGACTGATAGTTGAGAGGCCCCCTGAATGTAGTGTCAGTGAGGAGGCCTCGGCAATCTCTGGGGCCTTGGGTAGTAGATCAGTGTTCACCATGGCGTATGAATGAACTTTGGGAACCCATTCCACATGGAGGGATGCTCTCTCAGCCTGGACACATGAGGAAGGGCCTAGGCCCAGCCCTGGGTGAAATGTCAAACTCTGCAGATCTCCCAAGAAGGGCCTCAGCCTCCCTGGGGAATGGTGTGGGGATTGGGTGGGGGGCTGGAGGGAGTTGGTAGAGGGACGAGGGAGGAGGGGTGGGAGAGGGAGCTGGGATTGACATGTGAAGCAAGCACGTTTCTAATTTAAATTAAAAAAATATATTGGAAAAAAAGTATTAATTTTTGTCACCATCTCTCCCTACCCTCCTCAGCTGCTCTGAAGATGATCAGCCTTCTCTACTTTCCTTTCCGCCTCTGACAGACTGACACATGTCATTCTGAGGAAGCCCCTTCTCACCTGCGACCAGTATTAGAATCGCGTTACTGTACTGCAGTTTCACATCCTGGTTAGCGTTTCCATAGCATTCGCAGATGTAGTGCCCAGCATCACTCTCCTCTAAGTCAAAGAGGTAGAATTTAAACCGACCCAGAACTGCCTCAATTGAACGTAATTTAGATGACCAATCTGCCAACCTAAGCGGTGTCCCAGCATTCAAATTTACATCTCTCCTTGTAATAAGACACTTTGTGCTTCTCAGAAAATCGTTACATTTCAGCATCACATTGCCCCTGTTGGGAATCACGGAGCTTGGCCAGGCGCTGAGGATGGGCTCCGGTACCGGCTCTGAAAGGAAGTAAATCTCAGAGTTACATGTGACATATCATCCATCCTGCTCCCTGGGAAGCATTTAAAACGAGCGATGGAGCCATTTAAACACATGGGTTGAAGGATCACGGAGGGCTTGAATAAAGAGGCACTTACCATCCCCAGTTACGCCTGCTTGCCCAGCACACAGCCCTGCAAGAGAATGAGTCATCATCAGATGCATCGCCTGCCTGGAGATCCCTCATCGCCCTCCCTGCTCCGGAGACTCCACTGCTGAGCTCAGACTCTGGCTTCACTCACCCAGGAGTTTCTGTGCTCACCACACTGGACTCCGGCATGTTTCAGACTCTCCAACAGCCTGTCTCCTCCCTGAAAACACCTTTGCCATCAGTGTCAGCCTGAGACTGTAACAAATATTCTCCGCTGGACAGTGAGCTCACCCTCTTGCCATTGTAAGTTAGTTCTCCGCCAGCCTGTCATGAATCCCTTGCCCATGAAGGCCAGAAGAGGGCGGCAACATGACTTGCGGTGGCTGAAACAAGATGTCTGGGGTGGGTGTTCTTTTCTAGATTCTCCAGGACAAGATCTATTGTATTATTTAGAAGACCCTAAAGATTCTACCAGAGGAATCCTTACACCTGCTAACTTACAGTGGGGCCAGAGACACGGCTCACTGAGTAAAGGCACTTGCTGCCAAGTCTGATGACCTGAGTTCAATCCTGACATGGCAGAAGGAGGGAACCTATTCCTGAAAGTTGTCCTCTGTCCTCCACAGGCGTGCTGTGATGTGTGTGTGTGTGTGTGCTTGCATGCCTCTGTGTGTGTGTGTATATGTGTGCGCGCACATGAGCAACTCAGATGAAAACCAATGGAATGCAATATATAACTCATAAATATATAGCTGCAGTCATCTGGTTGGCAAGGTTGGATACACTTGAAGACGTACACAACCATGCCTCAACCTCAATAGTTTTGACATCTGGGCCAGGTGACTTCACTGCGGTGTCTGCCTGTGCATTCTAGGCAGCCAGCAACAGTCCTGACCTTTGCCCTCTACACGTCACCAGCATGCTCCCTTGGGTGGAGCCAGCAAAGTTGAAGCCATGACCAACCCTGGTTGAGAACCACTGGTTTATTGAATGTGTCCACCCAGAAGGGAAGAAAAGGAGCCAGATGTGGACAGTCAGTGCCCAGCAAGTGTGTCTATACGTAGTGGGTACCAGGCAGGCATTGTATAAGCACATGATAGTGATTAACTCAGGCCTGACAATATGACTCAGGTGTGAAGTCACTTGCTAGGTAACCAGAGTTACATCCCTAGAAAACATGCGCTCATGTGTGCGCGCGCGCGCGCGCACACACACACACACACACACACACACACTATTTTTCTTTCTGAGTCTGGCATATTTTAGTTTTTAGCGCAATGGTTAACATTTGCATTTATTTTCCTGCAAATATCATGATTTCATTTTCTAATGAAAAGGGGCTTACATAAAATTCCATTGTGAATGTGTATCTCATTTTCTTTATTTATTCATCTTATTTTGGATATGTGTGTGTGTGCGTGTGCGCGTGCTATATGTATACAGCATGCAAGCACAAGACGGATCGTGACGGAGAGGGATGGGACGGGGGAGGGGACAAGAGAGCACAGTGTGGGAAAGAAAGACAGGATCACATACTTTTCCTCCCGTGCAAGCGTAGATTTCTCTCTGTATCCTGTCGCACCAACGCAGAGTGCGGGGACTATTTGAGGGGGACAAAGGAGGACCAGAGAGAGACAGGGAGGAGAGACGGGGCAGAGTAATTGACAGAGGGAATATGAGCTGAGCGAGGCTCGGTGATGAGCGTACGTGATGATGTCACAATTAATCTCATGCTAGTGAAAAATACAAAAAAACGACGTGATCGACTCGAGGCTGTTTCCCTTCCTTTATCCGCACTAACCTCGCGGGCCAGTAGGTTAGCATAAAGTACATGCAGTCTCATCATCATCGCGTCTTCTTAATTTCCACTGTTTACCGGGGATTCCCACGCACGCCGTGGTGCACACGGGGAGGTCAGAGGGGACCTCATGAAGGTCAGGTTCTCCCCCTCCTACCACGTGGGTCCTAAGGATTGAACTCAGGTCGTCAGGCATGGCGGCAAACGCCTTTACTCACTAAGCCATCTGGGTGCGGGGGGGGGCTTATATTCTTTAACGTAATAATTAACATTTGCATTTGTTTTCCTGCAAATATCATAATCTCATTTTCTAAAGAAAAGGACTATGTAAAATTCCATTGTGCACGTGTATCTCGTTATGTTTATCTATTCCTCTGCTTTTGTATATATCTAGGCTGTTTGTTTTATTTATTTATTTATCTATTTATTTTGAGACAGGGTTTCTCTGAAGCTTTGGAGCCTGTCCTGGGACTCAGGCTATAGACCAGGCTGGCTTCGAACTCACAGAGATCCACCTGTCTCTGCCTCCCAAGTGCTGAAATTAAAGGTGTGCACCACCACTGCCCAGCTTTTCAATCAACAGTAGCTGTGTGTGGAGGGAGAAAAATACATTTTCTTCACTGATGTAGCTACTGGCTCAATGGTTAACAATAATTCCTGTGACAGCAAGAGGACCTGAGTTCAAATCTCCAGCACACACTTAAGAAGGACATGGCTGTGCATGCTTGCAACCCCAGCACTGGAGAGCAGAGACAGGCAGATCTAGGGAGCTTGCTAGCCAGCAGCCTTCTGAAAGAGGAAGCTTGAGCCTCACTGAGAAATCTCAAAAACTAGAGGGAGAACAAGGAAAGATACCTAATGCTCTCCTTAGCTTGCCCCACGTGTGCATGTAGGCACATGCGTGCACACATGTGCAGACACACACACACACACACACCAAGTGCAAAAGAAAGAGTGTCATGTTCATGTGTCTGACAGCTATTAAGAAATTCAGAACCTACTGAGTTGGAGGGAACAGGAAAATGTGTGTAAAGCGCCCAGCACATTCCTCACACAAGACATGTGTTCACAAAATGAAATTTATTCACATGTCCTACAGCCTCCCTAGCTACCCCACTGGCCTCACCGACTGCAGCTGCTTCCACAACCCACTCGCCAACTACACACAGCCCTGCCCCCCTGGGACTTACCAAGACAGAGCAAGAGCAAGGATTGGGAGTTCATGACGCCCCGAGGTAACAGATGCCTCTTCAGCTGCCACTCCTGCTGCTGCATGTGTGTAATTCTGGGACCAGCAGCAATGGCCTTCCTTCAGTTTTTAATCTCTGGAGCTAGTCTACAGCTTCTGTTTCATGATAATGATCAGGATGTGGTCATTGTGCAACACCACACCACTTCCTACTGGCTTGGATCACACAGGACTCTCACCACATGGAAAGAATTCAGACCACTGACTTCTAAGCTCTTTTGCGCATTCTGCCCAATGTTCTGAGAAAATGCTAGTCAAATATGAGTTAGCATGTCCCCTGACTCTTTTCTTGGTCCATATATAAAATAAATGAAAAACGTTATCTAAATAAAATTTAAAAAGGAAAGAAATATTGACAGATGTTTAGTGACCACCACATCTGCCTCCTAATTTGCATAAATATCAGCATTTACATACATACATCATCTCAGAAGGAACCTGGCAAGCCCAGTGTTAGTCCTGTAGGAAGTCGCCTATGTAAGGCCTGAAAGCAGACCAATATAGAAGACGATCAAGTGAGTCACGACTCTGAAGGGGTCATAGGAACGTACTGCAATAGATGTCATCTGCGCATGTCCTGAAAGTGGATGTGGCAGGAATGAATGGAGCGGCCAGCTCGAACCCAGTCCTGCCTGGTCCTTAAGGTAGAAGAAACTACTGCAACACCCTGGTCCTATTCTTCTGCTGATAAGAGACTTGAAGGAGATCCTTGGACCGGCTGCTGAGCCACCATGATCCCTAGGCTCCTTTCCCTTCTCGGCCTCTGTAAGTTGCTCAGGGTTTTTAATTCCATCTCCAGGAAATCATCAAAGTGGTGAGATACTTGGATGGGTGTTGAAGCCTGAACTCACAACAGATCAGCGTGCTGATTACGTAGGATGAACCAGAAATCTCATTGAACATGTTAGGGTAAAACTCAGTATGCTCAATACGTAGATTGGGGAAAGCAAGGGTTGGGGCTGGAGCTCTGTTGGCAGAATGCTGACCTGGTGTGCATGAAGCCCTGGGTTCCATCCCCAGCGCTATAAACCAAGCATGGTGACACAGATCTCTAATCCCAGTGCATTGTGGGTGGATACAGGCAGATCACAAGTTGAAGAACATCTTCAGCTAATTAGGGAGTTCAAGGCCAGCCTGGACTACTTGAGACCAACCCCTCCCAAAACACACACACACACACACACACACACACACACACACACACACACACACACACAAAGCAGATAGAACATAGATGTAATGTAAAGGAAAAGCAAACTGACAACTTCCTTTTTTTTTTTTTTTTTTTTTGGTTTTTCGAGACAGGGTTTCTCTGTGGCTTTGGAGGCTGTCCTGGAACTTGCTTGGTAGTCCAGGCTGGTCTCGAACTCACAGAGATCTGCCTGCCTCTGCCTCCCGAGTGCTGGGATTAAAGGCGTGCGCCACCAACGCCTGGCCTGACAAGTTCTTTGTGATGTTGCTAGCCAAGGTTGAGTCAGCAGCTGGCTCTTTTCTTTTCTACAAGGCAACTTGTTCATACTGAGATACATCAGAGACTAGCCTCACAGAGAGCTTCTTGTATATTATTTAAAAAAATTTTTGAGACAGGCTTTCACTATGCAACACTGGCTGACCTGGAACTCAGTATGTAGATGAGGCTGGCCTTGAACTCACACAGATCCTTCTGCCTGTGCTCTCAAAGGCTGAGGTTACAGGTGTGTGCCACCATGTCCAGATCTTTTGATACAATAATGACTACAACAGGTGGTTTCTAGTGTTATGTAACTTTTTGGAGCAGGGTGTGGTAGCACACACCTGTAAATCCATGCTCTGGAGAAATTCTAATCCTCTGGAAGTAGGAGGATTCAAAGTTCAAAATCATCTGAATCATAGTGAATTTTAGCCCACCTGGGTTACATAAGAGCATATATGTGTAATAATAATAAACTGTGTATAGCGAGACTACCTTAATCCCAGTTCTGAGGACACAGAGGCTGGTGGATCTCTGAGTTTGAGACTAGCCTGGTCAACATAGCAAGTTTCAGAAAAGAAAAAAAAAATAAGTCTGCTCTTAGAGGCTAGAAATTCGCCCTGAATTTGCAAGCTGGAGTGATTTGCCTTAGATTTCAGAGATTCTGAGGAAATTGAATTTCAAACCATGAGGGTCTAACCCCAACATGTTGCCCTGATGTTCAGCAAACAGGGCCGATCTTACCGGGCTCCTTGTTGTAGGACCATTGAGGATGTTTGAGAGGACTTTGGGTTTGTCTTGATTTTTTTTTTTTTTTTTTTGGTGTTGTTAACTTGACACAAACCAGAGTTCATTGTGAGGAGGAAGTTCACTGGAGAGTAAGTTTCCATCAGACTGTCTGTAGATAAGTCTGTGAGACATTTCACTTTCTCTACTTTTCCTTTTTAGTGATACGCTTCCCCAAACGTCCCCTTCATCCTTGCACAGCGGCCACTCGGCTTTGCAAGGACACAGAACTTTGTGTCCCTTCGGCTTTAGTATCCGTGCTGCTGAAGAGAGCCAGGGCGTTTTCTTGAACCATGGCTGGTGTGGGATGGCTCAGACCTCCGTGGGTGGTGCCACCCCTGGGCAGATGGTCCTGGGGTATGTAACATAGCAGGCTTAGCAGACCACGGGGAGCAAGCCAGTGAGCGGTGCAAGCCGGTGAGCGGCTCGTAGTCTGCATCAGCTCCTGCCTCTAGGTTCCTTTCCAGCCTTCACTCAGTGATGGGGTGTGATCTGAGGGTGTAAGCTGAAACAAACCCTTTCCTACACAGCTTGCTCGGGTCATCGTGTTTTATTGCAGCAAGTGGGAAACAGAGCGGAGTGTCTGTCCTTGCTTATGACAGAAGCTTTCTCTCTCTTCTTCTCGGTTTTTCCCCTCTTTTTACTGTCTTTTCATTTGTTCTGTGTGTCTTTTACGTCAGGTATCCTGATCCAATTCATTTCCCCATTCCTTCAGTCTGCCCTCTGCCCCGGCAACAACCCCGCCCCATTAAAAGAAAACAACAACAAGGAAAACACTAAAAATCTCGTCGTGGAAGCTGCAGTGTGACACAGTCGTGCAGTGACCTTTGTCCATACATCTTTACTTGCAAAGTGTTCGTTGCAAAAAGTCATTGGTCCGGTTGGGGGCCTCTGGTTTCTGTAGGGGAAAGCTCAAGTACCCAAGACACTGGACGTGGGACAGGGGAGAGAGAAAATGAATCTCTCTTGGATGCTGGCCACGTTTTTGAACGGTTTTCACCTTCCCAGCATCTCGTGTGGGTGATTTCTCCTGTTAATAAACATCCTTGTTTTCCCTTTGCATTGTTTCATCATCAGCTGGCGTCAGGTATCGTGGGATTTAAGTTCGCCCAGCCAGAGGTGAGTGCTCACGGGGCACCTGCGGTCCCAGCCTCTGCCCCCCACGATGCGGTCCCAGCCTCTGCCCCCCACGATGCGCCTGGGCGCCCCCCATCGGCAGGAACAGGTCAGCGCGCGCGCAACTGCCCACAGGCCGAGCTGCCTGCGTTCGGTAACACCAGGTCCAGGCCCCGTTTGCGCTGTGCTGTGCGGCTAGCGCTGCCGATCCCGTAGCAGCATCCTCCCGGAAGCTGCTCTGCGCCGCCTCTCCCCAGCCCGCGCCCGTGCTGCGCCCTCCCTCTCCCCAGCCTCCTATACAATCGATGCTGGGCCCTCGCTGCGGCTCCTCTCGGATATCCTGTGTTGTGGAGATCTTGCAGCCTTGGGTCTGCAGGTCTGGCCACTTCACATGCTCCGGCATGCTCTAAATGTGCCTGAGCATCTGCAGCGTTGGTCAGCCCACCTGTTCTCCCCTGTCCTCACCACCAGGGTGAGCTCTCCAGCATGCATGTCCCTGGCTAATTCACCCCTTGGAGCAAAGAGCAAGGAGTAGAGTCAGCTCTGCTTTTAAGGCCTCAGGCGCCCAAAACTACACCATAAGGCAGCTCTGCTGCGTGGCCAGGCGAGGTGCAGGGGCCACTCTCAGGAGTGCTGCAGCTGCTGAGGGCCAGGGACAGCATCCTGCTAAGAGACCTCCGTGTGTCTCCGCGTTGATAGGTGGGGGCTGGGGCAGAGGGCATCTCTGTCCCGCGCTACCATCTCGCCAGCAAGAACGACGCAGGACACTCGGATCCTTCTGCAGTAAAGCTTTAATACATCTTGAGAGATAGATGATCAGCTTCTGAGAGGGAGACCCCAAGCTAAGAAACCCAGCCCCTTATATAAGCCTAGGAGCTCCGAGTGAGACGTGTAGAGCCGGGATTGGTGGTTTGCTCATCACCCCAGATGACGCCATGGGAGAGGCACAGCTTAAACGGTGAACTCCAACTGACAGCGGATGTCAGCGCCATCTTCTAATGGCGATAGCGATAGCGAGGGCGGCTCCTCACACATCTCTCCTCCACCCATGCCACCACAGGACAAATGAGTAGTTGGAAAAGCTCTCCCTTGCTCACAACACCGGGGCTGGGTCACCCACACCTCCAGCATCAGGGCAGGCTGTTCTGCCTAGGCAAGGAGCAGCGCCACTTTCCAGCGGGGAGCAGCTGGCAATGGGGGAGGGTGATTGTCTGTTGCACGTGATAAGAAGCCAGAGGTAAGGGGGAGGGCATCTTTTCCAAGCCCACAACACCACATGACAGACAAGTCGTGGGGATAGCTCTCTCACAATCACAACTTCCGGGCTGACTCACCCACACCTCTGTAACATGGTTGACTCTATTGACCTCTGCTAACATGGTTGACTCTATTGACCTCTGCTAACATGGTTGACTCTATTGTGCTGCCCAGGCGAGTTTCGGGGCTTACCCTCCCAAGTGCTGCAGCTGGTGAGGATCGGGGACAGCTCTCCCACACTTGTGACCACAGGGCTAGGTCTGTCACCTGCCTCAGCCATTGATGGGGGGGAGGCCCCGTGCAGCCACAAACAGGTGAGTAATGCGGACAGATCTTCCTTATTTGGTTTTTCAAGACAGAGTTTCTCCTAAGGTCCTGGATATCCCGGAATTTGCTCTGTAAACCAGACTGGCCTGACACTCACAGAGCCTCTGCCTCTGCCTCAGCCTCCTGAGTGCTGAGATTAAAGGCATGCTCCACTACCTACGTTTTTCTTTTTGATGGACGCTTCTTCAGCTTGTAGAGATAGGAACTAGCACAGTCAACAGCCCTGAAGACACCTTGGGGCAGTGGTTTCTGGATGCCTTGGGTTCATAAACTCGAAGGATGGATTTCACAATGTGTGTGAAGGGTTTTTTTTTCTAGTTTAATATTTTCTTTTTGATAACTTCGTACATAGGCACTACATTACATCATGCCTCTGCTCCTCCATCTTCCCAACTTCTTACGTGTCTGATTTCCCCAATTCATGAGCTCCACTTTTTTTATTTTTTTATTTCATTTTACATTCCCACCACAGTTCTCCATCCCACCCCTCCTCCTACCCCCTTACCTCCTCCATAGCCCACCCTCAGTCCACTCCTCCTCATAGGTAAGGGCTCCCACAAGGAGTCAACATAGGGAGGTACAATAGGTTGGGGCAGGACCCGGCCCCTCTCCCATGCATTAAGACTGAGTATGGCATCCCACCACAGGGAATGGGCTCCAACAAAATAGCTCATGTACCAGGTGTGTATCGTGGTCCAGGGGCCCCTCTGATAGTCCAAGCTTCACAGTTGTCTCCCACAGATGATCTGGTTCAGTCCCCTGGAGTCTCCACAGTTGCAGACCTAAAGTTCGTGTGTTTCCATGAGCTTGGTTCAGCTGTCTCTATAGATTTCTCCATCATGATCTTAACCTCCATTGCTCTTATATTTAAATTCCTGGAGCTCAGCCTGGTTCTTGGTTGTGGGTCTCTGCATCTAGTTCCATCAGTTACTGGATGAGGGCTCTTTGGTGACATGAGCTCCACTTTAACTATTAATGTTATATACATACTATCTGAGATACCCTCTCCTCATTGTCAATCATCTGTCTCCTTTTCCAAGAGAAGAACCTAAGTCGGACGTTGGTGGTGCATGCCTTTAATTCCAGCACTCGGGAGGTAGAGGCAGGCAGATCTCTTTGAGTTCGAGGCCAGCCTGGTCTACAGAGTCAGTTCCAGGACAGCCTCCAAAGCAATACAGAGAAACCCTGTCTTGAAAAAAAACAGAGAGAGAGAGAGAGAGAGAGAGAGAGAGAGAGAGAGAGAGAGAGAGAGAGAGAAGAACCTAGACTTTTCTTTAGACCAATATATCTTAAAAGTTTAAAAGTAGCCGGGCGTTGGTGGTGCACGCCTTTAATGCCAGCACTCGGGAGGCAGAGGCAGGCGGATCTCTGTGAGTTCGAGGCCAGCCTGGACTACAGAGTCAGTTCCAGGACAGCCCCCAAAGCCACAGAGAAACCCTGTCTCGAAAAACCAAAAAAAAAAAAGTTTAAAAGTAAAATCCCAGTATTCTCTAGGTCAGAAGAGGGATAGTAGCTTTTAAAGATGTATTTATAAGCCTGGTGGTGGCAGTAAAAGACTTTAATCCCAGAGCTCAGGTAGCATAGCAAGGCAAATCTCTGAGTCTGGTCTACAGAGCCACATCCAAGACAGGAAAGGCTATATAGGGAAACCCTATATGAAAAACAAAAACAAATGAACAAAAAATCTAGGCTGCAGTAAGAAATGAATCCCAAAGTGTTGTTCAATAGCAGGAACCATATGGGAAGAGAGTGGTTAGGTGAGTCAGTCATTCTGTAACCATGCTGTGTATGTACACAGAAATAAGGGTGCTCATTGCCAAGCCAGATGAACTGAGTTCCCTATTAGGATCCGTATAAAAGAGAGAACTAACGCCTGCTAGCTAAGTGCTGTCTGACTTCCACACAGTCCCCACATCCCAACACACACATAATAACTGCAGGAATAAACACAACATTAAAACCTGGGTGATGGGCTGGAGAGATGGCTCAGAGGTTAAGAGCACTGACTGCTCTTCCAGAGGTCCTGAGTTCAATTCCCAGCAACCACATGGTGGCTCACAACCATCCATAATGAGATCTGGTGCCCTCTTCTGGCGTGCAGACATACATGGAGGCAGGATGTTGTGTTCATAATAAATAAATCTTAAAAAAAAAAAAAGAGGCAGTGGACAGGCAGGAGTGCTGTGCCCGGCTATCCTCAGGACATGGGATTACCACTGCATGCCATAAACTCACTATGGATAGCTAACAAAATCAAGCCCACAGGAACAGTCCACACTCCGACATCTGGCAGCAGCTGGACTCAGTGGGTGTCTTAGGGTTACTATTGCTGGACCAAAAGCAAGTTGAGGAGGAAAAGGCTTCTTTGGCTTACATAGTTCAGGTAACAGTTCACTGACTGAAGCCAAGGCTTTAACTCATGCCAGGCTGGGATCCGGAGGCTGGAGAGGAGGAAGGAGCCATGGAAGGATGTTGCCTGCTGGCTTTCTCCTCACGACTTTCTCCGTCTCCTTTCTCATAGAACGCAGAACACCTACACAAGGGGAGGCTCTGACTACAATGCGCTGAACCCTCCCTCATTAGTCACTAATTAAGAAAATGCTCCACAGGCTGGCCCACAGTCCAATCTCAGGGAGGCATTTTGTCAACTGAGGCTGGCTTCTCTCAGATGACTCAAGCTTGCGCAGAGTTGACATAAAAGTAGTCAGACACAAGAGGGTACAAAGATGTGGGGGAGGAGGACATGAAGTGGGGAGCAGGAAATATTGGGGTGTAGGTTGGAGTGGGAGGAGAGAACTGGGAATGGATATACTGGAGATGCATTGTTTACATGCATGAAATTATCACACAATAAATAAAAGATTTTCTATTGAAACAAGCCAAACCAATAAAAGGACAAAAGGGCAGGGGACATACTAATTCATATTTGACTAGCATTTCCTTAGCACATTGGGCAGAATGCGCAAAAGAGCTTAGAAGTCAGTGGTCTGAATTCCGTGTGGTGAGAGTCCTGTGTGATCCAAGCCAGTAGGAAGTGGTGTTGCACAATGACCACATCCTGATCATTATCATGAAACAGAAGCTGTAGACTAGCTCCGGAGATTAAAAACTGAAGGAAGACCATTGCTGCTGGTCCTAGAATTACACACATGCAGCAGCAGGAGTGGCGAGCTGAAGAGACATTCTTGGAAAGGCGTGTTACCTGGGGGCGTCATGAACTCCCAGTCCTTGCTCTTGCTCTGCCTTGGTAAGTCTGAGGGGGACAGGGCCGTTTGTGGGGATGGGTGGGTTGTGGAGGTAGCTGGAGTTGGCGAGGCCAGTGGGGGAGGCTAGGGATGCTGGAGAATAGAGTGAATAAACTTCGTTTTCTGAACACGCATCACATGTGGGGAATGTGCTCAGTGCTTTACACACGTTTTCCTGTTTCCTCCAAATCAGTAGGCTCTGAGCCCGTCAGTGGCTTTCTGTCTCATTAACATGACGTTTACAACCTCTCGTTTTTATTTGGGGTGTGTGTGTGTGTGTGTGTGTGTGTGTGTGTGTGTGTGTGTGTGTGTGCAGGTGCCTGTGTGCACACATGGGACAAGCCAAGGAGGGCACTAAGTATCTTTCCTTGTTCTCCCCCCTCAAAGTTTTGAGATTTCTCATTAACACCGAAGCGTCCTCTTTCAGCAGGCTGGCTAGCAAGCTCCCTGAGCCCCCCCAGTTCTGGATTACAGACTTGTACAGGGAAGAGATGGGCTTTTGGTGAGCAGGAAACATATGGAGAACATAGAAAGGTCTGAATAAGTCAAACCGGAGTCTGAGCTCAGCAATAGATTCTTGGGACCAGGGAGGGCGATGAGGGAGCCGCAGGCAGGCACTGTGTCTCATGGGTCATTCTCCTGCAGGGCTGTGTGCTGGACCTACAAGCATAAGTGGGGATGGTAAGTGTCTCTTCAATCAAGCCCCTGCCTTGACCCTTCAACCCAAGTGTTCAAATGGCTTCATCCCTTGTTTTAAATGGTTCCCAGGAAGCGGGATCATATGTCATACGAAACTCTGGGTTTTACTTTCTTTCAGAGTCCTTACTCAAACCCGTCATCAATGTCTTGCCTAGCTCTGTGGTTCCCTCCAGGGGCAATGTGACACTGGTATGTTTTAGCTTGGTGAAAAACATAATATGTGATATTCAAAGAAGTAGTAATTTGGATACTCGGATACCACTTACGTTGAGAAAGAGGCCACCTAAATTACATTCAAGTTGGGCAGTTCCGGGTTGGTTTCATTTCCATCTCGTTGGCTTAGAGGAGAGTGATTCTGGACACTACGTCTGCAAATGCGATACAGACAATATACTGTTGCCATACAGTGATGCGATTCTAATATTGGTCACAGGTGAGGAGGGGCGTCCTTGGAATGACATGTGTCAGTCTATCAGAGGGAGAAAGGGAGGGAGAGAAGGGTGATCATCTTCAGTGCAGTTCGGAAGAGCGGAGACTGATATGATAGCAACAGAGATGAATACCTCTGGTTATTGATTTCATCTGTATATCTGTGTGCTGTACAAGTGTGCACATGAATATTTGCAGGTGTGTGGGTAACCATGGGTGTGGGTGTGTGTGCATGCATATGGGATCTGCAAGTTATCAATTGTTCTCCAACCTTATTCACAAAGACAGGATCTCCCAATCAAATCATAGCTCCTGAATATGGCTATTTTGGTACCTCTCTTCCTCCGGGAATCCTCCGTCTTATCCTTCTGAAGCTGGAGTTACAGGCTGCCCACTCGCCTAGAAATTACATGGGGCTCAGCATCCCGTCCCCGTGGCTAGGTTTTGTGCGGATACGAAGGAATTAAGACTGTAGGAAGAGCCGGGCGTTGGTGGCGCACGCCTTTAATCCCAGCACTCGGGAGGCAGAGGCAGGCGGATCTCTGTGAGTTCAAGGCCAGCCTGGTCTACAGAGCGAGTTCCAGGACAGCCTCCAAAGCCACAGAGAAACCCTGTCTCAAAAAACCAAAAAAAAAAAAGACTGTAGGAAGAAAGGAAAGATGAGAATTTACATGACCTCAAACAGCTAGTTAAGGCTTCATTTAATGCCAGAGGGGTGTGGTCTCTAGTTCTGACTGCGCTACAATCAGGGCACAGGTCCCGGTCACTCAATGAAGAGAGTTTGAGAGAACATAGATGACATGCCTTAAGCTGGAGTTTTGAAGCTAGGGAGAGGGGAAGGGAAGAGCTATTCCTTAGCGCAGCCATGTGATTGCTCGGTGAGTGTGGTAATCCACCTGCAACTCCAGCTTCAGAAAAAAGACAGGGGATCCCCAGGATATGTTGGCTAAGGAGAGTAACCACACCCAGGAACTGTGACTTGGCTGTGAGGTCCGCCTTGGTGAACAAGGGGGAGGAGCAATTGAGGATGAGTCTGAACATCACCCTCCAGATCCCACATGCACGCACACATGTGAGGTTAGCTGCATCCTTAGATAGGCCGGTTTTCAGCCCCAGGGTCTTTGTACTTCCTACAAGCACCCCGTGTGTGGGAGAGGGGGTCGGCTGCTTTTCTTCTGCAGTCCCCAACTTGCTGACTTCTGGGAACCTTGAGATTAGCATAGGGTCTTGGGAGGGGGGTGTTCTTTTAGACAGCAAGTACTCTACCTGCTGAGCCTTCTCCTCAACCTAAATGCTTTAGTTTTATCTGAAAGTTGATGGAAGGAAAATTGTCTCCATTTTCAGCTGGGTTTGATCTGGCTCACACCTTTGATCCTAGTACTCAGGAAGCAGAGACAGATGGATCTGTGAGTTCAAGGCCAGCCTGGTCTTCACAGTGAGTTCCAGGTCAGCCAGGGATACTAATGTCATTAAGGTCAGATCCAGAGTGGGAGAGATCAGGCATCGTGAGAACAAGGGTGAGGAGAGTAGCCCAGGCTTTCCTCACCATGACCACAGGATTCTTGTCCCTCAGGACATTTACCTAAACCTTCCCTCCAAGCTCACCCAGGGAGCTATGTGAATGCAGGAGGGAAATTGATTCTGCAGTGTGAGAAGCCAGATAATATGACTGAGTATGAGATGTTCATGCTACTGAAGGAAGGAGATTCGTCACCTGTACAGATGCTGCGATCAGAAAGGAACAGAGCAGACTTCTCACTCCAAGATATAACAGACACGGACACAGGAAACTACAGCTGTGTCTACCACCAGATAGGAGCCCCTTTCTGGACCTCACATTCCAGTGATCCCCTTGAGATCTTGGTGTCAGGTAAGTTTTGAATAGTCTCCTTTAAACTATTTGTATAGTTCCTGTAGAGATAAAAGACGCTGTTTAGAGTCTGGTGTTAAGCACACTTACTGTTCCTGCAGAGAAGCAGAGTTCAATTCTTGGTATTCACACCACACAGTTCACAGCCACCTATGACTCCAGCAATCCATGGGGTCTGACCTATGTCTGTGGAGGCCCGCACTCATGTACATTCCCATGTACAGACAGACAGACAGACAGACACACACACACACACACACACACATGTAAAACTAATACAGAGCCTGGCCACAGTTGTTCAAACCTCTAATCCCATCACTCAGAAGGCAGTGCCAACAGGGTCTCTGTGAGAACAGCCTGGTCTACAGAGTGAGTTGCAGGACTGCCAGGGCAACACAGATAAACCTTGTCTCAAAAAAAACTAAATATATATATATATATATATATATATATAATAAAACATAAAGATTAAACACAAAGAAAACCATAATCTTAAAAAGAAGTGTTTTAGGATGTGGATGGAGTCCCTCCTGGTCCCACAGCTATTTAGACCCAAATAAACACACAGAAGCTTATATTAATTATAAATTGTTTGGCTGATGGCTCAGGCTTCTTACTATCTAGCTCTCTCTTAACTATTAACCTATTTCTATTAGTGTATTATTTCCACATGGTCTTGGCTTACCGGAGAATGCCTGATATCTTTCCTTCCCAGTACCTACATGGTGTCTCCCGTGACTCCTCTCTGCCCTCTCCCCAGAATTCTCTTTGTCTGGTAGCCCCACCTATACTTCCTGCCTGACTACTGGCCAATCAGTGTTTTATTCATCATCCAATAAGAGAAACATATATTAAGACATGCAAAAGGACATCTCCCATCATTTAGTTATTTTTATGTTCATTAAGAGCTGCTTTATAGATTTATGTAGCAGACTTTTCCTGGGTAGATGCAACACATATGCATACACACACACACAGAGAGAGAGAGAGAGAGAGAGAGAGAGAGAGAGAGAGAGAGAAAGACAGACAGACAGACAGACAGACAGACAGACAGACAGAGACACATACACACAGAAAGAGACAGAGACAGAGAGAGAGACAGAGAGAGACACACACACATAGAGAGACAGACAGAGAGAAAGAGAGACAGACAGGCACACACACACACACACACACACACAGAGAGACAGACAGGCAGAAAGAGAGAGAGAGAGGCAAATGCACTCACACACACAGGTACAAAGGTATGCGTCTACTCATTCCACAAAACAAAGGAACAATCGTAGCAAAGGATGAACTTATGGGCTGTTATTGGGGTTACTAACCGGGAGCATGGCTGTGGGCTTCTCACACAGACTAGTGAAGACTCCACAGCTGGGTCAGCAGAAAGCTCACTCCAGCATGGCTGATGACTCATGACCACTGCTGTCCTGGAGCTCTCTGCACAGCTTGAAGGCTGCTGGACACCTCTCTGTGGTGGGGCTGCTCAGCGTCTCCCCAGCCTCAGAAGTCCCTGACCCTTTTTATATGCTGGGCAGGGGCCTGGCTCCATAAAGTAATTTTAAGATTGTCTTCTTCTGCTTCGTCTGCATTAGGATGCTCAGGTCTTGCTGTTGTAAAATCACTAGGTTCTGGCGGTGCCATGTTGCCCTTCATGTTGTTGAATGTATTCTTGCACTGTCATCTATCCACCTGGGTTTGGTGTAATTATGGGTTCAGGTGTTGATTCTTCCTCTAATCTGTGCAGGTGGTGTCTATGCCTCCAGGGGCCCCTGCTGACCAATGCTGGGGCTCTTCTTCCAAACCCTTCGTGTGGAGCCTGTGCCTTGGGGGTCTCTGGTGCCGAAGGGGTTTGTGGGCACACGCCTAGAATCCCAGCACTCGGGAGGCAGAGGATCTCTGTGAATTCGAGGCCAGCCTGGTCTACAGAGCGAGTTCCAGGACAGCCTCCAAAACAATACAGAGAAACCCTGTCTCGAAAAAAAAAAAAAAAAAAAGTCTTCCCTCTATCACCAGCCTCCTCCCCATTCCTCAGGGAATATTTCAGTTTGGATGAAAATGCCTTACAGCAATGTCCCAAATGTGCTCTATTTAAGAAAAAAATGATTGTGAAGAATGTGTATTTCAGTACTTTTGGATAGAGCATCATTTAGAAGTCTTTTAAATTAGTGTGTGTGTGTGTGTGTGTGTGTGTGTGTGTGTGTGTGTGTGTGTGGTGCAGTTCAACTCTAAGGTTTCCTTTTGATACTTTTTCTGGATGGAGTATCTATCTTTCTATTATCATTTTTTATCTTAAAACAATCTTTTCTCATTTTACATATCAATCCCAGTGCCCATTACCTCCCCTTCTCTTGCTCCCCCCACCTTCTCCCCATCCCACCCGGCCTCCTCAGAGAGGGAAAGGCCTCCCATGGGGAGTCAGCAAAGTCTGAGGCAGGAGCAAGCCCTCCCCCCTGTATCTAGGCTGAGCAAGGTGTCCCTCCAAAGAGAATGAGCTCCAAAAAGCCAGTTCAAGGAATAAATCCTTGTCCCAGTGCCAATCTGGACTGACAAAGGGTGAACCTGCATAGGTCCAAACTAGGCCTTTTGAATGTGGGTGACAGTCGTGTGTCTTGGGCAGTCTGTGGTGTATCTATTTATAACAGTGGTACAGTGAAGCCATCCATTGCTCTGGTATCTGGACCATCTGTCTCTTTATGTCCATTAGTACCAGTTTTATGAAAATGGGATACATACACACACATACACACATATGTATTCCCCCTTCTGTGTCTGTTTTATTTTTGTTTTCTGTGCATTCAAGGGTATCCCTGGAACTGGAGTTACAGACAGTTGTGATCTGCCATGTAGGTACTAGGAATTGAATCCAGGTCCTCTGAAAGAGTAGCCAGTGCTTTTAACCACTGAGCAATCTCTCCACCCTAAAGTTAGATTTTTTATATAAATTTATGTTAATATTTCTAATATTTATTTTTTATGAATTCTTAGATTATTTAACTTTTTGGGGGGGTTTCGAGACAGGGTTTCTCTGTATTGCTTTGGAGGCTGTCCTGGAACTCACTCTGTAGACCAGGTTGACCTTGAACTCACAGAAATCCACCTGCCTCTGCCTCCTGAGTGCTGGGATTAAAGGCGTGTGCCACCACTGCCCGGCCGGTCTTGATTCCTTTGCTCATCACTCCTCTTTGCAACTGGGTTCCAGGAGTTCAGCTTGGTGTCCAGCTGTGGGTGTCTGCCTCTGCTTCCATCAGTCACTGGATGGAGGTTCTAGCATGTAAGGTTCAAGTTCATTATCAGGAATAGGCATTTAAGGTAGCCTTAATGCCAGTTGGTGTCATTCTTGTAGATCTCTGAAAATCTCACTAGTGCCAGATCTCTCCTCGAACCCACAATGGCTCCCTCTATTATATCTCTCATCCTGCTCTCCTCCATTCTTACCCTGACTCAACTTGCTGCTCCCCCATGTCCTCTTCTCCCCCCCATTCTCCCCCTCTCTTTCTCCCATCCCCCTTTCTCCTCCCCTCCCGCCATGTTCCCAATTCCCTCAGGAGATCTCGTCCCATTTGACATACTCCCCCCTTTGCTACACGATCTCACCGTTGGCTACCAAGGTTTCTGTAAGGTTTTTTGGTTTGTTTTTGAGATCGCATCTTGTTATATAGTTCAGTTTATCTAGAGTTTTCTATGTGGTCTAGGCTGCCCTTGAACTCATAGTTTCCTGCTTCTGCCTCCTGAGTGCTGAAGGCATAAGTCACTATGCCCAACACAATCATCACCATTTTCTCTCTTCTTTTTACATTTATGTATCTATTATTTAAATGGATGTACATATATACACAGGCACGTACATGCCACAACATCCATGGGGAATCCAAACAAAAATTTCAGAGAGTCTGTTGTCTCCTTGTAGTATGTTGAATTTCAGGTCATCAGGCTTAGTGGCAAGTACCTTTAGCAGCTGAGACATCTCACTACCCTAATCTTTCTGTTTTCTTGATGGAATGTTCCCTTTATTAATATAAGGTTATCTTTGTATCCTGTCACTAATTATTTTGGCGACTGGGCCTCTCTATGTAGCTCTGCCTGGCCTGGAACTTTCTATAGATTCCAGATCGGCCCTGAAATCACAGAGATGTGCCTGCTTCTACCTCCCAAGTGCTCAGATTAAAGTCATGCTTCACCGTGACTGGATCCTATACTTCATTTTGTGTTGAACTCTGCTTTGTTAAGTATAAGCGTAGCTACTGTGCTGACTTGTGGGCTGCCAATTACTTGCATATAACTGCCATCCTTTTGCTTTCAGAGTGTGTGTGTCTGTCTGTCTGTCTGTCTGTTGCCTGTCTGTGTGTGTGCTTATGAGGGAAGGTATATTTCTCACTGAAAGAAGAGCTTGTAAAATTCTATCAGTTAGTCTGATGGTCTTTTAAATGGAGAGTAAACACCATCACATTAGGGCAATTCTTGTTTGTTTTTTTTTATAGTTTTAGTTTAAATTTTTAAAAAACTTACTTTGTCTCTTTATGTTTTTTGAGACAGGGTTTCTCTGCATAGCCCTGGCTGTCCTGGAACTTGATTTGTAGAATAGGCTGGTTTGAACTCAGAGATCCGCCTGCTTCTGCCTCACAAGTGCTGGGATTAATGGTGTGCGCCACCACTACCTGGCATGACTCCTCTTTTTAACTATGTGTCTATGGGTGGCTATGTGCACATGAGGGCAGCTCCTGCAGAGGCCAGTAGAGGGCGTCGGATCTCCCGGATCTGGACTGACAGGTAGTTGGGAGGCTCCCTTTGTGAGTTCTGGGAACTGGTCCTCTGTAAGAGCAGCGCCTGCTCTCCAATGCTGAGCACTGCTCCTGCTCTTGGTGCCATTCCCGAGACAGACTTCCTGATTTCTGTAACTGCTGGTTGTTTCCTGCTTGACATGAACTGTGATTCTTCTTTCTCCCTATTCATGCCAGGGATCTGCAGTTTTACTGATTCGAACATGATCGATTCTTTCCTATTTATTGACTATAAACTGTACATAATAACCTGGGTTAGAAGTTATTCACTTCCAGGAATTGAAATACACCATTCCATGCTTCCATAGCAACAACAACAAAAAATGCTTGACATTCAATGTCCAGAATACCCAAAACTATACAGGTGATGTAATCTGCTATGGAACTCTTTGTGGCAGGATGCCACTTTCGTGTGGTTTTTGTATAAATATGACCTTGTAGTCAGGGACAAGAGCCTTCAGCTTTCCAAACTTGCATGCGTGAGAATAAATGAAGTGGGCATAAAATGACGTGAAGATGGAGGGAGTTGCAGGGTTTTTGTTACCCAGAACACACTGAAGCATTGGTAGTGAAAGCAGACAAGCGGCAAAGGAAACTCTCAGGAAACAAAAGACGAGCTAGGTAGGTTGGCCTGAAGCCAGAGTCTAGGCTGTGGGAGCATGCTAAAACCTAGGTGTGTGAGCTCGGGGTCTGAGCCCAGCTGGGACCTCTGGGCGCTCTTCGGGACCGAGGATGGTGATGAGGTGCCTCTCAGCAGGCACTTGTACATCGTCCGTGACTGTTTTGCAGATCCAAGTGGTGGCCGCACAGACACGAAGGAAAATGGTAAGCGACTCAACCACGCCCGCTCCGAGCTTTCATCCCACAAGCTCTCTATTTTCCCGGGGCTTCCTGGGAGCAGGTGGACGCGTCAGATCCAGAAGTCCTTCCCAAACCCAGCCTCAGTGCGTGGCCAAACTCAGTGGCATCAGAGAATAGCAACGTGACGCTGCATTGTGTGAGTCCTACACCCGGCGTTCGACTTGTTCTCAGAAAGGGAGATAGCACTCTGGATTCCAGGCTTCCGCATCACTTGACAGAGGGGACAGCTGAGTTTCACCTGAGTAACCTTCAGCAGAGTCATGCTGGATATTACACCTGTGAATACTACAGAAAGGAGTCTCCTGACAAAACCTCACCTTCCAGCGATGCCCTCTTACTGTTGGTGACAGGTGAGGAGGGGCTGCCTCAGAATGACGTACACTGATTTTTATACAAGGATGAACATGAAGCCAAGGGAATATAGGTAGGGGGAAAAAGCGGACATCGTGCAGGGCCAGTGAGATGGCTCAGCTGCCAGAAGCTTCCGCTGCCATGTCTGCCAACCCAAGCTTGATCCCAGAGACCCACATGGTAGAAGGAAGAGACACCCACAAGTTGTCCTCAGACAGACACATTCAAGACACAGCGTGTACCCTACCCAATAAGGAAATAAAAATGTGATCTTAAAAGAGTTGTCGTCTCCAGAGTAGCTGGGAAGGACATGTGGTGACCAGGACAAAATCGAATACCTGAGGCTTCCTCAGATCTGTAGGGGTGACCAAAAAATGTCTGTCCTACACTGGTGACACACAAGATTGGCCATATCAACAGTTAATCCAAGGAGGGGAAGAGCCTACAGGGACCTACTCTGTATGTCTAAACCATTGGTTATGGTAGACACTGGGGAGAGGACCACCGTGTTTAGTTTTGTGCTTTCCCCTGAGGAAGAGCCTACAGGGACCTACTTTGTATGTCTAAACCATTGGTTATGGTAGACACTGGAGAGAGGACCACCGTGTTTAGTTTTGTGCTTTCCCCTGAGCCCACTAGCCAGTAGACACACAAAAGGCCCTGGTTAGTCTTAGAGGGTCTCCATACACATGAACAGAAACAAACACAAGAGAGATAGATATATGGGGATGAAGTGGAAGGATGGAAAGGATGGATACAGGACTCCAGGCTTGACCCCTCCCCTTGGATCTCGTTTCTCTACAGGACACTTGTCTCAGCCTTCCCTCCAAGTCCAGCACTGGGGTCACGTGTCCGCAGGAGGGAAGGTGATCCTGCAGTGTCAGAGGCCACACAACTCAACACAGTACAAGATGTTCGCTCTGCTGAAGGAGGGGACTTCCTCCCCCATACAGATTCTGAAGTCAGAAAGTGACAAGGTGGAATTCACCCTTCAGGATGTGACCGTCCAGGATGCAGGAAGGTACAGCTGTGTCTACCTCCAGGAAGAAGCCCCTTTCTGGGCCTCCCATCCAAGTGATCATCTTGATGTCTCAGTGGCAAGTAAGGACGTTATGATTTTATGCTCTTTCTTCTCTCTTTTATAAAAAGATTTTATCTTTGAAAATTGTGCGTGTGCACGTGTCTCTGTGTGTTTATACGCATGTGAGTGAGATGCACAAATAGGCCAGAAGTGTCCCTTGTTTCCCCCGAGGCTGAGGTGGGTACTGGGAACTGAAATCAGACCTCTGCCAAGGCCTGCATATTCAAATGCTTTCCATAATAGTCTCAGTTTTCACATCAAGGTCTTTGATTCATTTGGAGTTGGTTTCATTGGGGGTGAGATATATGCATCTAGTTTCCTTCTGCACGGGAGAGTCCACGTTTCCAGCATTTGTTGAAGAGGCCATCTTTTCTTCAATGTGAATTTTTTGGTGTCTTTGTCAAAAAAGTGCCTGTACCTGTGTGCTTTCTCTGCCTGGGTTTTCTGTGGTGTCCCGTTGATCCGGGTGTCCATTTTGTGCTTCTGCCATACTACAATAAGCCTTCTTGTGTGCAGCTGACATTCACGGTGTTTTCGGGGTTCGGATGCCAGGTGAAGTTCTGCTGTGCCCAAAGCCCACATAGCATTCTGTGGTCTGAGGAGAGACGCTGATCAACCCTGGATTTCTGTGTCCTGTAACTCTCCTTTGGTCTATGCTTTGAGTATCAAAGGAGATGGGGGAAATGGAAGTAAGTGAAAGTGGAAATAGAGATAAAGATGAAGATAGAGATAAAATTGATGGCACACTGCAGCGAGATTTCAGAGTTCAAGGCTATCCTGGTCTACAGAGTGAGTTTCGGGACAGCCAAAGCTACACAAAGAAACCCTGTCTGGAAAAAAAAATGAGAAAATACGCAATGAGAAGATCTAAGGCAGTGTGGTTACTTGAATGAGAATGGCCTCCGTAGGCTCAAACATTGGAGTGCTTGGTCTCCAGTTAGTGGAACTGTTTGGGAAGGATCAGGAGGTGTGGCTTTGTTGGAGAAGGTGTGTCACAGGAGGTGGGCTTTGAAGTTTAAAAAGCCCCCGCCAATCCCAGTTAGCTACCAGTGAGCAGCCTCACACTCGTGAACTCTCGGCTACTGCTCCAGCACCGTGCCTGCCCATTGCCATTCTCCCCACCAACATGGTCATGGACTCTAACCCTGCCATACCGTGAGCCCAAATTAATTGCTGTCTTTTTCTGTGTGTTTGTTTGTTTTTGGCTAAGCATTCATTTTCATTATATGGGGGAATATAGTCTGTGACACTGTATTCCTTCTATTTATTTTCTATCTTTTATTTTATCTGTTTCTCAGAATGTATATCTTAAATTGAATTAATATATGTTCACTCTTAGCATATAGAAATGTATTTGATTCTTATGTATCCATCCTGTGTTCGATAATCTTGCTGAACTCACTTGTTAGTGGATTTTTTTATGGTTTTTTTTTTTGTTTAGGTTAGAAACAAGCTTGCTTCACATGTCAATCCCAGCTCCCTCTCTCTCCCCTCCTCCCAGCTCCTCCAGGTCCCCCAGTCCCCTACCCAATCTCCACTCCGATCCCCAGAGAGGGTGAGGCCCTCCATGGAGGATCTCCAGAGTCTGTCATTTCATCCAGAGTGGGGCCTAGGCCCTCCCTCAAGAGACCAGGTTGAGAGAGCATCCCTCATTGTGGGATGAGCAGCCAAAGTCCATTTGTATTAATTGCTTTATCATGTTTTCTTATCACAGCAATAGAAACCCTAAGGAAAACAGGCAGAATCCTAGTTATCCTTGATGGTCAACTTGACTCAGCCTTGAGTCATCAGAAATAAGAGGGTTCAACTGAGGCATGTTTTTTAGATCAGATGGGTGTGTGGGCATGTCTGCGAGGGATTGTCTTGATATTAATTGATGCAGGAAGGTCTTGTTGTCACACTTTGGGTTACACCACTCCTCAGGCATTTGGTTCAGAGCTGTATAAAAAAAAGCAGCTAAACATGAGGCAGAGTGAACCAGAGAGCAAGCTGGAATTCATGGCTTCTTCTTTCTTTTTAAACATTTATTCATTTTCTCTGTAAGAGTGTTTTATTTGCATATACGTATTTGTGGACCACATCTGTGCTAGGTACCCATGTGATGAGAAGAGGGCATTGGAGTGCCTGTAATTGGAGGTATAGATGTTTGTGGGTTGTGTGTGAATGCTGGGAATCTAATTCAGGTCCTCTGCAACAGTACCAAAACTCTTAACCACTGCCATCTCTCCAACCATTTTTTTTATTTGTTTTTTCGAGACAGGGTTTCTCTGTATTGTTTTGGAGTCTGTCCTGGAACTGGCTCTGTAGACCAGGTTGGCCTGGAACTCACAGAGATCCACTTGCCTGTGCCTCCCGAGTGCTGGGATTAAAGGTGTGTGCCACCAACACCCGGTTCTCCAACCATTCTTTATTATTTCTACTTTCAGTTCCTGCCCTGGCTTCCAATGTTGATGGCGTGTAAGCTGTATGATGAGATGAAACCTTTCCTTCTCAAAGTTGCTTTTAGTCAGAATGCAATTAGCATGGCAACAAAAAAGTAGAACAGGCAGAATGGCTATACAGAAAATGAGATTTGAAAAAAACTCAGTTCATTTCAGTTCTCATGAAAGCTTACGCTTTGGGTTCAGGGGCTAAAAGTGCAAAGAATGGACAGCCTGCCCACTGGCCAGTGTCTGAGTGAATGGAGGAAAGTCCGATCTGGTTGCTCATTTTGGGGATGAAGAAGGCTCCTAACAGTGTTGATCTTTGTTCTTTCAGTTACCCCAAGGGCCTTAGCAGAATGTTACACCAAGATTAATCGCATCAGGCTGGGAATGTCCGCCATGTTTGTGATGTTGATGGCAGTCTTCCTGGCTGAAGCCTGGTACAGCCAGAGGGTGTCACCCAGCAGACCCAGGTAAAATAACTAAGGTTTTCCCTATTGCATGACTGTTTGACCACCAAATTAATGAAGCTATAACAGCGAAATATGAATATCCAGGTGTCATGGTGAATGCCTTTAATCCCAACACTCAGGGGGCAGAGACAAGTGGACCTCTATGAGTTCCAGGTAAGCCTGGTCTACATAGAGAGTTCCAGACCTGTCAAGGCTACCTTGTGAGACTCTGTTATCAAAAAACAAAAACAAATAAGAAGAAGAAGAAATAACAAATGATGCTATGATATATTTAGGTTTGGTTAATTATAAATTAAACATAATGGGAAAAGAATTAAATAATTAAGTAGGCATTAAGTAGTTAGAATAAAAATTAGATGCTTACGACAAAGCAACTAATGAACCTACGTATGAAATGCTTACTTTTTATAGAAATTTCCATTATCCATTATGGTCACCGCACTGTACTTACTTATTTTTTAATTTTTCATTCATTTTACATATCAACCACATTTCCCTCTCCCTTCCCACCTTCCATCCCCACCACTCACTATATACAATACTCAGAAAAGGTAAGGCCTCCCATGGGAAGTCAACAAAGCCTGGCATATCATATTGAGGCAGAACCAAGCCCCTCCTCCCTTTATCAAGGCTGAGCATGGTATCCCACCATAGGGAATGGGCTTCAAAAAGCCAATTCATGCCCCAGGGATAAATCCTGGTTCCACTGCCGTGGGCCCCACAAAAAGACCAAGTCACACAACTGTCACCCATATTCAGAGGACCTAGTTAGGTCTCTGCAAATTTCAAGCTGTCATTGTTTTTTTTTACTGCTGAGTAGTACTCCATTGTGTACATGGACCAAATTTCTTTATCCTTTCTTAGGTTGAGGGGCATTTAGGCTTGCTGCCAGATTCTGGCTATTACAAATAATGCTGCTA